ATATAACATCTATAGTAGTAAGATACTTCCTTGTTATAATGGCCTTTATGAGAGTAAGTTCTGTAAGATCAAAATTGTTATACGTAAAGACATAAAAGAAAAGCACGATATGTATGAGACTTTATCAGAATTTATTGACTACAGGCAGATATATACAGATGGTTCCAAAAATGCACTTAGCACTTCAGTGGCTTTTTACGATTTGTCAAATAGATTTGGTCACGGTTATAAAATTTCAACTTTGGCTAGTATTTACACAGCAGAAGCAAAAGCTATATTTTTAGCATTAGAATACATAGAAAAACAGGTACTATATTCGAAATGGATTATAATTACAGATAGTATGAGTGTTCTTATGGCATTAAAAAATAACACATTCATTTCATCATCAAACTACTTAATTCAAGAAATTCGTAATAAATATTATCATCTCTGTACTATATATGGAAAAGATATTATCTTCATCTGGACCCCTTCACATATTGGAGTGTTTGGGAATGAACAAGTAGACACTTTGGCTAAAATTATTAATTCAAGTGCTGCTCGTGTTCAAGATTTACCCCTTTGTTACTCAGATTGTAGTATTGGAATACATAAAATCGTTACAACTAAATGGGAGGAGCATTGGACTCAAATATTACAGACTAAAGGCAAATGGTACCGCAAAATTAATTGGCGTATTGGAAAACCGTGGTTCTGCAAAGGAAAGGACACAAACAGAAAATTTTACACCAATATTTGTAGATTACGAATCGGCCACGGACTTTTCAACGAACACCTGCACCGAATGGGCATGATCGCTTCCCCATCATGCACATGGTGTAACTCAAATACAGCCCAATCTCTACATCACCTTTTTTTTGATTGCTCTGAATTTGTCATTCAAAGACACACTATGTTTGACGAACTTAGGATTATCTTCAAAAAACCCGAAAATATCCCGCACTCAATCCCGCTTCTCTTAAGATTTCCTTCTTGTTTCAAAGCTATTTTCACTTATATTACTACAACATTCAAGGAGCTATAAGAATACTTTTATTGAATTGCAAGACAATGATTTTTTATAATTATTTATTTTTAATTTGATAAATCCACTGGTTTAAGAAAACTCAAGAAAAGATATTTATGAAAATGTACTTACCGGATTTGACAAATGAAATATTGAAGATTATGACAATAATTGAAGCGACATTAGAAAAATAAAATTCCAGACAAATTATCTTTTTGAAGACTAGGCAGCATGGTCTCCGACCTTAGCCTGTTCCAAACGGAACAAACGTACTAAAAAAAAAAAAAAATTAATTTTATTTGTTTAATATTTATTTGTTGCTTCTCCTAGTTTCTTTTACTTATTTTTTCAATTTAAGCACTCGTGTGTCGTTAGAGGATATGTGCGAGTCAAGCGGAGGCAAGTTAAAAAGAAAAAAAAAATACTTCCATATCTGATGAAGAGCCAGATGCTGAGTATTAAATTTACTCACTCAAAAAGAGGACTGTTTAAAGATCAAAATTACTTATATTCTGAAACTACTAAAAATGAATATTTTATTCTGTTGTCTCCTATTGAGGGCAACAATGTAAACTTATTGCAAGTCAATTCTATTCTGAGGACTGTACCTGGTGTATTCTATATTCGTACTATGGGTCCTACTGCATTCAAAATATGTTTTCGATCAATGAAAGAGGCTAACGAATTTTTATTAAATAAAGATTTATTAGAGAAACATAAACTTCTGGCTAGGATACCCAATAATCAGCTGGAATCTTAGGGTATCAGAGAGAGAGAGTAATAAAGTCGTACCATGCCGCTGGATCACAGATGTACGCATTGCTCAATTTGTTCCCCCTTATGCTATTTCTATGCTTGGCCCTTTGATTGCTTAACAACCAGATATTAATATTTTTAATGACAACCCTAGAAAGGGAGAAGGAATTATTAGTAATGGAGACTAGTGACATATTTACGAGTACTTGATAGCAGTAGCAGTCCTCATAGAAATAGTTATATTCATGAAATACATTTAAAGTAATCGCTCCCTCTAGTGTCGATTGTACTATACGATACACTGTATTTGCCTGTACGAGGTTGCTACTTAAGATTCTGTTTTCGCCCTCGGACATCGGTTTTTATACCTAAATATTTCTTATTCTCTCTCACGTTATGTTATTACAGGGACCTTCACAGTAAAATTTTATTATTTTCATACCGTCAGTAAACAGTTGATCAATGTTTGTTTTAGTAAGTTCATTATGATTGTTATATAATGTTTATCTTTCTACAGTATAAATCTTTCTTGTTACCTACATTACATTTCTATAATACACACATAAAAAAAGTCTAAGCAACACATACTATTTCAAATTATTAATCAATTATTATATCATTTCTTACCAAGTAGGTAATACTTATGTAAACTTTTTACTTATGTAAAAAAAGAATATCATTTGTTTTTTTTTACAAATTCAAAAGCGAATGCATTTGTTCGAATTTTATAGCGTTTTCCTTGCTTATTAAAATTTAGTATTCTGTATCAATTTTATGATTTAAACAATAATTTGAAAAAAGTTTTGAACAAATGTGGATTTTGAGACATTTTTCACGTCATGAAGCGACGTCATTTGAACGCAGATGAAATACAAAGAACTGTAAGAGTGTTGCAAACGGGAAGAAGTCAATCTCAGGTATCTCGGTATTTTGATGTCAACAGAAGCGTTATTTGACGTCTTCATCAGCGTTACACTAACACGGGAGAGTTTAGTTGAATAGGCACCTTACTTGGTACTACGTACATACAGTACTTACTCGTAATTTTTGTTAATTAAGATTATTAAAAAATAAACAAAAAAATAATTGTTGTTTAATATAAAAAAAGCATTAAAAATAATATAAAGAAGAAAATACTAAGGATTTAATGCGAAAACACATTGTAAAATTTAAATTTGTATGTTTAGTTTTAAAATTTTTAGATGTGTATAGAATTATTACATGCATAACTTTATCATTACCATCGAGGATTAGTACTGGAACATTCATCGGCGTTTGGGCTGCGAGCTTGTATTTCACGAACTAATTGTCATACGATAATAAATGAGCTTTTATTTTATAGATAAATGTATCTAGATTAATTTGTTACTTAGATATTTTATCACAGCAACGACTGTTTTTCAAAGAAATCAATTATGGGCGGGAGCACTTAGATATCAGCTTGAACCCTTCGACTCACTGTAATGAATTTGTGAATTGTTAATGATCCCAGGCATACAAGAGATATCGAACCCTTAAGTCTTAGGAGAGATTTTGCCTAACTCTGCGTGTTTTACCGCTTGTACACCAGATTGTACTCAAAGGAATTGTTCAATAGGATGCCCATGGTCACTTTCTATCTTCGTACGGCTCGCCATCGACGGGAAGTTCATCTCATACCCAACAGCCTAAATAGTCGCATACAACGCGGTTTCAAAGATGTTTTCTCCCACGAACATTTAGATTATGGAATGAGCTATGCCGAGGTTTTCTGTATGGGGTTCTTTAAAAGGGGGTAAAAAGGTTTCTTCAGAGCTGGCAATGCGCGCGTAATACCTCTGGTATTGCAGGCGTCCATAGGCTACGGTAACCGCTTACCATCAGGTAGGCCGTATGCTTGTTTGCCACCTTAGTGGTATAAAAAAATTGTGAGCATATACAAAGAGTTTTCCTGCATCCTGTCATAATTCAATAGTCCTATTCACAGAGCAAGTAAGTCCTATTTAAATTATCTCAACGTAAATATTGTAGAGAATTTAATGAAAATTATATCTTTGAAAGTTTTTTATTATCTGTAATATTTTTTTATTAAATTGAGAAACTGCAGTTAGGGAAAAGTTTAGGTGTAAAAGGAGGAAAAAGGGGGCGGAGGGGATGGTGTCAGGCTGAATCGTATTCTGTAGTATGTTGGATCAAATCACCCTGTACTGATGCCAAAAATTTTTACAAAATTCTGTTAGAACCAAATTTTTCCTAATCTTTTCACTGTGATGAATGCAGGTCAGTTGGCCCATCGTGACAAAAATTAACCATGATGGTTTTCAGAAAAAACCGTGTGGATGTTGACCTGAGAGAGTATATTTCTAGTAGTGAAGCCGCTAATCTTCATAACTAACAATTCCTGTTCCCCCAGTTTGGTTAGTTTCTTTTTAACGGATGATAATGAAATGGTAACCCTACCTGCGCTATCGATATACGCTAGCAGGGCGCACAAGTGAGGAGCAATATAAGCGAGGATAAAAATAGGTCAGTTGACCCATAGTGATGAATACAATAAGAATTATCCACGATAGTTTCTAAGGGGAACTACGTAAAAGTCGACCTGATACCTTATATTGCTACACAATGGGGATGTTTACCTCCATTACTAACAATCCCTATTCCCCCAATAGAGTATCTTGCTAGCAATTGGAATGTTTGGTCCTATTACCCCACTTTCGTCAGGTTAACCATATTTGATTAGGGGGAAGGGATTATTAGTAATGCGGACTACCAGTTCCACTGTTAGTAATATACTCTGTCAGGTCGTTCTCTCTGCGGTACCCACTGGAAAGCGTCGTGCTGAATTCCAGGTGCCTTTATCACGATAGGTTTACTGACATGCCTTTTCATTCTCACCAATTATCCACTCCATTATCATTATTAAAAAAACCACATTTGATTAAACCGACCAAATGTGACTAATATTTTTTTAATTAATCAAGTATGCTACAATTTGATCATTTAAAATGAGTTTGGCATGGTTTGATTTATATTTGAGAAGCATTTCCAGATGCAAATTTTTATTTCTCCCCAAAATTTTAAATGTTTTTCTTCGATCAATTGTGACGTAAATCGACAGAAAATCCATTGAATGTGCACGGTTAATGACTTCGTTTTCACATAGGTAATACAATAATACCTTACGATAATGTAAGGTAAAATAAAGAAAAAAATTAAGTTGAAGAATTATTTATAATATTATTTTTAATTATAATTATTAATAATAAGATTAATATTAATATTTTTAATAATAAGAATTATTTTTACAAATCTTAACCTGAAGTATGATCCTTTCTCGATGATGAGATTTAGTGAGAGGTGATTAAAATCCTTTATCCTTTTATCGACGTGATTTTTTTCTTTTGTTTATTAATTGCTTTTTTTTTAGTAAATAGGTAGATATGGTTTAGGTTTTATTAAGGATTACACTTGGAGTTCTAAGTATACTTTACTTCTTTTGACTGGATTTTAAAAAATACAAAGTACAATTTTTTAAGTTCATTCAAATATGATTAAATATATCCAACACTTTAATGTTCACCTAATAAAAAAATAAGTCTTCGCATGTAAAAACGAAATTTTCATTTTAGTATTAGGCTTTACTATTTGATTGTCCTTTTTTTCTTTCACCGACGTTTTTTCTTCCTCTAAATATCTCATCTTTATATTCCCGTAAATTTGTCATGGAATCCTGAAAAACAAAATTACGCTTTTAATTTACTTCTTAGTAAGTAATTTATATTAAGTCAATTATTTTTTTATAAAGGCATATAGGTAATACGAAGGTAAAATATTAGGGACGGAGAGAGATTGTGTGTTTTTATCCCCATTGCTTGCAATATACAGATCACTCTCAACACGGACATCCAATCGGTAAAATCACAGGATGTCTATTCTGTGGTAAAAGAGAAAGAAAATATAACATATTTGAACGAGATAAATAGGTCATTTATTTAAACAATAGAAGCTTGAAGCGGATATGGTAGGAGAGGTCTACGAATTGAAATTAAAGTTAACATAACAAATTCAATTTTGCTAATTTTGTAACTTTCATTTCATCATAGATTTAACGGTCCTAACAAATATGACACGCAGTGATAATATTAAAACGAAACACTATTATAAGCAAAACACGAAAGTGTGAGCAACATTGAAAATATTTTCGTCTTATTTTAGGTACTTTTTATTTTTAGAGGACTCGTCTTATTTATCAAAATCATTAAATTACTTGTTCAAATAATCGCGAATAATTTGTATGTGTGTGTATAATTTTATTTGTTCGTTTGCTCAAAGAGGTCATTCTATTATTGTTTTATAATGCATACGGTCTAAGATTTCTATAGAATTCTCTTTCTACATATTCTATACATATAATTCGGAACTGTCAGATGTATATGTTTTCATTATACGCACACTAATGTAACATTTTATTGTCTCGTTTTTGTGATTGTAATGCCAGTCTGTCAGTACGTAAATGTACCTATGTTATATACTGTGTATATTCATATGCAGAGGTGAATGACCCCCCCCCCTCCCCCTAGATAAAGAACAAACGAATTTATTGATAGAATCTTAACTAGCGAGTCGATATGATAGAAGAGATAGTGACGCGTTGTCTTGTTCTTTTTTATATAAGCGCTAAGGACAACACAATAATATAAGGATAACAAGGAATTACATACAAGGAATGATAAAATAAAACTGTAAATCATATTGTTGCCCCCTTTTTCTTCTTATGCAAATATAATTTCTATCTAAAAAATAATCTCCTGAAACACAAGTTTTTTCATATCCACCTCGGGAGTTAAGGACTTCAAACTATACGAGGTTTGTCCGGAAAGTACGTATAAAAGTTTTTTAAAAATTTTATTTTACAATTATTCAGGTAAATCAATTTTATCCCCTTCAAAGTACTCCCCCTGTGACATAATGCACTTGTGCCAACGCCGTTTCCACTGTGAGAAGGCTCCTTGAAAGTCCTCTGGTTGTAGGTTTCTCAGCTGCCCCGTCGTAGCTTTTTTTATCTCATTTATGTCCCCCAAATGCCACCCCCGAAGTACCAATTTGGTTTTTGGGAACAAGAAGAAGTCACACGGGGCCAAATCCGGCGAATAGGGGGGGTGTTCGGTCACCGTAATGGAATTTTTACTCAAAAACTCACGGACAACAAGAGAGGTGTGGGCAGGGGCATTGTCGTGGTGAAGAATCCAACGCCCCTCTCGCGCCAATTCTGGACGAACTCGTGCCACACGAGCTTTGAGGCGTCTGAGCACATCGACGTAGAATTTTCCATCAACTGTCTGGCCTGGAGGGACGAATTCTTGATGGACAATCCCCCGAACATCGAAAAAAACAATCAACATTGTCTTGACATTTGAGCGGGATTTTCTTGATTTTTTTGTTCGTGGTTCCCCGGATGTCTTCCACTCTTTGCTTTCACGGCCATTCTTGCCGAGTTTCGAGAGAAACTTGATTACGACGCGCTGCTCTTCAACGGAAGCGGGCTCCATGCCGACGGGGTTTCGTTAAGAGGTAACTTCACAGATGGCGTGACAAGCCAGTTCGCACCGCACGGCGGTCAGACCAGAACTGAAGCATTGTTAGGGACATAAGGAAGGGGTCCTGCGCTTACCTGGCCTCCCCACTCCTCTTTCTCGCATTCCAGAACACTTTTATACGAACTTTCCGGACAGACCTCGTATTGTAACAAAGAGTGAAATAAAGATTTATTATTATTATAATTAGTAAAAAGAGGACGAATGACATACCACATTTTCTACATAAACTGTGTCGAATATTTAATCTAGTAATTTAACATTTCTTACTGTCAAATACATTAATTGAATTGAGGAAATATTTAATATGTCAATTATTTGTCAATGACAAATTTTACATTACTAGATTATATATTCGACACAGTTTATATAGAAAGTATGCAAGCAGGTTGTATTTGAATTTGATAGGGTTATACAGCCGTATAATATTTTTTAACATTTTCGGGTTTATTATTCAATATGAATTTTTGCAAACAAATAATTGTAAATTAACTTACTTTTTTTGCCTCTCGCCATTCTAAATTTCTGAGACGAACCAAGCCTTTAAGATTACGTTCAAGAATTTTTAGAAATTCTGATCTGGATATTTTCGGGGTTTGTGTGGTTCCATTAACTGTTTCGGGGGGCATAGTTATAGCCTACAAAAACAAAAAAACTTGTAAAATAGGTAAATATTATTATAGGGTGCAATGGAAAGGTATAAATAGCCATAAGGCTACCTACACCTATTATCATTGAGGTATCTTAATTATAGTAGGTAATTACAAAACTAAATGACTAATTTCATTTGAGAGTTTTCATAATTTAGCTTACCAAAGTGTGGCAATGTCGCAATTATCTGTTAATTTTCTAAAATAATTGAAAATTACGTTATATAAACCTATGATTGAAGATTGAATATTTGCGGGTAATCGGGATTTAGGATCAAATCCCGATTTCAGGAAAAGGATAAATGAAAATAAAAATTTATTGGTAATAAAAACATTTACTTATAGCTGTTTCTATATATGCGGTGTGTTCTAGGTATCAATATTTAACAAAATGTACAAATAAAAATTTTACACTTTGGAATCTTTCAAATACGGCTGAAAAATTCAAAATCATAATATAATAAGTTTATTTAGTATTATACTTATGACTCTTTAGTTCGCTAGCAGAGAATTTTTTAAATATCAGGCAGAAACATTAAAAATTGTTTATGTGTAAAAATTCCATTTACCTACATTTAATATTTTCTAAACAAGTAAGATACTAGACTTGTGTTTGAAATAGAAACTTCACTCTATCAAATTTTGGTTTGGAGCAAAGTTTTGTCCATTTCAACTGTAAAAAGATATAAGTCTGCGCGTTGAACGCAAAAAAGGACGCATTTTATTGTATCTCCTCAGTTTTAAAACACTTTCCTTGATATTTCTGATTGTCTTATTTAAACTATTCTTATTAATATTGTAGAATTTTACTTACATTGTCATCAGAGAATTGATTATTAACTAAATCAGATATTTGATTGTAAGCACTTTTCGTATCGTTGATTTGCTGCAAAAATATAAAACATTAATTAGATGAATCTTTCATATACTATACTAGGTATATGTAGTTCCGACTGTACTTAGAAATACAAAAATATTTCATGACATATTAGAATCCAATAAAAGACAGCACTCGGATTAATTTTTGTTATTGATGGTCTGTTTTTCATTATACCAATTAATTATAAAAAATATACAGTACAATTCTTTGTAAAATAGAAAAAAAAGATGAACTGACGGACGAACAAAGTCGCACCGTAAGAGTTTCTTTGTACCTTTTTGGCACGGAACACTAAAAATGACTTCTCGAAAATTATTATTTTTTCAGTTCTCGGACTTACTGCTAGTTTTCGCTCACATTTTTGGCAGTTCTCGGCCACAATAAATCATCTAATGAAGTATTTTTAAGACATACATTAAGGTACAAAATTAAAAAAAAAAAACAAATAAACATTCCTATAAATTCAATTTAGAAATATAACCGAATACACATATCAAAAAAGTCTAAGCAACACATACAAATTTGAATTTTACAATGTGTTTTCGTATTAAATCCTTAGTACTTTCTTATTTATATTATTGTAATGCTTTTTTTATATTAAACAAAAATTATTTTTTTTTGTTTATTTTTTAATAATCTTAATTAACAATAATTACGAGTAAGTACTGTATGTACGTAGTACAAAGTATGGTGCCTATTCAACTAAACTCTCCCGTGTTAGTGTAACGCTGATGAAGACGACAAATAACGCTTCTGTTGACATCAAAATACAGAAATACCTCAGATTGACTTCTTCCCGTTTGCAACATACCTACAGTTCTTTGTATTTCATCTGCGTTCAAATGACGTCGCTTCATGACGTGAAAAATGTCTCAAAATCCAAATTTGTTCAAAACTTTTTCAAATTAAGTAAGTACTATATGTACATAGTACAAAATAAGGTGCCTAATTAACTAAAATTAAATGGTTGTACAAAAATTGCATAAATTAATACACAGTGTGGTCTTCTCTATTATGGAGAACTTGCTGGCACCGATTATTCATAGAATCGATGAGCTTGTTAATGTTATCCTGCGGCAATTGCTCCCAATGAAATTTTAGTCCATTAGTTGTTGGGTTGTTGTCACTCCATCCAAGTCCTTAAAAATACGTCTTCTGGCGATTGTGCAGGCCAAAGCAATACCAGGATGTTTTCTCTTACCAAGTACTCCCGTGTGTGCAAAGCTGTATGCGAACGCGCAATGTCATGCATCAATGTGAAATCGGAGCCAAGCGTTTGTGCAAATGGACGGACATAAGGCCTTAGAACATCCTCAACGTAATTTACAGCGTTCATGTTACTATTTACAAAAACGAACTTAGTTCGTCTATTCTTCATAATACGCGCCCATACCATAACTGTTGAGCCGTTGTATGGATGCACTTCCTGAACACACCTCAGTCTTTCAGTATTTCCAGGACGATGGTACACTCTTACCCTTCTAGTATCAGGCTTGAACCCAAATCGAGACTCATCGCAAAATAAAATTTTATCCCATTGTTCTCGGGTCCATTTCCCTACACCATTAATTTCGACCAGCGCGATTCCCGTGACGTATCGGTGGGCACCTGATTGACCGTCGTGCTCGTAGGCCATACTCATGCAGTCGATTTCGCACAGTTTGGCAGCTAACAGCAACACCACTTGAATTTTGTAGCCTTAAACTTATCTCTCGGGCGGTTAACATCGGCTGGCGTCTTGCAGTCAGTTGTATGTATCGATCTTGCCGTGTGGTTGTACACCTTCCTCGACCTAGGTGCTGCTCAGCAGGATCTCCCATGTTAGTGTAACGTTGATGAAGACGGCAAATAACGCTTCTGTTGACACCAAAATACCGAGATACCTGAGATTGACTTCTTCCCGCTTGCAACACTCTTACAGCTCTTTGCATTTTATCTGCGTTTAAATGACGTTGCTCCATGACGTAAAAAATATCTCAAAATTCAAATTTGATCAAACTTTTCTTCAAATTATTGTTTAAATCATAAAATTGATACAGAATACTAAATTTTAATAAGCAAGGAAAACGCTATAAAATTCGAACAAATGCATTCGCTTTTGAATTTGTAAAAAAAAAACAAATGATATTCTTTTTTTACAACCAGCCAGTATGTCCTCTAGTAAAAAAAAGATTACATAGGTATTATCTACTTGGTAATAAATGATATAATAATTGATTAATAATTTGAAATAGTATGTGTTGCTTAGACTTTTTTGATGCGTGTATAATCAAAGTGGATAAACATAACCAAATTGTGTTACTTGTATTATTGGCTTGGATGTTTGAATGAATTTATTTTTTTTAAGCAACTTAGAATGGCAAACAAGCTCACGGCCCACCTGATGGAAAGTGGTAACCATCGCCTATAGACATGAGCAGTACCATGGACATAATAGAGTATATTGTTTCGCCCATGTTAACCCCATGTATTGCCATATGTTATGCCAGGTGTTATTCCTCTGTACCATGTAAATTTACTGCTATATCCCACCCTTCAAACCGAAACAGCCATGCAAACATGGTAGCTTCATGGTAGAAACATGAATGGGGCAGAGGTACCCAAGCCTCTGGTTTTTTGCATGAAGTGCTCTCTGTCTTTTGTGGTAAAAAAATACTAAGTTCCTAGATAATTCAATAATTTATATAAAATAATATAATATATATAATATAAAAATTGTACCAAATGGAATGAAATTTTCACAGTTGTATGAGGCCGGTTGTTAAGTTTTAATTTAAAATCTGATGTTAGATTTATATATCTAGAAGTGGTTATCTACTTATATATCTACTTTTAAAATTCACGCGTACAAAGATGATGAAAACGGCTGAAAAATAATACTCAAAGACCATTACCGGCCCATTAAATTAATCGGCTAGAGGTTAAATAATAAAACACAATAAAGTCAGCAATAATAATTTAGAAAAAATTATAAGACTTGAATTAGTGTCTTAGTGCCATAATCGCAAAAGTTGTGAACTTACCTCTAAAATTAAGTGGAATATTGTACCAAAAAATCCCCATTTTGGTGCTGTTGCAACATTTTTACCTGATTTTACTGCAGTTTGTCTATATATTCGATCTTTATCTATTGCTTTGTCAGCTGATGGCTGAAAGAAAAAAAATAGTTAAGAAAAGTGATAAGTCATTTAAAAGTATTTTAAAGAACATTATTAAATAGTATTTAAGTTATAAGGGAGGCGCGTAAACCAAAACCCAATCATTACGTGGATAATGAATATACCCAGTATGGGAAATTCTCTATGGGACAAAACTTTTTAGTTAGTCCGGCAGAGACTTTTAATGAACATAATTTTTTTAACGAACATTATCAGAAAAATATGTACTAAGAATGTTTCCTGAAGTTTCAACCACTTCAGTTACTACTGATACTACTGGTACCTGCCTCAAAAGTCATCCATGTATAAAGCGGGTTTTAAACTGCTTTTTATAGGAGCAATTTACCCATTTCTATGTACATATTACGCGATTTTTTCGCTAAATCTCATTTTTATTGCAATCGGTAAAGTTTACTATTGTATTAAAGTAGTCATATTTAGCTACTTACTGGTTGTGCACTGAAGTGAGGAGCTATAGTTGCAATGATCACGAGCGTGGTTAACGCGATGCTGTGACAGCTTAGCGCCATTCTTGTCATCCCCCTTGACAATTTGTAGTTATCTAAATTCTTAGAAAAATTAATTAATAGTTTTTACTAAGTGTGCTAATATAATCTGTTTTGCTATATTTGGAACCTTAGCTTTATACATTAGTACCTGAGTACATTATACAATATCTGTGTGTACAACAATGATAATAATTGCCTAATAAAGCAATCCAGGCAAGTCTTTTTATCAAAGTTTATAAAATATAATAAAAAATCTAAAAAAAGTAAAAAGAATTTAAATAATTATTGTAATTAATTATTGCCTATTATACCTACTTTTTATTGGTTGTATTACTGGATGATTAAATTTGATGTTAAACGATTGATAAGATATGTTCAGATTGTTAATTAATAGATAATCTTAGTGTGTTGCTCTTTTATGTATAACTAGTTTCAATTGTACCAAGTATAGAAAAACAGATTATAGCTATAAAGAATATTGTAGGTACCTATTTAGTTTATGTGTAAATCTGTATTAAATAATTCATGACTAAACCTTATTTAATGAAATTAGATTGAAAAGTAGTAATTTTGATCTTTTCTTGTCATATCAGGATGTATTCTCATAGGTACCCTACTTAATTGGTGTATCGTACCTAGGTATGTCGCTACGAAAAATACTCTAGTAGATAAGTAGGTGAGAGACAGACTGTCTATTAATTTCATGTAGGTATGTATGTATTTATTTCAATCAACTAAGTAATAGATAAGTACTAGTATCACCCTGTCACCCGGAAGAAGTCGTGGGTACATCTAGTTGGTGCATAATGAAATTCGCTATGTTACGTTTTAGGAAGTTTGTACTTTCTCAAGACAAGTTTCTTGATTGCTCATTTCCTAATTAGGTACTTGGAATCTGAGTCCAAAGCGAGTTTCATTTAACTTGTCTTTAATATTACCTAGAACCTTCATATTTCTCTTGCTTTTGAATAATTAGGTGGGTACCATAATATAAAAATATTCAGATGTCATATTTTTACAAAAGTTGTTACGTAGCACCAGGGTCGTAGCTAGACCCAAGTTTAAGGTAGAGCCAAAGAATTTTTTGGTAGGGCAGAAGCCATTAAGTAAAAAGTGAATCTGTCTTATTTTCTTGGGGCCTTACATTTTAAGGTAGGGCATTGAGCTTTTTAAGGTAGGGTATGGCCCCTCAATGCCCCCCCCCCCCTCTCCCTAGGCTATAAGTAGCACGTTTGACTTTTTTAAATTTATATAAATACGATTGGTTGAGCTGCTAAGAGGTAACAAACCAACTTTTTACAATATTGTTAAGTAAAGAGAACTGTTCTGGTTTTATAAATAATATAATTGTCATACAAGCACACCTCAAGTGAGATACGAATACCTTGATTTTTGATGAAAAATCAAGCAAGGAAAATCAGAGGGCACAATTCAGAACACTCTAGATACCATGTGACTGTTTTTAATTAATAATAAAGGAATGTAACTCTATCCATATACGCTAACGAGGATGCAACACAGAACAAGGATTCCCAAACTTATTATTTCGTGATGCAATTACCTATTTTAGCTAGCGACACGCCCCGGGTTCATACCGATTATGTAGTTTTTTAAATGTGAAAGAATTTTTAAAATCTGCTATGTTTTTAATTAGTGTTGTTTGTATCTATTACTATCTATAATACGTTCACTACTGGTAATCTTTTGGAGGTACCAATAAAGAATAGATCTACCTAAGTATTTTTTTAATGTATCCATTACAAACAACAATTTTTTCCTTTTTATAACATTAGATTATGTTGGAGAAATAATTGAGAAACATTATTATATTAAGTATATACTACTACAACTATAAATACAAATGTTTGTAACGATGTTTGTATGGGTGTTTCTTACTTTTTCACGCAAAATAAGTACTATTGAACGAATTTTAACGAATTTTAGGACACGGATAGGTTATATCCTAACTTAGAACATAGGATACTCTGTATATTGATTCACGCAGATGAAATCGAGGGATACAGCTTTTTATTATAGACTACCGACCCGGCCCGACTTCGCACGGTTTTTTTTTTTTCAAAAGAAACAGCCCATAACCGAGCCTTAGCCCAGCCGAGTAACATACTCGTGGAACAAGTAAGTATTTTTTTGAGTTTATCTATTATAAACAAAAACTAAAATATTTCGTGTTTAAACTTTAGAAAAATGTCAGAAAAATCAAAACGTATTTTTAATAAGTATTATCTACTATTGTCAGAATTATTGTAAACAATTTACAGTGCAAAAGAAATAAGAGCACCTGATAAATGTCAACATGTACGTATCTATATATAAGTATTTTATTTCCAAAGAAACCCCATGTAACTGTTTTATTCATCAATGAAAATAGTTTCGAAGCAAAAGAGAAGATATCATTATTTTATATTACACGATATCTTTACCGATTATGATAATTCTTTTTGCAATCGATAGGTTTTACTTCTGTATTAGTCCCAAATCCCAAATTTTTTCACGATCGAAGTTGTATTTTTATTTAAATTATGTGCTGACATTTAACATTCCGAATTTCTATATCCACTTACACGATTGAAATACGAAATTGTCCATAAACCCTTTCAGTTAGAGATAGAATACAATACAACATGTACTCGATTAGAAAAATCTGTTTTAGTTATTCATAGCATTGTCAGGATAAAATGCTTACATACCACCACACGGTTATTTCTTTTCAGCTATCGTATTCTTGAAGCTGTTTTCTCCCACCCCCCCTGTTTGCTCATTAGAACGCAATTTTTTTCTGAATGATAGCTTGAAAACACCGTGTCCTTCGAGTTCGTTTATATTTGCATGAACCTTTATGATAAATAGAGTTTATGCTATAAAGACATTTACGGAAATAAATTATCAGTGTCAATGGCTAGTTATACTTAAGCACATTTTTTTAAGAAGGGATTATTAATAATTGGGATTAGCAACCCCATTGCTAGTTTCATGTCTTGTGCCTTACTTGTGTCCTTTGTCAGTTAAGTCGATCTCTACGCAATTCCCTTAGAAATCATCGTGGTTAATTTATTACAATGGGCCAACTGGACTGATTTCATTCTCACTTATTATCCCTCACTGGTACCTCACCAGCGTAACAATTGAAATGTCACATTTCCAGTACTGTCGAGTTAAAGCAATAACTGATAAAGTATACTGTTCTCTGTTTTGCTTCTTTTTTAACTCCCTAATTAAAACATATTAATCGAAATTTAAAAAACTAACTAATCCAAATGGGATATTGAAGGGACTTTAATTTTATATAACAAATAAAATAAAACCGATATTTTTTAGTTATGGAGACACGTCTATGTAAAAATTATAAAATGTATTCATTCGCGCAACATCCACATACAGTTGCGACAAAAGGTCATTCTCTAAGTATGTTCATTGTGAATTAGCGATTGGGTAATTTCTATTCACAAGGATTGTTTATCCATATGAATAAATATTTAATGGTGTTCGTTGACAAGTACGTCACTGTGGAAATAAAGGGACATTGTTTTTTATTCAAGTACAAGTTTTACGGTACGAATAAAAATTTTGATATATCAATTTTGTACTAAAATGATACTAGTATGAAAGCCTTATTACTTATTATTTACTATTTTTTTAACAATAATAACTTCATTGCATAACCACGATTGTAACAAACTGAGGGCCTACCATGAAGTATTTTCCGAAGTTTCGGGGACGAACGAAACGGAAATTTGATGTTAAAATTGCATAATACATGCTGTTTAAAATTATTAAAAAGGTTAAAATATCGTTCCTTTGGACTATTAGAATAGAATTTGTGATGAACGAAATGTTAAGCTCCATTTACTGGGTCGATTTTGATACGAACAAAAACACGAAATTGAGCCCGAAATTTCGGAATTTCATTTCATGGTAGACCATCTGAGCACTGAAAATTACAGTAAAAGTAGGTACGAATTTATTTGTACATTTGGATCAACTTAAACATCTGTATCTGAACTAAGTTATAAAACCTGTATCTCAAATAACAGCGCTCAACCCTCATTAAATACTATAAGTAGGTATATAATATCATAACTTTGCTCAGCAAAATTTTAGTGCTACATATAGAATGTTGATTTTATATAAAGTTAATTCATCTAATTATAACTATTCATAGTAATAAAAATTGTGAAAAAATGTACTCCCTGTGTGTAATTTATTAATTGTTTATTATAATTATGCATTTATTAATGACACCTATGGTGAAAATTTTTCCGTCCGACTGTTACAATCATAGCATTGTTAATTATTAATGCTAATACTATTATAAATGTAATAATTTGTGAGGACGGGATGTACTTCTGTTTTTTTTATGCAACTTTGAATGGCAAACATGCTAATGGCCCACCTGATGGAAAGCGGTAGCCGTCGCTTTTAAACATAAACTGTATGTACGCAAAATTGTTGAATGGATTTAAGTAAAAATAGGTACATGGATAGGTTCTAATTTAGAACCTGAGATATAATATGATTTATATACTGACAGACGTCGACGAAGCCGCGGGATAGAGCTAATAAAAGAATATGTGAATATTACAGCAAATGTAGAACGATCTGTTAACATCTATTACTTACCTAGTAAAATAGTACCGTTTTTAAACTTAGTTTTGCAGTTTAGTTTTTAACTACAGTTTTGTCCCAAAGTAAAAAAATATCAGTTGCAATAAAATAAGTATTATAATATATATAACTAGCATATGGCTATGGCTTTGCACGGGTAGATAAAATTTTTTAAAACTACATAGTCTGTGTTACTCGCAGATAACATTATCTAGCTATCTTTAGGTAAAAGAATTTTTAAAATCCGTTAGGTATATGTATTACAATAAACAATGAAATCTATCTTCTTTGTAATATTAATATATACTATCTTTTTGCCCGCTTTTTTAGATGTGTGGGTTTTAGAAGTAGTAAAACCAATGTAATAAATAAATGTAAAAAACCAAAGACATAAAAAACTGGTTAAGCGTAAGTTGAACACACTCGCCTAGGGTTCCGTATATAATCTCTAAAAAAGTTTTTGTCTTCTTTATATAAAAAATCATGATGGTGATGATATCAAAATATTTGATTATGTGGTAAGTACATTCACCGTCAGTTTAAAAAGACACCGAAATACCAAGAGAAACTACAAGGCGAACGAGTTAAAAGGTCGCAATTACCATAATATACAGAATGTACATGAGCAAAAACTTTTAAATTATAATGCTAGGATATTTACATTTCCCTGTAAGAACATTATATTACATTTCCCAGTTTTGTGCTAAGCTCAAGTGGTGTCCTAGTCGTTTTCACATTCTTTCATTGCTCCACAATATCTTTTTTGATTCTTCTTCCCTCGCTACGTAAATAAGCGTTTTAACTTCCAACATTCTGTCAATTCTTTTAATCTGACGTCGTCGGAAAGGTTCCGGCTGAGAACACCAGTTCTGTAATTTCTACAACAAATAGTTTACTGCCCAAACCATACGGCTATGGCATAGTTTATACAATGTTTGTCGAATTAATAAAACAAAAATTAAGGACTTTATCGGGATAAGTTGTCATCTTCGTAATTTGTTTAGTTGTCTGGATAGCATATTTATAATATAATAACAATTTGCGCCTTTTGCCAGGCGCATAGTCACCGAGCTGAACGCTTTGTTAAATGAGTACAATGAATTGTTGAAATTATTAAAATCACACATGCTCAAGCTATAAAGTGACAACCACGCTATTGTCATCAATCCTGATAGAACACCAGCTAGAGAGCATGTCCGTAGATTCAATGCACCTGTTGTTGACGACGTTGCTTGTAGTTAGCGACCGTACGCTACGCGACAAATCGTGATTCGAAGAAGAAATAATAACGTTCATTGCTGATACCCACCGTTCATATGATGATCTCAAATATGCGCTAATTTTATAGATAAAAAGCTAACAGGGGGGAAAATATGCACACCGGGTCAGCTAGCTGCTTTGTCTACAACGCTTCATTCCTCTTTCAATTATAATTAGATCCTTATAGTGTTAGCTATTTTTTTAATGAACTAAAAAATATTTTTTACAAATAATGTACTGTAAATTTTGGAAAAAATGAAGAGCATCTATCTAAATCACTATTAAAATTTTAACTACCCCATCTTTGACATTAAATATAACGCTAAAATCTATTGATAACAAAAACATCTAAATAAAATTGTATGATATAAAATAACCTCATTCTTGTATTTTTATATGAAATAAAGACGTAATATTATCATGTTTATTTCAATTAGGAATTTCGTATTTAGGCCGTAACTGTGGTTACAAACTGGTTTCTAAACCACAAAATTAAGGTTGTTTTTGAAGGTTTTTTTATCAATTCTCATAAATTGTGGTAATTATAAACATCGTTTTATTTTTCCTGTAGTACTTACACACTTCACAAATTTCGGAGATAATGGGGCGGGGAGAATGATATTTTTTTCTTAAACTTTCAATGAATTAAAAATTAGTTTTAAAATATACAAATGAAGTCCTTTTATATGACACCCCATTTGGACTACTAAGTACTTTCTGAAAGTCCTTTTAAGTACACTTTTTGGATTCCCTAGTAAAGAAAATAAAAATATTTGTTCATTTATTTCTATTGCAGAATCTGTAGGTCAATAATATGTAAAACTCTTCAATATTAGTAGTTGCTGAGATATAGCGTTGTGACAGACGAACGGCACCATAAGGGTTCCTTTTTTTAATTTTTTGGTACAGAACTCTGAAAATGGACCGGGTTGGTGGCAAAAATATTGTGCAAAACGACGATAACCGGGGCAGCTAGTATAAATTTCATTAAAATCAGTTCAGCGGTTTCGGAGATTAACATGAACGAAGAGAACAGAACAGGACATGGAATTTTTATTTATAAAGAAATAAAAAACATATTTTTGACTTCATTGGCACATAAACTAAATAACAATTTAGGCGAATCCATTAATAAAAAGACCTAATAAAAACCAGTTTACAAAGTATTTTTATAGTGAAGTGTGTATATTAATGAGAATAAATTTCATATTATTAGGATACCTAAATAAAATTGACTGTCATATCGGAATGTTGTAAGTGTACTTTTGTGTTTCTAGTGTTCATGAAGTGAAGGTGTAGGAATCACCTATATTTTAGGTACTCATAATTGCATTATATTATGAATTTCTAGCTTCTTACCCGCTACTTTCATTTAAAAGATTTCAAAAATAGGAAAATCAATGTAAAGACCATTTTTAATGGTATACCTATCAAGGCATAACATATACTAGTTTTTTTAAAATATAGACTTTTAGGAACACAACTGTAAAAACCGCCTCCAATTTGGTGCAGTAATTTTTGTGTGATGCCGAAATAAACGTACATATAGCCAGTTAATTTTACACTTTCGCGTTATTTACACATATTTTAAATTCACGAATGGAACTTAAAGCGACGCGATTACAGGTCTACATAGAGATAAATTTGGTAACAAATATTATTTTAGTTTTTATTGCCCTTATTAAAACTTCATATAATTTTTTTTTTAAATATCTCCCATATACAGACATCGTCTGATTACAATTTTATTATATTAGTAAGTTTAAATAGTCAGATGCAACAATTAGGTATACTATAGGTACATTTTTGGCGCGTTACATACGACTGATTGACTATGAAGCTATCGATAATATTCTTAAACTAAAACTGTATAGATAGATATAGTACCTGAAATAGACTTTGTATAAACTTCGAGTCTAAACTATTATCAAAATTCACTCACGAACTTCACTAGAACTTAACAAAAAGCACTTAATACCGCACAGTTAAATAAATAGGTACAAAGAACACTCAGAATTAATTTAACATCCTTGACAGATTTACATTCTTCGAATCACCTAGTTATATTGAAAGGTATCACTGTTTAAACCATAGTCAGTGCACTGCACGTTGTTTAATAAAAGTTAGGATTGTTTTGAGAATTCACAATTTGTTAATTACTTAAATACCATTGATTAGTATTTCGTGTTTCTTCTTGGTATACAGGCACACTAGTTTAATTCGTACGGATGACGGTAGCACTATAGCTTGGCCAAGCAATGTTTACAAGGGAGCGTGTCAGCGTCGTGCGCCGGGGCGGCACCAACCGGGCCAAGGCCGCACTGGAGGTGATTACGAAGTCTTCGTTATGTCAGCTTGCGTTCTACTTATGCAATGCTGGCCACCGATTCAATGCAGTTCGATGAACCAGTCGCATACCTAGAACGGTATGCAATTAGTTTATTATTTCCTAATTAACATAATGTGTAACATCTCGATTATGACGTCGATTACTGCATGGTTTTGTGTAATCGGCCAATAATTTTAAAAACTACAATCGCTATAAAAGTCAACTAACAGATGTACAGTAATAATATATAAACCGATCAAGTGTGAGTTACACTTGCACACCGATGTTCATACATTCTGTAGATACTTAGTTTTTTTTATACAACTACGAACGGCAATCAAGCTCACCTCGTAAATAGTGGTAACCATCGCCTATAAGTATTAACAATACCCTGAACATCACTGTATGATATGACATTCGTTGTATGGTACTCCTCATGCATCGCCGGCAGACTGGATATTTATTTCGCAATTTTGTGTATAAATTTTATCTTGGAAAAATTTTGGAAAAATAAAATTATTGTAGAAAAATAAAATTGGTGTGAAGAAAACTAAAACCTAAGTAAAATAAGAAGTAATCCCTACTTTCATAGAATAAACCATTACAGTACGTTAAGAGTCAGATTTGTTTCCACGGCTCGTAGTAGTGAAAATGGACAATATGATCAGTTGAACAGAAGGAGAGAAGAACATTTGAAATATCTAGAGAAATAAGAATAGCTTCTGATATCGCGCGATCCTATTCCTCACGCAATGTTATTTCTGACGATTAAGGAGTTATATATTCCTACTTAGTAATTTCACTACCACATCCCACTCTTCAAACCGAAACAACCATGCAAGCAGAGTACAGATGGGCAAAGCACCGGGTTTAAACCCGGTGCTTTGGTAAAAACCCAATAAACACCCATAAACTCCCATAATCACCCAAAAAAATAGGTTTTTACGTATTTTTTTGAAAATATGTAAGTAATACCAATAAATTATTTTTATAAATTGTATTGATCAATTCTACAATATTAAATAAAACGTTAACTAATAATATTTCAGGAAATTTTAAAAATCTATATATAATAAAATGAAAGTAATTAATTTTCAGTGTTTTCATGTTGCAGTTGATCAACATGTTGGCCTTTTGCTTCCCGTAGATACTTTAAAATTTCTTCATAACACCTCGTTCGCACACATGGCCGTATATATTTAAATTCTTGAGCCACTAACAGTCCGAAATACTCATTTCTTTTATCCTCTTCTCCATAAATTAAGCATTTAGAACAGTTTGTTTCTTCTTTCAGTAAATTTTCTTTTACTTTATCCTCGTTTTTTTTCTTTGTTGCGACGACGCTGGGTAAATCATCTGGACACTGGGTCTCACTATCGCCAAATATATTTGGAGATCGGCTTCGGCTACGGCTTGGCAGACATTTTTTTCTTTCTACAATTTTAAATTAAATTTATTAGAATAAATGCTTCGAACACACGCGATCTAAGTACCTTTTGTGTTTATTATACCTTACCTACCTAGGTATAAAAAGAGTACTTACGTAGATTTTCTTTTATTAACTGTTTTATACGAAGATCTTGATCTCTCAAATTAGCATCCATTTTACTTCCAGTGATTATCAACTAAATTAATAATCCACAAAGTATTAAATAACGTTTTTATGAAATATTTAGCACAAAAACAATACCCTTTAAATATCGATCGTCAGTAACTGTGGCTGACTTACCTATATTCTAGCAAGCAGGACTGCCAGATGTGAAGGGGAAATCCCCAATAAATTGTTGCATGTGACTGATGATGTGAGCATGTTCGTTTCATAATAAAAATGTTGCCAGGTAACCAAAAAGTCGTATGTTTTTGTGCGAATTACGATCATAATCTTTACGATCGTACATTAAAAAATAGACAAATAATAGTATGAGTACGATTTAAATCGTATATCTGTCAACCCTGCTAGCAAGACAGCGACAAAATCACGTTGCATAACAATGTAGCCCAAACTTATATCTTATGAAATATACGGAAGAGATACGGACTTAGAAAAAACAGAAATGTTGTTCTTTGTGGAAGTCATTGATGAAATTCTATGTATTTTAGCCCGCAAACTTTCTTCAAACAAAAACAGCGCCATCTAGTATCGAGTTCTGTAATTATCTCTTTGTTTATGGATTTGAAGTAAGACCGCCACGCATGCAATACACTATGACTGGGGATTCCCCTATTCGTCGACGCTGAATATGAGGCGACGACAATCACTGTCAAACGTGTTCACTATTACTCTGACTCTGGTAACGTGACTTCCTGGTAACGTGTTAGGTAGGAAAAGCAGTAAAAAAGTGCATATTAAGGGAGCAGATTTGAAATAATATTTATACTTAACAAGAAATAATTAAAGGTAAGTGGATTTTTGAATGATACAATTATATCATGATCACTTAACAATTTTAACTTAAAATTAGATGTATTATTACAAGCTTTTATTTAGCTTGCGTTATGTAAATAAAAGTATGTAGGTATGTTCGTATGTTGATGCAATTATCCTCAATCCTCAACCGACTGGGATAAAATTTTCCATACACGTTTATTTTGGATGATAGTGCATAGTTAGCTGAGAGTCGTCATTGGATAATAATGGTGGATAGCCTAAGATGTGTACTAGATATTTATTTTTAACATAATATGCGTAAGTACCTAATCGAATTAAAGAAGTTGCTGAGAAAAATACAGAACAATACGATAATAAACTAGCGTCTGCGTTTAATCCTCCGAGGAGATGTAATTTTACAAAGGTTTTTTGTATTTATTTTATTATTTTTTTAATAAATTTATTGTAAATAACAAGAAATAATCATTGTAAAAAAATAGGCACTCTATTGTTGAATTTTCGTCAGACCAACTAATCATCGTTCATTTTTTTAGGTTCAATGGGGAGACCTAAAGATTTACGCATATGGGAGCACTACCGTACTTTACCAAACAAGTCTGTTTCTTGCAAGCTTTGTAATAAGGTCTACAAATTCAGTAATGCTGCCAAAATGCTTCAACATCTTATCACTTGTCCAAAATCTCCAGAAACATTAAAAGACTCTATGAAACTTATAAAAGATAGCTCGTCCAAAACCAAAATGTCTGGACTGTCAGAGATAGAGACAAATGATTCTTTTATAAGCCCCTCGTCGTCTGCTAACACTACAATAAATGCTGAGTTTCAAGACACCGATGATCATATAAAAACAGAATTAGCGAGAGCTATATTTGTAACAGGGACGCCATTATCGATGGTGCAACATCCTTTATGGATACAATTTTTCGAAAAATTGCAACCAAAATTTAAAATACCTTCACGTAAAGCTTTAGCGACAAAATACTTAGATAAAATATATAGAGAAATGCGTTTTGAGTTAAATGAGGAACTAAATGCTTGTAGTTACTTACACCTTCAGTGCGATGGCTGGTCTAATTTAAGAAATGAAGGAATAATAAACTTTCTTATATCAAAACCTCAACCTGCATACGTTAAAAGTTTGAATACAGAAAGTAATCCTCACACTAGTGAATACCTTAGCCAAGAAGTTGAAAAAGTAATGAAAGTGTATGGAGCAAATAAGTTTCTTGTACTTATTGGCGATAACGCTAGAAATATACAAAAGGCATTCGAATTAACAAAACTCAAATATCCACATGTTGTTCCTCTCGGTTGCTGTGCACATATCCTTAACTTGTTGTGCCAAGATATTGTAAAGATACAAGAAGTAACTGTGTTTATTATGCAAGCCATAAATATAATAAAAACTGTTAAAAGGAGTCAACGATTAAGTTCCTTGTTGATAAAATCAAGGCAGGGTGAAGATTCTACACAAACACTAAAATTGCCTTGTGCTACAAGATGGGGAAGTCATGTTACTTCGTTAAAAAGTTTGAAAGCAAATAAGATAGCTTTGCAAATATTAACAGTTAGAGAAGATGTGGTAATTTCAAGAGATATTAAAGATTTAATTCTAAGTGATGATTTCTGGACGAAGACAGGGGAATGTATAAGTATTTTGGAACCAGTCACTGAAAGCATATTTTACTTAGAGAGCGACCAGAATCGTTTGCATCGCACATACATTACATTTAGAGATGTACAAGCTAAGATACGTTTTGCATTAAATGAGATTTCGACATTGAGCGAAGAAAGCAAACAGCAGATTCTAACATCAGTATCTTCAAGATGCAATATGGCAATGAGGCCAATACATTTTGCAGCATATATTCTAGACCCCAGGACTCTAGGAGTCGAACTTACTCAAGAGGAAGAACTTAAGGGTATGGAGTTTATCTACAATTTAAGCCAACACTTAAGTTTGTCAAATGTAATGGCAGATTTGGCGTGTTATAAAGCTAAAGAAAACTTTTGGGCCAGAGGATTTGTATGGAGCTCATTAGATAGCATTGAGCCCCTAATATGGTGGAAAGGTATTTGTGGTTCCACTGAGTTAAGCAAAGTAGCGATTCGTATTCTATCAGCTCCCTGTACTTCGGCAGCCACTGAGCGTTCCTTTAGTATCCAAGGCTACATACATAATAACAAAAGAAATCGACTTACAACTGAAAGAACTGAAAAAATTTCATTCATTTGTTATAACTGGAATCTTAAACATAAAGCTGAATGCGAGGACATTCAGTTTAATGAAGAAAATACCTTAGAAGCTTTCATTGAGCAAGTAAATGAACATAACAGTTTAGACGAAATAGAGCCTATCGAACCTATACAATTCATCGCTTGTAATAACTCTGAATCTGACAGTGATTGACTGTAGTTTTACATTTTACTTTCATCTCTTTCTTAATAAACTCAAAATCAAATTAAAAGTTTTTTATTCTGTAGGCTGCATAATAATATTGTCTATGTCCAGTATAGTGGACGTCTTGCGGCTGAGATGACGATGATGAAGTACAAAATCATAAACACCCAAAAATTTGGGTGTTTATGGGGTTTAAACCCAATAAACCCAAAACACCCGGTTTTTACCCACCAGACTTTAAACCCACCCAGGTGGATTGCCCATCTCTAAAGCAGAGTTATTCGGCGCCAAAAACATGCATAGGACAGAGATAGTTATAAAAATCATTCTCATTTTCAGTCAATCTTCCTATAACTTTCTTTAAATCCCTTCTTATTCTTTATAATTTATTTAAATAAGTATCTATTTTACTGAACTAGGTGTTATTTCGTGGAAGACCATATCACTAACTACTTGGTTAGAACTATTTTGTTTAATTCCACTACATTAGTACGTGTGTGACTGCCAGCACTTGAAGATTGGCCACTACTATTACCATCAGAAGTTCCACAACCTTCCAGAGTAGCTAGCAATCTTCGACTGCCCGTTTGTTTACGCACGTTTTTATTAATAGGGTTTAACAGTTCCACTCTTAACCATTAATACGCCTATGTTCATTCGATAATTGTGATTAAAACCAGACAATAACAAGTTTGTTCCTTGAATTTTTAATTAATAATCTTTCTATTTCTCTCATAAATTATTTACAATTAGTTAGGATTTTGTACTCTAAGGACTTCGGAGAAAATACAGAATATTGTTTTATAATTTCCAAGTCGTAACCCAATATACGAGTATGAGATAAAAAGAGATAAAAATGACTTTGTGAATGTGCACATAAAACCCTTTAATAATGATATATCATTGAGAAGGATAGGTCCATTTTACAATTATAAAGAAAATAAAAATAGTTTCTAAATTATTTCTTTTGCAATAGAAAGGTCGGTCAAATTGGTTATTTTTATTTAGAACATTTGGTACGGAATAGTAATAAGCACCACAACGAGACTAAAAATGTTGACTGCTTGGGTACCTCTGTCCGTACTCGTGTTTCTGTCGGGAATAGAGATGGGCAATCCACCTGGGTGGGTTTAAAGTCTGGTGGGTAAAAACCGGGTGTTTTGGGTTTATTGGGTTTAAACCCCATAAACACCCAAATTTTTGGGTGTTTATGATTTTGTACTTCATCATCGTCATCTCAGCCGCAAGACGTCCACTATACTGGACATAGACAATATTATTATGCAGCCTACAGAATAAAAAACTTTTAATTTGATTTTGAGTTTATTAAGAAAGAGATGAAAGTAAAATGTAAAACTACAGTCAATCACTGTCAGATTCAGAGTTATTACAAGCGATGAATTGTATAGGTTCGATAGGCTCTATTTCGTCTAAACTGTTATGTTCATTTACTTGCTCAATGAAAGCTTCTAAGGTATTTTCTTCATTAAACTGAATGTCCTCGCATTCAGCTTTATGTTTAAGATTCCAGTTATAACAAATGAATGAAATTTTTTCAGTTCTTTCAGTTGTAAGTCGATTTCTTTTGTTATTATGTATGTAGCCTTGGATACTAAAGGAACGCTCAGTGGCTGCCGAAGTACAGGGAGCTGATAGAATACGAATCGCTACTTTGCTTAACTCAGTGGAACCACAAATACCTTTCCACCATATTAGGGGCTCAATGCTATCTAATGAGCTCCATACAAATCCTCTGGCCCAAAAGTTTTCTTTAGCTTTATAACACGCCAAATCTGCCATTACATTTGACAAACTTAAGTGTTGGCTTAAATTGTAGATAAACTCCATACCCTTAAGTTCTTCCTCTTGAGTAAGTTCGACTCCTAGAGTCCTGGGGTCTAGAATATATGCTGCAAAATGTATTGGCCTCATTGCCATATTGCATCTTGAAGATACTGATGTTAGAATCTGCTGTTTGCTTTCTTCGCTCAATGTCGAAATCTCATTTAATGCAAAACGTATCTTAGCTTGTACATCTCTAAATGTAATGTATGTGCGATGCAAACGATTCTGGTCGCTCTCTAAGTAAAATATGCTTTCAGTGACTGGTTCCAAAATACTTATACATTCCCCTGTCTTCGTCCAGAAATCATCACTTAGAATTAAATCTTTAATATCTCTTGAAATTACCACATCTTCTCTAACTGTTAATATTTGCAAAGCTATCTTATTTGCTTTCAAACTTTTTAACGAAGTAACATGACTTCCCCATCTTGTAGCACAAGGCAATTTTAGTGTTTGTGTAGAATCTTCACCCTGCCTTGATTTTATCAACAAGGAACTTAATCGTTGACTCCTTTTAACAGTTTTTATTATATTTATGGCTTGCATAATAAACACAGTTACTTCTTGTATCTTTACAATATCTTGGCACAACAAGTTAAGGATATGTGCACAGCAACCGAGAGGAACAACATGTGGATATTTGAGTTTTGTTAATTCGAATGCCTTTTGTATATTTCTAGCGTTATCGCCAATAAGTACAAGAAACTTATTTGCTCCATACACTTTCATTACTTTTTCAACTTCTTGGCTAAGGTATTCACTAGTGTGAGGATTACTTTCTGTATTCAAACTTTTAACGTATGCAGGTTGAGGTTTTGATATAAGAAAGTTTATTATTCCTTCATTTCTTAAATTAGACCAGCCATCGCACTGAAGGTGTAAGTAACTACAAGCATTTAGTTCCTCATTTAACTCAAAACGCATTTCTCTATATATTTTATCTAAGTATTTTGTCGCTAAAGCTTTACGTGAAGGTATTTTAAATTTTGGTTGCAATTTTTCGAAAAATTGTATCCATAAAGGATGTTGCACCATCGATAATGGCGTCCCTGTTACAAATATAGCTCTCGCTAATTCTGTTTTTATATGATCATCGGTGTCTTGAAACTCAGCATTTATTGTAGTGTTAGCAGACGACGAGGGGCTTATAAAAGAATCATTTGTCTCTATCTCTGACAGTCCAGACATTTTGGTTTTGGACGAGCTATCTTTTATAAGTTTCATAGAGTCTTTTAATGTTTCTGGAGATTTTGGACAAGTGATAAGATGTTGAAGCATTTTGGCAGCATTACTGAATTTGTAGACCTTATTACAAAGCTTGCAAGAAACAGACTTGTTTGGTAAAGTACGGTAGTGCTCCCATATGCGTAAATCTTTAGGTCTCCCCATTGAACCTAAAAAAATGAACGATGATTAGTTGGTCTGACGAAAATTCAACAATAGAGTGCCTATTTTTTTACAATGATTATTTCTTGTTATTTACAATAAATTTATTAAAAAAATAATAAAATAAATACAAAAAACCTTTGTAAAATTACATCTCCTCGGAGGATTAAACGCAGACGCTAGTTTATTATCGTATTGTTCTGTATTTTTCTCAGCAACTTCTTTAATTCGATTAGGTACTTACGCATATTATGTTAAAAATAAATATCTAGTACACATCTTAGGCTATCCACCATTATTATCCAATGACGACTCTCAGCTAACTATGCACTATCATCCAAAATAAACGTGTATGGAAAATTTTATCCCAGTCGGTTGAGGATTGAGGATAATTGCATCAACATACGAACATACCTACATACTTTTATTTACATAACGCAAGCTAAATAAAAGCTTGTAATAATACATCTAATTTTAAGTTAAAATTGTTAAGTGATCATGATATAATTGTATCATTCAAAAATCCACTTACCTTTAATTATTTCTTGTTAAGTATAAATATTATTTCAAATCTGCTCCCTTAATATGCACTTTTTTACTGCTTTTCCTACCTAACACGTTACCAGGAAGTCACGTTACCAGAGTCAGAGTAATAGTGAACACGTTTGACAGTGATTGTCGTCGCCTCATATTCAGCGTCGACGAATAGGGGAATCCCCAGTCATAGTGTATTGCATGCGTGGCGGTCTTACTTCAAATCCATAAACAAAGAGATAATTACAGAACTCGATACTAGATGGCGCTGTTTTTGTTTGAAGAAAGTTTGCGGGCTAAAATACATAGAATTTCATCAATGACTTCCACAAAGAACAACATTTCTGTTTTTTCTAAGTCCGTATCTCTTCCGTATATTTCATAAGATATAAGTTTGGGCTACATTGTTATGCAACGTGATTTTGTCGCTGTCTTGCTAGCAGGGTTGACAGATATACGATTTAAATCGTACTCATACTATTATTTGTCTATTTTTTAATGTACGATCGTAAAGATTATGATCGTAATTCGCACAAAAACATACGACTTTTTGGTTACCTGGCAACATTTTTATTATGAAACGAACATGCTCACATCATCAGTCACATGCAACAATTTATTGGGGATTTCCCCTTCACATCTGGCAGTCCTGCTTGCTAGAATATAGGTAAGTCAGCCACAGTTACTGACGATCGATATTTAAAGGGTATTGTTTTTGTGCTAAATATTTCATAAAAACGTTATTTAATACTTTGTGGATTATTAATTTAGTTGATAATCACTGGAAGTAAAATGGATGCTAATTTGAGAGATCAAGATCTTCGTATAAAACAGTTAATAAAAGAAAATCTACGTAAGTACTCTTTTTATACCTAGGTAGGTAAGGTATAATAAACACAAAAGGTACTTAGATCGCGTGTGTTCGAAGCATTTATTCTAATAAATTTAATTTAAAATTGTAGAAAGAAAAAAATGTCTGCCAAGCCGTAGACGAAGCCGATCTCAAAATATATTTGGCGATAGTGAGACCCAGTGTCCAGATGATTTACCCAGCGTCGTCGCAACAAAGAAAAAAAACGAGGATAAAGTAAAAGAAAATTTACTGAAAGAAGAAACAAACTGTTCTAAATGCTTAATTTATGGAGAAGAGGATAAAAGAAATGAGTATTTCGGACTGTTAGTGGCTCAAGAATTTAAATATATACGGCCATGTGTGCGAACGAGGTGTTATGAAGAAATTTTAAAGTATCTACGGGAAGCAAAAGGCCAACATGTTGATCAACTGCAACATGAAAACACTGAAAATTAATTACTTTCATTTTATTATATATAGATTTTTAAAATTTCCTGAAATATTATTAGTTAACGTTTTATTTAATATTGTAGAATTGATCAATACAATTTATAAAAATAATTTATTGGTATTACTTACATATTTTCAAAAAAATACGTAAAAACCTATTTTTTTGGGTGATTATGGGAGTTTATGGGTGTTTATTGGGTTTTTACCAAAGCACCGGGTTTAAACCCGGTGCTTTGCCCATCTGTAGTCGGGAAGCTATGGCCTGCCTGGCTATTTCATTTAAAAAAAATCCTTTTCTTTCCATTTCATTATAGTAGTTAAGTTCTAAAACAGAGCTGTCCAAAGCATTTGCAATCTTAGGCCAATACAAGTAGCAATATAAATTAGGCCTAAAAGAAGGCCACAGAAACTATTACTTTGTTTGAAGGAACAAATACATAATTTGTTCCTCAAATCTGTGCCTCTAGTGAGAAAGGGTTCAATTCAAAATGGCCACTTTTCAGGAGAGCCAAAAAACAATTTTAAATAAAGAAAAAAATTCTGCTGCTTTTATTATTTGCTAATTGAACAAGTTAATGATTGCTTTTATAGTAATTTTTTCTCCTCTTTCTTATGAAATTGTCGTTTTTTGTGTAAAACCAATAGTTTTAAAAATAATTCTATTATACCTAGTCACACTTAACAAAAATATTAAAATTATCATGTGAAAATAGTTTTAAGTTGAATTAAAACTATTTTATTGAAGTATTGAAGAAAAACAATGTTGTGTATTTTACGCTATAAAAATAATAAATGGTGTAAAAGGGTTCAAATCAAACTGATTCATTTTACACAAAAATAAATTCATATTTAAAGGGTGGTTCTAAGTATCTTGTCATTTTTGGCACTATTTTTGTAAAATATTGTAGTTTTATTTCTAATTATGACTTTTTTACCACAAATATTTTGTTAATTGTAGCCTTTTACATGTTTACTATCTCTATTGTTTTTAAAGATATCGTTACGATTCTTATACCATTCGAAAGAGAAAAATTTGCTTATTTAAAGTAGCCTAAAAAATAAAAAGGTGTAATACACTACATAAGTAGATATATATATATATATATAGCGGCGCACCCGCCGGTAGCCTCGCGCTGTTGGCTCGTTGCTAAGCAACGGATACCCCGGTAGCGGTTGGGCAACGGGAGGCCGGCGGCAGTTGGTCGTTGAACACCGCACGCAGCGCAATAGTCTTTCAACTTATTTTAATTATTTTTATAACGATCCAACAAAGGCTATAACTTGAGTTATACCTTTCTCACTAGAGGCACAGAAATTAAAAAAACACGATTGCCCTAACAAAAAACGAACAATTCTCCAAAAAATTATATAGCTTCTTGGAGCGATGATTTTATCAATATGCCATACATCCAAATCAGTTCAGGCATTTAAATGTTATGATGGAACAAAGAAACTCACATACGAGTACCTTAAAAATATTACACAATTTTTTTGGGTTAGTGTAAAAGTAAAAATACAGGGATTTAAGTAGGTACCTAATTTTATTATTTCTTCGTTCATTTATTTTTTACAATTGCATCAATATCAACAATAATATTAGTCATTGCCAGACGCAGTACAGGTAAAAGTGACTTATTTGTATTATATTTAAATTTTATAAAATTCATGGTTTACAAACAGTACCTACACTATACATCATCAAATGTATTTTTAGTAAAATTCGTTAATAATAAAATAATATTCGTTCAAATTAAATTTACAAAAGGGATATTTCCGTAATTGTGGTAAATCAAGAACATGCCGCGGGCCGCACGAATAGAAGCCGAATTCGACCCATCATCGTCGACTATTTAATAAAAATAGTAAATATAAAATTCTAATTTTTGATATCTTTTCATTAAATAACGTGCACGTTACACCCCGTGTTGCAGGCGTTCATATGCTACAGTCGCCATATCATCAGACAGGATGTATGTTTGTTTTGCCACCTTCGTGAAAAATATTCGTATTCGTATAAACTATTCTTTTTACGATTTAATGACATTATGGAGCCACGTCACGTACATCTTCTAATGTACTCGGTGTCTATACCCTGTCAGGTCGACCTCCTCGTGGTTCCCCCTGGAAACCATCGTGGTTAATTGTAGTTGAATTCGTCAGGATGGGTTAATTAATTGACTTGCTTTCATTCTTATCTATCATCTCCCACTGGTGCCTCGTCAGTGTATACCAATAGCAGAGGCGGGGTTACCATATCATTATCACACATTAAAAAAAAACGTTACTCGGTGGTACACGTTCGAAACTATATAAATAAGTAATTGTAATAGTAATATTACATTATTCATGTTGTATATTGTTACAATTAGGGTAGACCTCTAAAAATAACAACATCGAGATTTTTAAGAAACCACTCTCGTTCCAATGACCTCACTGTATCGATACAAATTGTACAAACAATTTTACAAGTATTTTCAAATAGGCAATTATAGTATCGATATATGTATATAATACAGTTATATTAGTGGTAGGTAAGATATCCGCAGAGAACATAGCAAGATATACTTTTACAATTAAATGCCCATAGGTACCTATAATATACCGATTCCATACAATATCGTCATATAATTTGTCAAAATAGTATACAGGTATGTATGTTTACCGTTTTTTGTATTAATATTTTAGTACCGGTTACAACTTATACAACCAAATATAATAAATGGTTTGACGATGGTTATGTACTCACATTCTGGTACTTGTATGAAACTATGTTACCATTTCCAGACTATATTAAGAAATAGTGTAGAAGTAGTGTGTGTATTAAAAAAAAAACTAATTTGTTTTAATAAATGACGTAGTAATTTATAAAAAAAAATGAAATTGTGGTAAGTGTGACATAATCGAAAGAACAAGCGACGGTTTAGCATAATATTCAATAGATTTTATTTTAATTGGTAAGTATATTAATTAATTCACAATTTAATATACCGGAACTGACTTTCTATGTTATATTTGCAAATTTAATGTACTTACAGAGTTAACCTACTAAATTCATTGATGTTTCCACTATTTATATTTATAATTGTAAGTAATGACAAATTCTTAAAAACTTAAAATTATGTACCAAAAATATTGCATCACTTAGTATAGTATATGCAGTTTATTGTTAAATTGTCACCTTTTTAAAATAACCTGTAAAACCGGTTTTAAGTGGAGATAAACTATATATAAGTATTAACTTTTTTATAGTCAGGGAGGCAAACGAGCAGACAGTCCACCTGATGGAAAGCGGCTACCCTTGAATACCTGCAGTACGAAAGGAGTTGCTTGTGTGTTACCGGTCTATCGAATATTTATAGGCACGTTTTTCTAAATACCCGATATTATATTGTAAGGGGATAACTGAAGACGGGAGCTCATTCCACAACCTAGATCTACGAGGTAATGAACGGGATGGTAGAGCGCATGACACACTACCACTTTCCACATGGAAAGTGGTAGTGTGTCATGCGCTCTACCACTCTACCACACACAAGAAAGGAGACTCACTCTAGCTAGAATTGTAGTCAGTTAGCAAGAATTGTCAAACTTTCAAATTGCTCCACGTTGTATTGAGTCAAGTGGAAGGAATTGATACTGGGGTGCTCCAGTCCATGATGTGAGCAGTACATACGAGTATGTAGGCGAATTTGGCCTTAATAAAGCAGGAGACTATGTTAAGGAGTGAAATACTCTTTCGTCTTGCTTGGAATCCCAAATTTCTTAGATGCCAATTTCGCGGTTTCTTCTAAATGACCTCTGAATTGAAAGACTCTAGAAATATCAAGTCCAAGGATCTCGATGCTTTTATAGATCTCAAGAGGAGTATCCAGTACCTAAGGTGCTCTATCAAACGAGGTTTTTTTTTTGTAGTAAATGCATAGACCGTGTCTATGAAATGTTAAAGAACACCAAATTACATTTTCTTCACTCTGAGAGCTGCTCCAGGGACGCCTCAAAGTTAAGCACCAACTATCTTCTACTGTTTTCCGATACAATTTATAATAACAAATAGGGCTATTCCATTTGAATTACTTATTCATCTATGAAATTTGATATAATATAGTACTTGAAGTAATTTATACTAAACATAAGTTTTTTTAATTGTTGATGGTTTTCCATAAATTTTTAATTTTTACATTATAAAATAAGTTTTTTATGTCACCTACTGATGTCTTGATACATATGTAGATAGTTTTACAACTCTATGAACATTCTATTTTTTCAATGTATTGTTTTCTCAAAGGTTGTGTATGAAAATTCTTAAGTAGCTGTTTTCAAAGGTAAGATAACTACCTCAAATTTTTACATATAAGCAATTTTAGTGATGTATTTGGTATTTCTAAACTTTTTTCCTAGTGGTTAAAAAAGTGCAAATTAACATGCTTCACTCTATATGAAACATTTTCATTACTTAATTATATTTATCTATCTTTATGACAAATCTAAACTTTACGATACTTACATTAAATTCTTGTAAGGTTTAGATATGCGACTTGATATAATAATAATAGGCAGGAGGATAGACAAACAAATCAAAACTACACACTAGTGTTCCAAGCCGAGTAGAAAATCTGTTTAGAAGAATAATTTAAATAGTATGCAATCTATCTTTAAACACTTACTTTATCTAGTATTATAAGACCATGTACTTTTGATTGGTGAATGTTTATCCGAAAACAATAGACCACAGGTTATATCTGGCATCACGATTATCTGGAATAATTTTATATACATTCCATTTTCATGTATATTTTATGCAATCGTTACTCATCCTTTACCATAGGCTTCGTTTCCGTAATCGTATAATTTTATCTTGCGATATGCACGATTTTACGTTAAAATATTAAGACGTCACCAGTTCCATTTTTCTGTATTTTTTTCTAAGAGTCGACACGGAATCCTTAAATAGAATGGGATCGAGGCGGAGAATAGATCGCATCAATGGCATGTATCCCCAAGCAGTGGCGAACGTATTGAGACACGATTGCCGTTGAACAAAATGTTCGGGATCACTCCAAGACGACCTGTAAAAAATTAAGAGGCTCTATAATAAGTATTATTTTGTGAACAAAAAACTTTGTTATTGTACACCTTGAATTGTTCACGATATATGAAGATAAAAATAAATAAATATTATCATTACTAATACATAAGTAAATACAGAAATAAAACATCTCATAATAAAAAAAAAAAGTACCGACACAGTCATTTTGCGCGCCTATATATTATCGTCGGCTAAATGTCTAGACTGGTTTGGCCGGTGACATGGATTAGAAAGAAATAAGAAAATCCTTTAGAATAAGCTATTATCTGTAAACCAAAAGCAAGGTATTTTTAAATTTTTGGAAAGTACTTTGCAATGTTTAGTTCTTTTTGTACTTTTAAATAGAAGCAATCATAAGCATTATTTGGTAACAGGCTGGATGTAGAGACCGGATATTTATCCAAACATCCATTTCATTTCTAGTCACATTTGAGTAAAATAATCGTAGCGGTAGTGCGAACTGCGAATACGTACCTGTACCTGTGGTGTGGCGCCTTGTAGCGGCGGCGCTGGGCGAGCTTGAGCGGCGGGCGGCGCGTGAGGTGCGCCACGAGGCAGTTGAGCAGGATGTCCTCGCAGTTGCGCGCGCGCCGCACGTGCAGGCGCAGCGCGGGCGCGGCCGCCGCGTACAGCGCCAGCGTGCCGCGGTGCACCAGCGCCGCGCCCGGCAGGACCATCGAGTACGCACCGCCCCACTTGCTGCTGTAGCCCCATGCGCCCTGCGCAAAACAAACATTCAATATATGGTAAAGTTATTAAAAATATAAAAAAAATACAAAAACTACACGAGACTGATTTATTAACTAAAGTTCTTTTATAGTAAAAACTACCACAATGCTAGCTGTACATACAGTGAAGGTTTTATGAAATGACTGTATCACGTGATCTTGAAAGTAACAATTTTACATACAAAAGTTTTAACAGTATAAAAATGTCTACTAAGCGGTCTCCATCGTCTAATAGTTTTGTTCCAGTCGTTTGCCAAGACCCTCGTAAACTTGTGTTATTTAGTAGTCTTCATTTACACAAACTTATAATTGTAAAACTAACTTTTGTATGACAAAAGTGATGGTCCAATTTTAGTCCCTTTTTTCTCAGCTAAAATCGGTCGGTAAAACCATAAAAAAAAGTTTTAAAAATGCCTAACATTTACTTACATCAAAATATTTCTTAATTGGTTCGACTATTCAATTGACATAGTTCCAAGTTTTTTTTTTTTAACAATACTATATTTCAGCGAGAAGTTATTTTCTAGAGATAGCGTTACTATTGCATCATATTTGTAATTTGATTATTATTAGAGTTCTGTACCAAAATGGTACAAAGGAAACTTTATAGTGTGACTTGTCCATCCATATGTCTCTGTATATAATTCTGTGACTGTCAAAGCTTTAAAAAATAAATATAGTAAAAATATACCTTAGCTTCATCCCAATAATGTGTGCGTGCGGGATAGCCCACAATGCGCTCGGGGAAGTGTTGCCAGACTCGAAATGCGAAATCCAATTCCTCAGCCAACAGCGGTGCATCCCCATCCAAAGAGAATACTGCAGCTGTGGATACTGCCCACAATGGCTGCCATCTTGCTGATACGCCTTCTCTGAAATAAATTAAGTTGTTAAAAGATTCATATAATAATGGTGGCACATACGGACACAGAAACTAGAATTTAACACAATAACCTAAAAAAGGAAAATACTCTAAATATAATAAAAGAATTATATTTAACTCTAAAGATACTCTTATAATCATTGCAAGTTATAAGCATTAAATTAATATATTTTGGTAATCTTATTTAAATTGAATTTAGTTCATTCCCGAAAGATGTACATATATAAAGATATATTTTACATAAACATTTATTTTAACTAGACAAGGTTATCGACCAAGCAGTTTAATATAAAAGTTTATTTCAATTTATTAAGATAATGTTGTCATCTATATTTAAATATAGGAGCAAAAAAATTAAACTAATATGCAAACGATATTTTTTTACCCAGGATAGTGAGTAGTGGCGTCGATGACCAGCACAGGCAATGGATCTCGTGTGTCTCCAGCTACACGTGCTAAAGATTTCAACGATGGCGCTGCGCGTTCGCTATCCCATACCAGTACCACCTGTAAAACACGATGTTCAGTACAATAATATACACAAATTATAAAGTAGAGAATTTAATAAGTAATAAATAAGTAATTTAGTAAGTCAATTTTATGTAGTGAATACAAAGAGAACAACGTATAAGCAGCAGAACTGGAAGGAAGTAGGGGTCGAATATTTGGGTCAGGTCACGCCACAATACAAGCAACAGAGTACTTGGTATTTCAAGATTATTAAATAAAAACAATTATGAAGTATTATATTATAGCATATTCCGATGTAAAACTTGTATACAGGTAAGCATATGGGGAATTAACAATTTTCATATATATTTTTAATTGAAATTTGTTCATTCAAGATTGAGCTCATTCTGAAAACAGGTTGTATCATTAAAAATTAGTCAAATCTTGAGTGCAATGAAAATTCAAAGTGATACCGTGAATGTGTTTTGACGTGACAATTGAGTGAATTACGGGAATACCAGTGCGCGTACTTAGGAAGCGAATAAGAGTCATCTGTTCACATATTTGTAAAGTTGTTGGTTTAGGAACTCAACAAGTTTACAAAAACTTTACTTTAAACGTGAACAACCACCAAATACTTTTAATTTTATGGAATCCCATATCAAATGATTATAAATCAAAGATATATTTTCCGCTATTTCAAAATAATATTTGTACTTAACTGTGGTTATTATTTAATAGCCAAAAATAAATAATTTCGCAGAAGCCTGGTGATTTTTCTACGGAATCCCTAGGTTTCAATGTACTCACTTTTGGAATCGTCGCTTTAGATCATACGAAAGTTGAAATCAAATGTGTTGTAAGTTTAAAATAATATGAAATTTAGAACTTTTTAAAGTTCTATTGGCAAATGGCAAAATTATAATAAATAAATAAATAGTGAGTAATAAACAGTAATATCGCGTTCTAACGATATCATCCTATAATAGATATTGAATTTCATGAAAATCATGATACAAGAACAGACACACACTTATGACGAAGCTATAAGGTTCTATTTTAGTAGATTTGATTACGAAATCTAACGGTTATTCCGTTAGGTTTCGTAGTACCTAATAATAATAATGAGTATAGATATCTCACAACTGTATTATAAACGCGAATATTGTCATATCAATTATTTTATAATAATATTATATTTAATGATATAAGTTAGATAATATATATTTACTACTATTAAAATTGTATGCATTAGATTTAATTTTATTTACTCAACGAACACTTTTTTATAATAATTACGACGCCCAACAAATTATGTAACATCATGTATTATTACAATGTAGTACCATTTATTTTGAGAAGCAGTTACCGTTTATCTCTTTTCTTACTGTTGTCACTCTATTTTTATCGTAGAAATATGATACTTGATGTCTTTTTCGTATCTACTTCATGATTACGTTATTGGATATTCTGTGAGTATTTGTAAAAAAACACATTAAGTATAATTAGTCAAAAAATAATAATAATACCTTTTCACAAAATTCACTACTCGCAATATTTGCGAGTAATTTGTGTAACGCTGGCGATGTTGCTTGAACATACAGTAGTGCTGTAAAAGTGTTACCCGGTGTGGGCGGTGGTGAGGCGAGGGGTACGGACGGCGCAGGGAGTGGAGCGGGCGGGGCGGGGGACGCGGGCGGCGCGGGGGGCGCGGGGGCTGCGATGGGGAAATGAGCTCGGGAGTCTCCATATGTTGCTAAAGTTCCCAGAGCTCCAGGCGTAGCGTTCCATATAAGAGCCTCACGTTGCCTTGACGATCTATGTGCCAATATACGCTCCAACAATATCTGCATTTAATTTTTTTATATTCATATAAATATAAAACTGTTGCCAAACAATTGCTTATAAAAACATTATTATGTTATTAGTAGTATTTATGATACTCTTACCTCAATTGTAGTAAAGACTATTTTTTCGATAGAAGAAAAATACTGTTCCCACAATAATTGTGTCTGTTGTCTTAACGCAAGCACTCGTTCAGGTGACACTGAACGGACTAACTCCGGTACCTAAAACAACATTAAATACATGTAACCGGCATTTACAAATTACATGTAACCGGCAGTTGTTACATTAAAATTATTTATCAAAAACCACGGTAGTTAAAAACGTAGTCTTATTTTTCCTGGAATAATTATTCCATATAAATAAAACTATACCTGTGTTAATTAAAATTATTACAAATGATTGATTGGATTAGTAAAACCATTTTGAAATGTTGAATATCCCTTTCAGTCCTTCTAGGAAAAAAAAAAAAAAAGATTAATGTTTTTGCAATAATTATGCGCCAATAATATCTAAAATTACTTCAAATTTCATGTCGATAGCATTAGTAGTTGATAAGATAGCACTGTGATAGTCAGAAAAACGGACAGGTGGACAGAAGAATAAAATCACACCATAAGAGCACCTTTGCAATAAAATAAAATAGTGAATTAGATCGTAATAAAATAGTAAAGCAATATAATAAATTATATTGCTTTACTATTTTATTACAGAATATGGTAGCACCTAATCTTCGGAAATGGCAACGATTGTAAGAAACCTCATGGTTCTCTCATATGTCAGTGTATTCTGTGAAGTGCTACTATATACTATACCTATAAGCGACGATTAACACTTTCTATCGGATGAGCAGTCAGCTTATTTACCATTTCAACTTGTACAACTCCTTTCTGGACCTCTAAACAAGTCCGTGAGATAAAATGAGATAGCAACGCCGGGTGACTCATTCCAACTCACGGACACGCTAGCGATGTCGATTCATCGACGAATTCGCTTGCCACTTGTCTAGAGGCCCAGATGTCACATAGATAATGTATTGCTTTATGCTGTTGTGTTTATTTCAAATATTATCATTTAGTTTTCTTTACGTATAAATATCGAAAAATACATTAAATACCTGTAATAGTAGACGTTCATCGGCCCATATAACAGCACGACGCCAATCAATACGTTCATCAAACGGAAGTCGCCAGCCATTACTTAGCAAAACGGGGACACAACCAGCTGCTAATGCTTCAAGGAAACGATATGAACCAAGGCGACGACCACGCGCTACTAAACAAAATGTTGAGTTTGCCAACAATTGCTCGTAATCAAATCTGGAATAAAATAAAACATGTATTGGTGGCATAATTGTTTGATGTATTTAACGTTAGCAGCTTATATGGACTTAACGTTATTTTAACATTAATAATTAGATAAGTTAAAAACAATCTAATCTGTTAAAATAAAATAGTAAAGGTTGAAAAACCAGTACATTTGAATCTTTATTTTTGACGAAAATTAAAAAAAAATCTCACTTATCATATTCTCGATTATCGTCATCACACCTTTCATCCCTCAAATCTTTCCAAGATTTACCATGACGACAAGTAGTAACTAAAATAAGATTGTTGCCGTCATGTAAATGCCACAGTGAATTTCTTGTTTCACTGCCAATTCCATGGACATAACGTTTCCCTTTAAAAGCCAACAAGTGCTGCCGTGGCGCTGGGAATGGATTAGCAGTAGCAGCAGGAGGCACGCCACCACGTTCTGGATGTTCTTTGTGAAATAATGGTAATGATACATCAAATCCATCACGAAAAATTGTTTCAGATGCACTGGCTCGAGCTAAAATAGCTTCACCAGGATCAAAGCCTAGAGCACCCTCTGCATAATCTGGCCATGTTCCAGCATATAAATTGAAGATGAGATGATTTCGGCCATTCTTCCAATACGGCAAGCGTAATAATCGTGACTCAACATCAGGAACATGCTCTGGTGATAAAGGATCTGCATCCAAAGTATCCACAGCTGGCAAAAACAGACAAGCCTCATTGGGATCCTTTGTAGCATACCGTGATTCTCGTACTACTGATAGTACTTTACGATAAGAAGTACTTATAGGCCCTTCTGTTGGATACACATATATTTTTGGATCATTTCCACATCTGGAAAAATCAAAACATGTCTCCATGCGACATGGTTTAGCATTGGAATCTGGCTGTCTTTGAAGATGTGAAGGTGCTTCCGATAATTCTTCAAGTGAAGCAAAGGTAGGCAACTGATCACGGCGACTACTTTGAACTATTTCCGATTTTAATGGATGCCCACCAAAAAAACAATATAACAAAAAGGCACATGATAAAATTAGAAGAACATATCGTTTTTTTGCTTGCATCTTAGGATCATTCAAATCAATTAACATTTATAGTTATTTTAAGACTCTTGCATGATGAAGAAATCTGAAAATTAAGCATACAATTAAATAATTTCTGGGGCTTAAAATTTCAGTAGGTATGTTTATAGAAGTTTACAACTTGCAAATTCCATCAAGACTTTGTGACACAAAAAGTTTGAAAGTGATTGGGTATCATATGAGATATAAGTAGCTTGTAGGTTTGAGGGTTGAGTTAGAGCATTTACTTTTAAATCATCCTACAAACCGAAACATAAAAGATAGAATTGTTACAGAGGAAATTGAAGAATAACATTTATAAAATAAAGAAAAAATGTAGATGGGTAGGACATCCTATGTTAGGGAAAACCACAGAAGCAACATTAACAGATTTTTTTAATGGGATTAAGTGGAATGGTTACCCTACCGGTTCTATTAGTATATTTTGGTGAAATCAGTGAAAGCTACTAAATGACAAATAAGTTGGCTTAGTTGGGCTACCATAATGAATTCATAAGGAATTAACTATTATAATTTCCAGGGGGAATTGTATAGATGTTCCTGGTAAGCTGTGCTAGCAATGAGAACTGACTCCTTATTATTATCCTTACATTACTTCAACACATTAACCAGTCTGGGAGATGGAGGTTGTTCTGACTAGCAATGGAGTTGCTAAATCATATTACAGTGAACACTCTCTATAAGCAACATTCTTTATATTTTATTTATTCTACTTAGCTTATTTAGTAAAAGATATAAATAAAAATATTCTTAACATTATTGGACCTTTAGCACTGCCTTTAATACTATTAATTTTGATAGGATTGCTAACCTCTCTCAACATATTTCCAACAGCAATTGACTGGTTTCGTAGTTACCTGTTTGGACGTCGGCAACGTATTCGCATTGATGACATTTTATCTTCTTGGTGCCATACGTCAGCTGGCGTGCCGCAGAGTGGCGTCTTATCTCCTCTTATATTTGCCTTATTTATTAGCACTATCACTTCGAAACTTCAATCTTCCTACCACCTTTATGCAGATGATTTACAGATTTACTCTTTGGCCTTTCTTGTTGATATCTCTTTAGCTATGTCTACTATTAACGCCGATCTGGAACGTATATCTGACTGGAGTAAATCTTATGGTCTTGTTGTAAACCCCCTGAAGACACAAGCCATTATATTATTGGTAGTACCAGACTTATTTCAAAAATTTCCTTGACCAGTCTTCCGCTTGTGGTTTTTGATGGGGTTTTAATAGATTACCAGAAAAAAGTAAAAAACCTTGGCATTATTTTTGATAACACTTTGTCATGGTCTCCACAAATCAGGTCAGTTAAAAAAATGTTTGCTGCTACTAGTGTCTTCAATAGGTTACGTAATTTCCTCCCAGTTAACACCAAAATTGCACTCGCACACACCTTACTCACATCCATTCTTGATTATGCCGACTCATGTTACTTAGATCTCACAGAAGAGTAATTAAACAAGCTTGAGCATCTTTAAAATTTATGTATCCACTTCATATTAGGTCTTCGCAAATATGATCACATTTCTCAATTTCGTACTCAACTCAAGTGGCTCCCTATCCATTATCGTTGAACCTGCATATCCTGTCTCTTCTTTACGCAATCCTTTTTGATCCAGCTGCTCCTGATTATCTAAAAGACCGATTCTTATTTCTTAGTGAGGCTAACATACTAAAATACTTTATGCAGTGTCAATAACCTCCGCCTCAAATTTCCCGCTCATTATACTTCCTTTTATTCTAAATCCTTTACTGTTCAGGGCATTCACCTATGGAACTCACTACCTACCTCTATTCGGTGTGCTCAAACTCTTACTAGCTTCAAAACCTCTATTAAATCCTACTACCTCTCCCTTTAGTACTATTTTTCTGTGTTCTCTTTTTTTTTACTACTTCATTTTCTTCTGTTGTATGTGTGCTATTAAGTATGTGTATGCTTATGTACATATTTGATAGTGTATATATATATATATATATATATATATATATATATATATATATTGGTTGTTTTGAAGAGATTTCTTAGCAATAAGGCCACCTTTTGTATCACTTCTCATTAATATTTACTGTATTTGTTATTTTTCTTTTTACATGGTGCAATAAAGTGTAAAATAAATAAATTACCAGATGGTTAGTATTTTTATATATATTTTTTTTCCCTTATAAGCAACTTTTCCCAATAAGAAACTATTTTATTTAAATTGGTTCAAATGAGTTGCTTATATAGAGCGCTCACTGTACTAAGAATCATCTACCCTTACAAAGTTGGCAGGCTAGGCAATCCAGAACATAAAAAAGAAACAGGAACTACCACTGGCACAATAGGTTAGAGAACATAACGCCATACCTGGTGCATTAAGCATGATTAAAAAAGAACAGAAGACTCTAAAAGAGAACTTTGGTCAAAAGAGAGGTGACAAAATAGTTATTGATAAATAATAATTGTGTTCCACAAAACAGACAATTGTGGCAAAACCAGTTACTTTGATTTAAAAACTACTGAACTGATTTCCATAAAATTTCTATGGGATCAATCTGTAAGGATATCATAATCATCACCACTGCAGCCATTATCTGTCCATTGCTGAATATACTGCCATAAGGAATGGTCCTGAGCCTTTCAGATAAAGATTTTTCCAAATTAGTCTAAAAATGATAGAGTTATGAGGTAACAAACATAAAAAAAAACAACAGATTTGAGAATCTTTTTGAAGTCAGTAGAAAACATTTAGATATTTGTTACTTTTTTAATATAAACTAATAAAGTGGAAATATACTAAATTTTTAATAACTTCACAAATCCATAAAATTAAAACAAACATTATTAGTCTGATAAAGTTTATAGTAATGTTATTTGGATTTTGTTACAATTTTGAACCTGGTAGATATTCTACGTTAGGGATAATTATTGGTCACAAAATTATAAACTAGCCTTTAGAGTGTATATGTTTCCTGACCGGCACACAAAGTAGCCTATATCCTTCTTTAACTCATATAATAAGTGTACACCAAAATTTCATAGCGACTGGTTATGCCATTAAAGCGATATAAGGTAACAAAAAAACAAACTCACTTTCATATATTGTAAGGATTAATAACTACTTACAAAGAGTACTTAAAACATCATCTAAAATAATTTCATTAGAAAAAAAATGTATTAATATTTAGAATTACATCACTTTGATAAAGTACTTTTATACGTATACAATAATATCAGCATTTTATAAATAAATATATTAACGAGAAATATCCACGGTTTGTTTTGTTTTTTTTTCCATGACTTTTTTACTGGGGTTTAATTTTTTTTCAGGATTGCCAGATATGGTCTTTAATTTTTACCCAACTGTCAACTTTTTTACTCCATGTCAATATTAATCCTTAATTTTTACTCATTCCAAACTTGTTAGTACATTTAAATATAAAATATTTTTTTTAGTACTTTTAACCCTTGGATCATATAAATTGTGCCCCCATCATAGACATCTAAATAGAGAAGATGAATAATAGCGATACGCGAATATATAATTATACTATAGGACTACTAATTATTCGCCTGGATGTTTCATTCCAATTATTCGAATGTATTTGAAAGTCATTAGACTACTAATTTTATTAATTCAATATACTGCTTCTATTAATTACAATACTAAATAAAACTGATTTTTATAAAGGTTGTTAATACGAGGGCTGCCTTTTAAGTTGTGTCATTTGAAATAAGTATAGACAATCTAATAGATTATTACCATTTACTGTTTTTCAAAAAAAATCTCTACGATAATTAATACACTTTTGCATGCGTTCAAAGCAGTTTTTAAAACATTTATTCCACTCCAAAGTGCGGAGTAGTCAAAATGACTGATTTGTAATCGTCAACAGCTTCTTCAGGTGGGCTGAAATGTCGACCACAAAGACTTAAAGATGGCACAATCATTGAAATCCTTTAAAGCAGGTATCAAAAAATTTTATTCTAAAAATCCCTCTTCATCGATTTTCGATGATTCGAGCCAATTATGAATATATATATATATATATATATATATTTACTGGGTATTATTTAGTTTATCTTTAATTGTACGGTTATTACCCTTATACATTCTACAGTTTTCTTTCATCCCTTTATGGGATAAGTCCGCCAATGTATTATATATTAAATAATTTTATGTATTCAATATGAATTATGTATAATAAAGATTTTATAATATAATACAACACTGCTTAATTTTGGGGAACGTAAAAAAATGCATGGGTTTGAATATAGTATTAATGTGAATTGTATTGTAATTGTAATTATTGCAATTTTTTTAAATTAATATTATTTTATATAATAATTACTATAATGATATAGTAACGTATTACAAGAATCTGTAACAGATGTATATGAATAAATATGATTGATTGTTTGAATCGTTAGGGCTTAAGTCAGGGCTGTAAGGCGGATGATCTAAAATTTCGACATTATGGATGCTCAAAAACATCTTTGTTTGGCGGGTAGTGTGCGAACGTGCATTGTCATGGCGCATACGACGTCTTAAATTGCTTTTTCGAAATTCAGTGATGACTTGTGGCAAACAAACAGTGGTATACCAGACAGCGGTAATCGTCTTGCGATCTGCTAGTACAATAGTGGCGACGTGGCCACCCTTTGCCACAAACGAGGCAACCATTTATTTCGAAGTGCTCCGTGAGCGTATGGCTTTGGTCGGTTTTGGCTCATCCTGGAAGACCCAGACTGCTGTTTAGAATCTGGATCGTAAGCATATATCCAAGACTCGTCACCACTAACCATATCATAAACATGCTTTGACTCTCCTCGGTTGAATCGCTACAGAGTTTTGCGACACCAACTAACACGGGCTGTACGACCTTCAGGACGACCTTCACGTGGCTTGTCATATATATACTGATATTTCATAGTTGAATTATAAGATTTTTAATAACTAATTTATTAAATAATGAAATCATTCGGATTCGCGCATTGCTAATGGATAATATTGAACTTTATGTATGAGGCAAAAATTTTGTTGTTCTTCTGCCATATGACAACTGTTAACCCGATGTAATCCTTCAATCTCGGATAGCTATACGCGAATTTACTAATATGTCTACTAACTATTCGACTGAACAATTCATTGGAATTATTTAAATGATTTAAAAACCATTAGACTAGTAATTTTATTCATTCGGCTATTAATTTTATTCACTATACGCTTCTACTAATCGCTAAAATCATTACTTAGTAGTTGCTCATGTACGAGTTGGTACGACCGTAGCCAAGTCGACCCGATCGCTGGAATGTCCTTTTTTTGTTAATGGTAAAATAGTGTTGCCATTTTAGTATATTTATTAAAAATTAACAATTTATATTAAATATGCTAAAAAATCTAGCGATCAACTGCATTTGTTTGAAATATGAATAGTAGTTATTTAATAAAAAAATAAAAAATACTTTACACACTTAATTAACTAATTATTTGGTAAATTTTTAGTAATTAATTACTGTTTATATTTCGAATAAATATAGTCAATCGTTGGATATTTTTGTTTGGTCGTTCACTATGACCTATTAAGTAAGTAAATATTAAGGTAGTAGTAGGTAGTACAGGGAAAGGACTTTATTTTCTTTATTATTGGTTTACCCCGAATTATTAATTAGTAACATCATTCAAATACGAAAATTAATAAATTAATAATTGAATTATAACATTCCTAAAAGCCTAACTGTAGTTGCCAACTCGCCTGCCAAACGCGGCAAATACTGGCAAAACTCCCCTTATAGGTAAGGCCTATGTTCAACAGTGGACAGATAATAAATAGTTGATATAATTGCTTTAAAATTTAGTAAAATTTTGAATTGAAGGTTGAAAATCGTACAGTTACTACTTTATTGTATTGTTAGTAATAGGGATTTAAGGCCCTTTTGCAGGAGAAAAGGGATTGTTTGTAATACGGACTATCAGCTCTATTGTTAGCAATATACCCTGGCAGATCGACCTTCATGTGGTCGCTCCTGGAAACCATCGTGCTGAATTCAAAGTGTATTCATCACAATGGGTTAACTGACATGCTTTTTATTCTCGACTGTCTTCCCTCCATTAAAAAATACGGCCCTTTTTTAGTAATATGCTGTACTCACCTATTTTCATCCTCACCTATCACCCTTCATCGGTGCCACGCCAGCGTTTGCCGCAGGCGCGGCAGGCGATAGCGCAACTACAAGAAAACTACAGGAGTACGTAACCCATTCCAGTACAGTAGATTTTAGATAGGGTGACGTCATCTTCCCGAAATTTTTCATAGCTGCATTGGAAGTTTGAAACTTTCGAACTGGAAGAGATATTGTATAAATATAAATGGTGAATACATCACACACCTTCAATCAATTTGCAGAGATATAATAATTATGATGGAATCCCTATCTGGAGGTATTAAACACTATACACAATGACCTCAATAGTACTGCAACAGTTAGATCTTAATTTTGATTGAACAAGAAGGTAAATTTTAGAAATTAAGTACATCGTAAACATTTGCTCCCTTTTCACCTTAAATTAAATCAAACATAAGTAATTATAATCTATTATATTATTATTTGCCTTACACAGGTATCTACTCACTTTGATTGACTGACTGCAAATAACGACTGAAATTATGATATTAAACATAAAATACGAACAAAAATATTTTCGAACTAATTATTTATTATCATAATTTTTTTAACTTCACAACATTGCTTTGCATACTATATCTCTAGAATACTGACCATACTAATTGGTAGTACTAGATAGTAATAATTGGTAGTATAGACTTTAGATCATTGTCTTATAACACCAACACATATTTTCAATTTGCTTGGATATTTGCTGCAAGTTCTTTAGTTTCGTTTTTAGGCTTTTTCTGTTGCTTTTTTGTGAATATGTGTAGTATAGCACGACAACCTGGGTATAATTCATATTTAGTTCGTGATATTTCATTCTTTATTCTATTTGATACTGATTCCTGATTCAGCATCATTCTTAAAGCTTGTTCCTGGCTTAAATTATCAAGTTCTGTAGCTCTGATTTTCAAATCACACCTATCCGCACCATCAACCTATAGAAAGAGATAAGTTAGTTAAATAAAAAAAAAAGTTATTTGCATAGTTTTTAAGGTTTAATGATGGGAAATGAAATTAATCTGAATATAGAGGAATAATACTTTAGTCCTAAGGAATAGCAACTTATCAAAGTAATAAGTGTACTCTGTAACATCTATAGTGCCGTTTATGTCTATAAGTACCACTTATCATTAGGTGGGCCATCATATTAGCAAATAAGCTCCAAAAAAGATATGGTATATTCAAAACCTACCTTGCATAAAAATGATAATTTGTAACTGTCATCAACCTTTGGCCATTTTTGTTCAAAGACATTTTTATTCCAATTAATAACATTATTTGTTGTTGCAGATTTTCTATTGGGAGCTGATAAGAAACCAGCCCAGAGCTCTGAGCAAAAATGTGGCATAACTGGAGCCAACATAATAATTAAACATGCTAATGCCTTTTCAAATTCTTGGCTCTTGCTTATCAATTCACATGGCAAATTATTCTGAAATATAATTATATTACAGTAATTTAATAAAATCAACATCAATAAATATATAAACAATGAGGTAGTGCTACCAGAAAATTATAATACAGATCCAATTTTATTCATTTATGTATTTTAAAATATGTATAATAAAATTGTAACTCAACAATGTCTATACATAGATTTAAAAAAAAAATATAGTGTCCTAATAAAACAACAGAAGCGAAAACAATATTTTTTAGAATTTTTTGTTGTATGTTTGTTTCGGCACCATGCCTTAATAAGTTTGGTGTAATCACCAAATTGGATATATAGTTTTTACAGTTCTATTCTTGAAGACTAAACTTAAAATTCAGTGTATGTTTATCTTGATGCATCATCTAGCCAAGTAATTATATATTTATTTTTAAGTTTTATTTCAAAATCTACATGTACACAGTCACGGGCAAAAGCTAGCAAAAAAAACCTTTTGAACATAATGCGGTAACAGTTTGTTGTTGGATTAAATTTAAAGCCACCTTCATTATTAGTTCATTACTGGACAATAAAGTCAATTCTGAGGTACCATTTCCTAAACATATTCTAAAATTGATATTTTATTTAGATGTTTCATCAAGAATTAAATATAAAGTAATTCTGATACAATTCTAAAAAAAAAAATTGTTAATACTAAGTAGGTGTAACTTGTCGAAATATATTCTCGTTTCTAATAAACCATAAACCATGCAACGCGAAAGTCTAAAATTTAATATTAATCATTATCAAATTAAAATTTTACAAATGGAGATATAGTACGGTACTTCAAAATTAACTCCATTGACTACAGATATGTATGTTAGGTACCGTTATCACTATTTTTTTAAATAATAAAAGTAATATTGGCAACAAGGATATAAGTAAAGTTGGGACTATGCGGCCACTTGTGAAAATTATAGGAATTATTTCTTTAGAAATATCACCTTACAGTAGATCACCATGGACCATTCACTGTTTACAGATTACCCTGTTGCTGCAATAATCATACAATAACTTTAAAATACATACTCTTAAGGTATTTGTTAAGCCTTGCAATCTTGAAATACCAACACTAAGTTTTTGAGTGTGTTTGAAATGATAGGTGCTAGTTGCAATAAAATAATTTTTGGATTCCCATATTTTTGATTCTAATTTCATAAATTCTTCATCACTTAAGTTATTTTCTAAAGAAGTATTATTTCTATAATTTAGAAAATCTCTTATAGTAATCCATAGTCGATGTTGCCAATTTAAAACTCCTGGTAATGCTGTAAACATTACAAAAATTACATTAGAGCAGACAGAAAACATGTTTTTAGTTATTCAATCAATAAATTTCTTTTACTTCTATATACAGCTAAAAGATATACAAATTGCTACTTACTTGCGTCAGACCAATTCCTGTTAGTAGCTGGAGGAACATCTGCCAATATAAGGAGTCTAGTTGTATCACAACCATATTTAGATAACAATCTTTCAGGATTTTCTCCATTATATTTTGATTTACTCATTTTTTCCCACTGCACTATTACTGGTTCTCCAGACTTTTTTTCTTTATATTCTTTTCCTATTTTTTCAACACTTTCAGGAGGTAAATATTTTCCAGACGATTTTAGCTTGTATGACTGTCCCATAACCATCCCTTGAACAAGAAGTTTCTTGAAAGGCTCTTCTGTTGGTGTCCATCCAAGCGAATGTAAAAAATAACTCATAAATCGAGCATAGTACAAATGGAGTACAGCATGTTCTTTGCCTCCAATATAGATATTAACAGGTACCTTATTACATAGCTTTTCTTTATCAAATGGTTTTATTTCATTCTGAGGATCTAAAAACCGATAATAATACCAAGACGAATCTACAAATGTATCCATGGTATCAGTTTCTCTTTTAGCATCAGAATGACATTTTGGACATTTACAATTAACCCAGTCATTTAATTTTGTTAATGTTTGACTACCATATTCTGAAAATTCAATGCATGGCAACTTAACAGGTAGTTCTGTATATGGCACGGGTACAGCACCACAATTATCACAATGAATAATTGGTATAGGTGTACCCCAATATCTTTGTCTAGATATTAGCCAATCTTTAAGTTTTGAATTTACAAAATAACCACCCACATTTTTATTATTAGCAATACTTATAACTTTGTGATTATCACTTTCAAAGTCAATTACTTTATCACTTTTACTGACTGATATATTTAAGGATTTGGCTAATTTTAGATCATCTTGATTTGTTGCTGGTGAAGCTATATATACATCTCTTCCAATTGGATAATTTACTTCATCTGTTATATAAATTGGTAGTTCAGTATTAGTAATAGGATTGTAACACAACAAATGGCCCGTGTCTTCAATCGGTATTTCTTGAATTATTATATTATTTTTACTCATTGTTAAAAATTTACCATGAATAAACCTATAAGGTTCATGTGTCCAAACATCAAATTGCTTAACTTTATTACCTACTTTCATTGTGAATGATACAACAATTCCATCACATTCTCCAATCCAATGTTTTTGCAAATTGATAATGTCTTTCCAGTTCTCTAAGTATTCACTATTTAAGCCATCATATAATTTTTTTGCATATTTTGTAGTTTTGATAAACCATTGAGTAAGAATTTTAGATTCAACTTTGGCTCCTGATCTCCAAGAATGTCCAGAATCATCCACTTGCTCATCAGCTAAGACTGTTTTATCTACTGGATCCCAGTTCACTTTTGCCTGTGAATAGTAAATGTTCAGTAATAATTTTTGTAATTATTTATCATAATGTATTGTATAGAGTAGACAAAAATATTAAAAATCTACTGTAAGAGTACATTGTGAGGTTTCTCTGCTTGACAACTAAACCTATAGTGCAATAGAATCTCTTTTAAGCTATTATTAAACAATAATTAATACAATTATATATAAATGTATGTTATTTGTAAACCATATTGTTGTGATTGAACATCTCAAACAACACCACAGACATTGATAAATATACTATGACAGATATTACCCCATAGTTAACAGTACAAATGGAAACCACATTTCATAAATATTTTTTTTAATACATGGTAATAGAATGGTAACCCTGCCTGCGCTATTGGTATACACGGGCAGAGTACCAGTGAAAGATGGTAGGTGAGGATGAATTAGGTCACTTGGACCACCATAATGAATTCAAGAATTAATCAATCATGATGTTTTCAGGGGAACTGTGAGAAGGTTAACCTAAGAGGATATATTGCATATTATATATTGTAAATTATATAAAAAAAGGTATGTGTTTATGCAAAACAAAGATATGAACTGTATAATTAGCTATACAATGTTTTAAAGAATTTAAAATAGATTAATGAGTAAACAGTGTGTTTCTGTTATAGCAGGGTGTGGTTCTCACTACTAACTTGCACTCCACAATGCCCAACATTAAAATGTTTTATTAATACAATGTTTTCAGTTTCACTCTGTTAAATAAATATAACATACTGTAAGTTTGTATGGTCAATAGTTTCTATTTTTTAATGCTAATATAATCTAATTAAAGTATTAGGGTCAAGAAAAAGAATTGGAAAATTGATGAGAAAATTTTCAAGACAGCTAGATTAGAATATGGTAATACATTATTTCCAGTGACATAAATCTATTGAATATTTGTTTTGCCCTTTCAGAGGTAATTACACAAGTGTTTGAAAATGATGATTTAATTTTATCATATACAAACCTTGCTTTGGTACACCATTCCTTTCTCGAACAGTTTCAAAAATATATATTGTGTCCATTTATAATATTGAGGCTCACAAGTGGATATTTCTCGACTCCAATCAAAATTTAAACCCAACTGGAGCAGTTGTTGCTTCATTGAATTAATATTTGCATTTGTCCATTTATGAGGTGCAATATTACGTTCAATGGCGGCATTTTCAGCTGGTAAACCAAAAGCATCCCACCCAATTGGATGAATAACATCTTCACCATTTAGTGCATGAAATCTTGCAATGGTGTCTGATATAGAATAAACTCTTACATGCCCCATATGTAAATTGCCCGACGGATATGGGAACATTGGCAAAATATAGTATGCTTTATCTGAATCTTTATTAATGTTATTTAATACAGTCCTTGACCAATGTTTTTCTATTTTTACTTTAATTTCAGTACATATATCTTGTTGCTGTAAATATTCAAATAAAAAGTTACAGAATATATAAATAACACCTCCATACTGGATGCTGTAACAAAATGTTTTTGTGGGGACTACAAAAATAAGAAAAAAACACCAATCAATAAAATCCCAAAATTAGTACTTACCCATAAACCTAAACTGCTTAGTTTTCTATTTGATAAACTTGAGATGGGTAATGATGCAGCACAATTGCCAAGCCTTATTCTCTTAATAAATGACATTTTCTCAGTATTATAAGATATTTCATCTATAATTATTTAAGTGTTATTTCTGTAATATACAATTTGTAAAAGTAGGTTAAAAATTAAAAAGTTTCAAAAGATATTTTTCTTCATGGAATTAGCAATTAAGTATACCAACTAGCATTAAAACCTACCCAAATAATGTATGTTACGAATGTAAAAATGATTTTTTTAATGATAAATTCTGATTTATACTTCCGATATCATAGTACAATTGTTTTCAAATCAAATAACTGATACAATTTCGATTTATATAAGTGTTCAAGTTTTCATTTTCATTATTTACAAATATATATTTAATGAAATTTAGGCATAAAGCAATTAATAGACAATGTAGTCAGAAAAAAAATTACATTAAATATTGTTATTAAAATAATTAAAATATATATATATATATAAATATTAGGACAAATTTCATAAAACAAATTGAAGTTACAAAATTATGTGACATTTGATGTCAAACTTAAACTATATAGAAGATTCTATATACATTTCTGACGTTTCCTAATCGTTAGTAAGGATTAGCGATGCGCGAATTGATATTATTATGTTATTCTAATAATTAGTAATTACTAATTTTAAAATACGACTACAAAATTAGTAATATACTAATTTCTTTATACGTATGATTATACTAATTAGTAACGAATTACAACAAAGTCCTTGCTCTGTATCTGCTATTACGTAGTCTATTCCAGTTTGCATCCACTACTCCTCGATCACTATATGCGTGAAACCAACATTATAATAATTTCTTAATTAATTACTTTTCTGCTTACTTTTATAATAACTATCGCAATTCGCTATAAATACATTTTTACTAGAACTTACTTACTTTTTTCGAAAATTGGTAATTTTACTACATTTAAACGGGTAACAATTTTGTCTATTACAAAAAAAAATTACAACGATCGAGTCGACATGGCTATGTTCTTGTCGCTACTATGTACAGTCGGACGACATTAGTAGTTGACTGACATTAATAATCAGATAAATAAAATTAGTAGTCAAATGATTTTTAAATCATTTGATTAATCCAATTGATTTATATAGTCAAAAAATTCGGTAGAATTAGTAAAGACACTTGGTACAGTGCCACTAACTTATCTTGTAGCTATAGTAGAAGCGTATAGCCAATGAAATTTGTGCTCGAATGAATAAAATTAGTAGGTGAATGATTTTAAAATAATTTGAATATTCTAACTGAATTGCTCAGTTGATTGAACAGAGGCTGATTAGTAATGTGGCACATCACTAAGTAGAACGTAATAATTTTATTAGCTCTGTTCTCTGAACATATTCTTTTTAATCTGTGGTGATCGGTCGATATAATTTTATAAACTTCATTATCTGCGTCTAATTTATTTATTATTGTTATTAAAACCTTTTATTGGTTTTCTCGTGATGGCAAAACCAAAAAAAGAAGATGCATCTGAAGATGCGAAGAAAATCGTAGATGATGCAAAAAATTTTATTGAAAAGGCCATAGCAGACATTGGAAAAACTTCCGCAACAAAACAGCTAATTTTAGGAACTGCGTCAGGATGGTATGTAATGATCATTACATATAAACATGATTAGTCATTATTATATTCATTTTCATGCTAATTTTCATTTGTAGATTTGTCTTAGTTTATCATTTTCTGTCCATCATATCCGACGTTAACTGTCCACTGCTGGACATAGGCTACAACCATGGATTTTTTAATATTCATCCATTAAAAAACCACATCTTACACTAATATTGAAATGACAAGTTTGTCAACAGTATATGCTGTTTTTTTTTAATGGATGATAATGGAATGGTAACTCTGCCTGCGCTAACCGTATACGCTGGCGGAGCACCAGTGAGTGATGATAGGTGAGGATAAAGCAGGTCAGTTAGCCCACCGTGATGAATACGCCTGGAATTCAGCACAATGTTTCCCAGAGGGAACCACGAGGAGGTTGACCTGACAGGGTATATTGCTAGCGATGGGGCTACTGATCCCCATTACTAACAATCCCTTCTCCCCCGTAATGGGCCTGTTAGGTCTTATTACTAACAATCCCTTTCCCCCAGTATATGCTGTTACTTGTACATGTACAGTTACCAGAATATGCTGATGGGGGCACCAGTCAGGTAATAGGTTAGAATGAAAGTAGGTTAGTTGGTCTAGAATTAATCACAATCTATTTCTGCTGTCACTTTTCTGTTTGTCTTTTGGATATCAATTAAGAGTAAGTGATAAAAGATATTTTTCATGACTTTTGCTGTTTCAAATCCATTATGATTTCCTTATAGTTTTCACAGCATCTGTTATTTTAACCTTTATCCTTATGATTAAATCTTATCTACATTTTTATGTTGAGCATGTTTCTCTTCATATTCTGTTAGCATACTTTTATCTGTTTTTTTTTTCTTTTTTTTATTTTCTTATTTTAATTTTTTTTTTATTTTTTATTTTTAATAAGGCACACATAACAAATTATAACCTTTTTTAGGTTTATATATAGGTAATTATGGTGTTAATGCTAGGTTATAATTCAAAAACAGATTTTAACAAATTTTTAATTAAAATTACATAGGTTGCTGTATATTAATAATAAAAATGAATAAACTTTATACTTACTCAATCTTGTATTTAACCAAAATTCCAGTAATTATTTATAAACTACTAGCATACATTATCCTATTATATAGTGATGATAAAATAATTCTATTTTTGCATATAAAAGTGCCAATTTTTAATTGATACTATTATCAAATAAAAGAGAATGGAGGGAGGAGGATAAGGAAAGGATTGTTATTAACAGGGATTAGCGGCGTCATTCCGAGAGACTCAACTTCCACCTTTTTCCTCTTGGAAACCATTGTGGTTGATTCGGAAGGAATTTGGCCCAATAGGTTAACATACCTATTCTTATTTTCAACTTCACCTATCATCCCTCACTAATACCCTGTCTGCATATTCCAGTAGCGCAGGTTAAGTTATTCTACTTTCTACTATATAATAAAATGATAATGGAATGGCCACTAAATTTTATTATTTTTATTTTAGGATAACTGGTTTTATTACTATGAAAATTGGAAAGTTTGCTGCTGTTGGTATAGGAGGAGGAGTTATATTGTTACATATTGCAAGTCAAAAAGGCTACATTGATATTAATTGGGATAAAATAAATAAGAAAGTTGATAAAATCAGTGACAAAATTGAAAAGGAAGCAACAGGAAAATCTCCCGATTGGTTTGAGAAAGTAAGTATTATGTTATTACATATTATGTTTGGACATAAGAGAAAAGCTATTTCTGAATTCTTGTAAGAGGTTGTTTATTAATCATGTGATGTTTTTAACAATTTTTTTACCCCCTTTCCCCCTAGTAATACATGGTGAGGTTTTAGATTAATCTACCTATCCAAAATTACATTTATTTTTTGGTAGTAAGTAGTCTTTAAAAATTCAAGTGGAAGGTTTATAGGTATAATTTAATATTGTTTTGTGTTAATGTGTTGAAGTATGACAATAATTGTTCAAGATTTTGTAAGAAACTAAGTCGACTCATATCTCATTGAAAACACTGAAATATAACAAAATAATGTTTGATGGAACTGTTCCTCTTTATTAGGACAACAAAAAAGCCAACAATGGCTTTCTCTGACCATTTAAATTATTTTTATAAATTTAATGTTTAAAAAAGTTTATACAAATTATGTGTAAAACTATTAAGACGGATACAATTATTTCATACTAACATCACATTGTTTCTACATTGCACCTGTTCAAAGCTGGGGCGGGTCACTAGTTTAGGCATAATTTAATTTAATAAACACCATGATAAAAACGTTAACGTTAAACGGCCACGCGCCGCTATTCGGTTTATAAATCAAACGTTTAACGAAAAAATAAATACATGTGTTGCACATTACTCCCCCCCCCCCCCCCCGCCCCTCACTTGATTTTTGTAATTGTTTCGAATTTCCTTTCCCTCTGTTTTCCAGCCTTACATAATTAATTGACGACCTTTAAAATGGTATTACCACATTAGGTCGATTGTATTGCGACATAACGCCAAACACGAAATTTATTACTTTCGGTCATACTATGCAGATCGGCCATTATGTTAATGAAACGACGCGCAACGTTCGCATTAGGTGTCTGATCGACGGAAGACGGCAATGCTGGATGAATTTTTTTCTTGTTAGTTGCACCACACCCGAGAATGGTCCATGTTGTCCGCTCGTGTATATAACGTGTATGTATAGCTCGTGTAAACAAAAATCACTGCTTGTAACCTCGAGACTGACTCTCGTTCATTTGAATCAATCACGAATTCGAGAAAAAAATCGAATTAGAACATTATTCCAGCCAAAATCAATTTAAGTTATACTGGTTATGTCGATTCCGACATTTAACTTAACATCAGGTGGGCCGTATGCTTGTTTGCCACCTCAGTAGTATAAAAAAAATCTCGAGGCAAAGAATTGCTTCGAGTAGTCGTGAGCGTTAGAGACGAATTATGTCGATTCACCACGATTGAACCACGACACACATCAAATTTTTTTTTCACAAGGATTAACTACGACAGTTACCAGAGGGAACTGCGTGAAGGTCGACCCGATGGCCCTTAGTCTCCATTACTAACAAACCCCCAACCCAAATGTAATTTTTTTTTCTTCAATTTATACGATTTCGTTCACTTTTACCTTTTTTTTTATACAATTTAGAATGGCAAACAAGCTGACGGCCCACCTGATGGAAAGTGGTAACCGTCGCCTATAGACATGAGCAGTACCATGGACATAACAGAGTATACTGTTTCGGCCATGATACTCCCCATGCGTTGCCATTTCAAAGGACTCGGGTGTTATTCCTCTGTACCTTGTAAATTCACACCATATCCCATCCTTCAAACCGAAACACAGCCATGCAAATACAACTGCTTCACGGTAGAAACACGAATGGAATAGAGGTACCCAAGCAGTCGACTTTTGTACAAAGTCTCCCTCTGGTAAAATACAAACTTGTGTCATCCAAAACTATCATTAAATTGCCCAAATTTCTTTTTTCTACAACAATTTTAGTTCTCTAAACTCACTCGAGAATACAATATATTTTACGGAAAATTGCGAAACAGAAATACGGTTAGCCATCCAATACGGTTAGGACTACGTTTGATCATCATCAACGATGCATCCATCTTTAAACTAGTTCCCTCCGCTCTTTTTTCGAAACGGGTTACGATGCTGTATCCATTCCACATAATTGTATCGAGCGATGCGATTAGATGCGTATTAACGAAATATGCAACTATCTCAACAAAATGACGCCATGGGCGAGGAATAACCTGCAAATACATCCACCTTAACAGTAATTAAGTACTAATCATAGGGTCAACAGCGATATTGTTAAACATTTAAAATAATATCAAAATAATAATATCTAATTTAAAAAATATATATTGAAAAATATATGAAGAGTTTTGGTTTAAAAGTTATGCAGTTTAATGAACTGAGTCTGATATGAAGTTTAGAAAAAGAAAATATAATATAATAATAACAGCTAAAATTCAAATCTATAGCCAAAGGTTTAAATTTTTTCTTCATGAAATTCTTATTTTGCTAAATCAAATGTATTTGTTTTTATGAGAATTTGTAAAGTATACGTCAAACCTGTATCCAAACTAAATCTCGTAAAATTTATTTTACTTTTAACATAAAAAGGTTAAAATTGAATTTTTTTTAAGCGATAGATTTTATTCTTTTATTTCAAACCGTTCAGGTTGCGCATGCCATATTATAGAATGTTGCCGACTATAATTATATTTATTGTGATTAATTATTTAAAATATATACTTACCAAAATAAAACGGATACGGAACCTTATAGCACTCGAGGGATATATACCTTTCTAATAGTAAAAGAATTTACAAAATTGAATCAGTAGTTCCAGAGATTATCAACCCCGAACATCTAAACTCACAAATTTACTTATAGACCTAGAATATAGATAAGTAAAATGTAAATATAAATATAGATTTGTGAATTAAATTCGATTTGTAGCAGGACAGAGTAGGAGTATTTAAGATTATTTTCCAGGGGTGTTATATTGTTAATTGGCCAAATATGTATAGACATGTCTTTGAGCATAGCTGGAAGCTCCGCTCCTATCCAGATGTGGGCGCACGCACCCTCCTCTTTAAATTCTTCTATTTAAATTACGTACCTATAATAATAATGCAATATTTATGTAAAATGTACATGCAAAACACCTTTTGTAAAAATTACTTAAATGACAGAAAAACCCTTATCAAAATCCGTTGCATGATTTAAGCTTAAGAGGAGAAACAGACACATAGAGCAACGTTGTTTAAATATATCTCAACTAAAAATGGTTTCACTAAGCCAAGTGTCTACAAGCAGTATCCTATATATATAAACACCTGCATATACTGCAAAAATTGTCCATGTTTCAATCAATCAATATTTATTTTGTTGCAGGTATTATCATTTGTCAAAACCAATTCATATTATTCAGCAGGGTTCACAGGAGGATTCTTTTTTGGCATAGCTTCTTCTTGAATTTAAATTTTTGTATAAGAATTTTAATTTAAAAATAGTTATTGTTAGTAAATTTTAATATCATCTAATATACGTTAACTTGTTTATATTCAACTGGCAAAATAAAATTATCCAATAGGTATTAACTTATCATTTACTAACCTGCCCTTACCAGCATTATTTTGGTAAACATATACACTTAATTTTGATAAATATTTGAGATATCAGAAATACTCACAATAGATTAGTGATACATTTTAACTTCTTATAGGTAAAAAAATATATACGTATAGCACAGTTTAAACAATTTTTTATACCGTGTTTAGAGATTTTTCTCACTTCACATATTTATTAAATAATTTTGCGATATTTTTGTTGAAATTAATCATATAAATATCAGAGAAAATAAATCTTAAGTACATTGATAAGTACAAAAGTAATAATAATCTAGCGATTTCTTATTTTATGTATGTTTGTTCTTTCAGATAAAAAAGATTGATATGTCCACCAATGTAAACTAAATATGCCAAGAAAAAAAAGGCCTACATAATCATAATATAGTAATGTACATATAAATCATGCCTTCTCTCGAAGTAGACTGACAATATTCTGAAATACCTAATTACTAATTATAACTGACAACACTTGGCAATTTATTAATTGTGAATTGATATATAATTATTATAAAAATATGAAAAACAATTCAGTCCTCAAAAATTATTATTGAAATATAATTTTCGTTGTTTAAATTTTCATTGGTTCTAGCATAATTTTTATAATTCTATCAAAATGTGTTTTATATTTTTATAAAATACTGTTTAGAATTCTCAATGTGTAATGCATTTTTATGGATAATTTGTTATAGGTAGAACGATTCGTGGATCGAAAGTTGGATAAGGCTGAAGATTTGTTAAAGAAAAAAGAAGTTAAGGCCAAACGTTGGTACAATAATTTCACTGGAGATGATCAATATCGTGCAACCGAGACTCATGTTTTTCTAGCATCATTTATGGCAGGGATGGCTGTTGGTCTTATCTGTGGCAAATAAAAATGTGCTATTTTTTATTTTCTGAAATGTATGTCCAGTAATAAGTAGTTTAAATTTTGTTACATTAAATAAAAACCGTATTATTTTGAGTTAATAATTATTAGGATAACAATGCGCAATTAAAAAAATCTAATATTTTCATGCTTTCTGCTATTTATTTATAAGTATCTGATGTAAAATGTAATAAGAATAAATAAAAAAATGTTTAAATATAGTCATAATGATAATGATGTACATTTTTAGTTATGTTAAATAACTTAATCGAAGTAGGTAACTACTAGTATTAATCGATTCGAAATAATTGTTATTTTATATTACTTAATTTATTGAAATATAAGAAAATACTAAAATAAGGTATTTATTATTATACGCGAATAAATTGTATAATGTGAGAGAGCGACGGGTGCGTTCTTAGATACCACACGTAAGATTTTGAATTGTAAAATGGTTGGCTGCATTTGAATCTGTTATAAAATGTAGAGGAATATCTATTGGTGAAGAACCGCATGCTGTAGTCTTTTGGGAAAACCTCGACAGGGAGCTCTTTTTGTTTAATGGTAGATTGCGCTAATTGTATACACTGGTGGGCTACCAGTAAGGGATAATAGGTGAGAATGAAAAGGCAGGTCAATTAGCCTATCGTGATGAAAACAGCTGGAATTTAGCACAGTAGTTTCCAGAGGGGACCACGTAAAGGTCGACTTGACAGTGTACATTGCTAGCAATAGGACTGGCAGTCTACATTATTAACAAACGGAATTTTTTTATATATTATCAGTCATTCTGCATCTATAATGAAGTGTACTTAAGGGAGGGAAGGAGAAGGAAAGGTGATTTCTTGGCTGTAAACACGTATAACCTGTTTTTTGGAGATTAAACTCGACGACGTTGGTCAAACCCCAACTAGTAATTCATTCTAGGGCTTCGTTAAGTTAAAAAACTAATTACGCTCTTTAGCTCAATCTCGGTTACTTTGCCGCGCGTCGTCTATAGTGTCGCGCATGTAGTTTACTGCCGTTCTGCATAGCAATGAATGTTGCCTAATTGCAACATATCATTGATATGCAGCAACAATATAATGGGTGATAAGACGAACCCTGCGGTACTCTAGCATTTATCTGTAGAAAAAGCGAGGAACTTGTTACACAGGACACTAATTCTATGTATAAGTACCTGCGTTTTTTTTATGCAACTTAGGAGGCTGACAGCCCACCTGATGGAAAGTGGTAACAGTCGCCTATAGACATGAGCAGTACTATGGACGTAACAAAGTATATTTTTTCGCCCATGATACGCCTCATGCGTTGCCATTCCTGAGGACTTAGGTGTTATTCCTCTGTACCCTGGAAATTCGCTGTCATATTTCACCCTTTAAACCGAAACATAGCCATTCGAACACACCTGCTTCACGGTGGAAACACGAATGGGACAAAGGTACCCAAGCAAAAGAATTTTGTACAAAGTCTCCCTTTGGTATTCTTATATTTCAATAATAATTATATATAAATATAATCATTATCTGTCCACTGCTGAACATATAAATGGCTATATAAATATGCAAACATTAAATTATTAAATGTCTATGCGGAACATGTCTTCATGGTTTGCATAATCTAGTTATATAGTAAATGCAATATATATATATATATATATATATATATATATATATATATATATATATATATATATATATGTATGTATGTATAAAATATACAGAGGAGATGTAAGATTTCAGAAATTTCTTATGGAAGTCTCTTAACAAATCACAATAGAATAATCATAAACAAATAAATAGATAAAGGCAACATTTTTATTCGCATATCAATAATATTTATGATTAAATATTATTTACATAGTAGTTAAACAGTTCTTTTGAAGGTAAACTTTCTAAATATGCTTTAAAATTTGATAAGTAATTTTTTTTCAACAAATAAACAGCTCTTCTATAACGTTTTTTCTCGATGTTGGAAAGTGTAGACCATGAATCATTGGTTCCATTTCTTGCTTGGATCATTTCAAAGAGTTCTTTTGAATTCCTGAAATAAAATTGTTTCTTAAAAAATTTGAGCATTACACAGTAGGTATATGCTTACTCATTTTACAAATGAAAAAGTGCGTTTGTTTGTTATCACTTGGCACTTTAATGCCTCAACCAATCGTCATGAAATTTAATATACAATGAAAACAGGCTAGTTTCTATTCTAGCCATGAAAATATTCCGGTCACGGGGCCACGTTTAGACTAATTGACATCGCTGGCTTTTGACTAATAAAATGGAAGAAAAGTTTGTACCTACCATTTTCATACTGGATGAGAGCCAGATGGCACCACAAATTTTAACAGTAATAAGTTGCCTCAACAAAACTGCAATTAGTGCCAGTGCTAGTAGTCATTAATACCCAAGTGTATTTAGATATACAATGAACTTTTTGTATAAATACGGAAAGATAGTGCTAAATTATTCTTTTCTGGTACCTACTTATGTATATATTTTGGATATTTATTTTAAGGAAACAGCAATGCTAGTTCAAGTTATTTACAATAACTTAACAAACATCTTACAAACATACCCAACAATAATCTAGACATGGTGCAGTTAATTTCTTCAGAACAGACCTGGCCAAACTGATGGTGCTGTCAATTTGCTATGATGTATTTCTATGGAAGAAAATGTACATGGAAAGTAGGCAATATGAATATAAAAACTTGCCCAAGGGCATCAGTTAGGCTAAGGCCGATATTGAGAATGATATCAAGATAGATAGACCATATATGTACATATTATTTACCTGGTGGGGTCTGGTCTTCTAAAAAGACGTACGTGTATTCTTAGAAATATCTTTGTGCATAATTGAAAGGTTTGCTTACACTCTACACTTGGGTGGGGTGGGTGATCCCATCTGATCCACTCAAAATATGACTATGAGATATATATATATATATATATATATATATATATATATATATATATATAGTATTTATAAATTTTGTACCTTACATTTGGAGGCACAGGTTCTATTAACACAGGCTCTGCATGTGTCACTCCACAAACTGATACATTTGAATTTGATATCTCAGGAACATTATTTCTGAAATATAATATTGTACTATTTGTGTAACTCACAACTACAATTAAATCTCTTTTTTTTTCAAAGATATTTTGAAACAAAGAAGAACAATGGTTTGCATAATATGTTTTCAAGTTTAGTACTACCATAAGAATAAATAAATCTGTCCTAGTCCTAGATTTTATGGTAATACAGTTACTATAAGTAAGCTATTTCAGACTAAATCATATTACAGGTTATTAATTCACTTTAAACCCATAAAGAAACATATGTAGAAAAGAGCTGAGTTTACACTCTCAACTGTTTGTATAGAGTTAAATAATTTAATTTTTTTTTAAAGTTTTCTATAGGAGGAGAAATGAAAAATAATTACTAATATTTTTCATTTCTTAACACATAATTAGATTATTCTTGCATAGATGAGATTGATCTAAATATATAAGTATCAATTAATTTTTTTATTACACACTTTAAGCTAAATTTACTCACAATGAATCTGATATCTGTTCCCCAGCAATATTGTGAACTGTCTCACATTTAATTGTTGATTGTGAAAAATTGTCAATGCCAATATTACAACTTTCATCAGATTTATTAATCAAGTCTTCATTTTGATAACTATCAGAGTTTCTGAAAAATAATAAATTCTATTACTTGTTTGTTATAAATTACTCTTGGGAATATAAACAGTATTAAAATTCATTATTACGATATGACTTCCAAAAAAGTGAAACTGAACATACTGTATGCTTGTTAGTATTGTCCTTTCCTTTTTTCATTATACAATTATTCCAATACAGTTTATGTTTTAGGCTCAGCAAAATAAAATCGAAATATCTTTGGTAAAATGATGTTTTCCTAAACCAATTAAAACTAAAACAGATAGCCTACCAAAATAATTTTTAACTCCATGGTTAAAAAAGCTGCTTTGTAGTTTTAGAAAATAAAGAACTTTACTTAACTAAAAAGAAATATACTACCATCATACTATAAGGCATATAAATATAAAGTAATTCTTATAGCCTTGTTTGTAACAAGGAATAATGAATACCTTTTGCAAGTCTGTTTTTTTTTCATATAAGGTTGTATTCTTTTTAAATAATTTGCTAATTTATCCCTCTGTTTCCTTTTACACTCATTAAATTTATTTACAAATTGAGATTTTTCTTCTTCACTTAGCGTAGTCCAAGACTTGGTTGCTTGCAAGATTATTTCTTTATCCTTATAAAAAAAAAATACACTTAGTATAAAAATTTATTAAATACATTATCTTTTAATGGTTGGATATTTTATATTAAATAATGTAACTAATTATCACAACACATTATTAAAGACGTCTGACAAAAAATGTGTGATTTCACATTGTGGAGAGAGTAGAAGTGTAGCTGTCTTTAAAAAGGGGCATAATATTTATTGCAAAATAATTAAATTTTTGTAAAGCACGAGTGCACATTAGTAAGCACATAAAAATTCTAGGTAGAATGGTTCTAAATTATACACAAGTTGTGGCAATATTTATTCGAAGTATTCAAATCTTATTGATTCATTTAGTTTATGTTTATAATGTGCGAAAAAATACTTACCACTTCTTTAGACATTTTTTTTCTTTTACAGTAAAGCTCTATATAAAATGATAATGCTGATTTAGGGCTCTTTTTTGTATTTATGCAAGCCATAATTTTAATAGCTATTTGGGTTTTTGAATAAGATAAAATAAACAAGTAAACAGACAATGTGGAAAATGAAAAGTATTTTTTTTCTGTCTTCTTTTTTTTAATGGTTTTTACGGGATTGAGTTCTAGCCCTATTGTCTTCATTTGTAACTGAATTAATGAATAGATCGCCAAATTTTTATAAAGTTTTCATAATATTAAATAATGTCTATAATATTTGAGATAAGTTTATAAGTACTTTAATAGTTTTTTCTTGGGACAATAACTCTTGCTATTTGGTATATTATCTGAATCTTGAAGTTCTATAAGATTTTCTAATAATCACTATTTTTTTCGAAAAATCGACACTACATGAATAAATATTTTAAATCGGGGTTTTCTTTTTCGTAAAAATTGCACTAATCATTAAGGACAATTTATAGTTTTTTTAGGTGAGTAGGAAAGTTGCAGTATATATTTTAAGCGGACAGCTAATACAACATTAAAATCTGTGAAGGGAATCTTGATAAAAAATTATAATCGTCTGCTGCTTATATCGCGGAGCAATTCGACGAGGAACAAAACAGACATATGTAAGTATAAATATATATAATTTTATATTATTATTTACTATATCAGAAAGGACTTTATAAACTGGTAAGTTGAAATAGTCTTGTTGAGGTCTTATTTACTTTTTAAAATAAAATTTCTTTTTTTCTGTCAATTAATATATTATTATTAGAGAACGTCATTTTAAAATATTATTATTATTGTGTTAAGAATAATATATCTTTATTCAATATTTTATATTTTATTGTTCTACACGACAAACTCTTCATAAGGTTAAAAATTCATTGATATTAGTGAGGAAGGGATCTTTTATTAAGATTAAGGAATTACGTGATTGTGAATGATTGTAGAGAGGATAAAAAATATGTTCTAAATTTTCAATATCGGCTTCACACTGTAAGAAAGAGGTCGTAATAAATATTTTCATCTTGTCACTAAAATATTCTCTGTAACATCATACGTAATAAAATATTTAAATATAAAAAATAACATTATTGGTCTCTCGCAAAACTTCATATCCATCAGGTTATGGGCCAGAAACGCAGAGATAGCGAATTTAATATATCAAGTTGGTTTCGAACTACTAAATAAAACAAATTATGATACATGGCAAATACAAGCGGAGGCTGTAATTATAAAAGCAGGACTTTTCACATGTCTATCCTCAAGCGACCAGCTTGTGAACAGTGATGTGAACAGCTTGTGTCTGAAATCGAGAGAACACTAAATGGAGTTTCTGATTGGGGACGACAAAACTTGGTCCAATTTAACCCCTCTAAGACACAAGCTTGCGCGTTTACTGCTAAGAAAACTCCATTTGCTGTGGCCCCACAGTTCCAAGGCACGTCTCTTAACATCTCTAAAAGCATTGGGATCCTTGGTGTCGATATCTCTAGTGACGTACAGTTCCGTGGCCACCTCGAAGATAAGGTGAAACTGGCATCCAAAAAACTCGGTGTGCTCAATAGAGCGAAGCATTACTTCACGCCGGATCAACAATTAATGCTTTACAAATCGCAAATCCGGCCCCATATGGAGTATTGCTGTCACTTATGGACGGAAGCACCTAGATACCAGCTTGAACCCTTCGACTCAGTGCAACGACGAGCTATGAGAATTGTCGATGATCCCATGCTTGCAAGCGGTATCGAACCCTTAAGTTTTAGGAGAGATTTTGCCTCACTCTGCGTGTTCTACCGCTTATACAACAGATTGTGCTCAGAGGAATTATTCAATATGATGCCTACGGCCACTTTCTATCATCGTACGGCTCGCCATCGACAGGGAGTTCACCCTCATACCTTACAGCCTAAATGGTCGCGTACAACGCGGTTTCAGAGATGCTTTCTCCCACGAACACTCAGGTTATGGAATGAGCTCCCTGCCGAGGTTTTCCCAAGAGACTACAGCATGGGGTTCTTCAAAAGGGGGGTAAAGAGATTTTTTCAGGGTAATTAATTAATTAATTTTTTACGCGCGCGTAATACCTCTGGTATTGCAGGCGTTCATAGGCTACGGTAACCGCTTACCATCAGGTGGGCCGTATGCTTGTTTGCCACCTCAGTGGTATAAAAAAAAAATTAATTGATTTAAGATAGAATATCAGTACATATATTTGTAGTGAAAGTAATTTTTGTTTCAACAAAACATTACCAAAACAAGTTGCTAGGTAACGCACAGATAAAGAAGAGCACTATTATCGTTAGACAAAGATCTTAACAGTAAAATCATGCAAAACAGCAAAAGACATCTGGGAGACTCTTAAAAACTCCTACGAAAATCGTGGACATGCACGAAAAGCCACCTTATTAAAAAAGGTATTACACAAAAAAATTAAAAACGATGAATCCGCCAGAGACTACATATAATACATGAATCGACTTGGTGGACAAATTAAAAGACATCGACATTAGCTTCAATGAAGACCTCCTAAGCATAATGTTACTATACAGTTTGCTAGATTCACACGAAAACTTTAGAGTAGCAGTCGAGTCCCATGATAAACTTTTATACTTCGAAGAACTTCAAACGAAAATTATAGAAGAAAGTGAAGCCCGCTTAAATAAAAATCTGGAAAAGGAGGAAGAAGAAGAAGCATATTATGGAGCGAAATATAAACAAAAACTCAAACAAAGACTTGTATCCAGAGCTGTAAAACATATAAATAAAAAAAAAATAGTCTTTGGGCTTTATTTACCTTCATTTTCATATATAATCTTTCTACTTCTGCTATTTATACTACTATTTACTTAATTACTGAACGAATTACTAATTTATAATTATGGCAAATAATAAACAGTAAGTTATTTATTTATATTTTATTGTACACTCTAATAATACCTATATAAATATGACAGTGGATGGAGTATCAATATCAATAGCTAGGGCAATGTACAATATACTGTGACAATTTACAAATAAAAAGAATTAGACAAACTTAAGTTTATACATAGCAAATTAATTTTAATTGTATATATATACACACACATACACACGGTATGAGGTAGGAGGTATTTTGAGGATAAGAGTTAAATAACATACCTGCTGTTGATGACTAAATGCTGAGATCCTTGATTTTTAATTACAAAAGAGAAAAAAGAGAACCCATTGGTAATTTTTTCTCTTTTGACATTATGTGTTTATTTCATGTTAAATTGTTTTGAGGCCAATAAATATTTTGTTATATTCTAATATATTTAAGTAAAAATGAATATAATTTCGTATTTTTAATAATTATTTGATAGATATGGACTAATCTTGCCAGAGAAAGTAAAAAAACAGCCTGTGTTCCAAGCTACACGTAATGTTTTTGGAGATGATTCGGAATCTGATGAGGAAAATAATAAGAAACCAATACTGCTACGGCCAAGTTATAACATTAACAGACAGGTACTTCTATTTTTTTACTATTGAATTGTGTTTATTAGGTGGTAGACAGCATTCTTTTAAGGATTCCTTTTCTGAAAGATAGATCAAGAATATTACATTGGGACTTTAACTAGCATTATATCATTCTGGGCATTTGCCTAGGTACTTTTAACCCTAAATTGGTTTTATTTATTTATTTCCACCATGACAGTAGTTTCTATAGTTTTTGTAGTATACTGATAATGCTTGTAATTTTTTTTTAATGGGTGATAATGAAATGGTAATCCCATCCACACTCGGTATACATAGATGGGGAACCTGTGAGGGATGATAGGTCACCCAGACCACTGTTAGCCCATCGTGATGAATCCCACTAGAATTAGTTTCCAGGGGGAACCGCATGGAGGTCAACCTGATAAGCTGTATTGCTAGTAATGAGAAAATTAGACCCAATTACTAACAATCCCTTTCCCTCCTGCCTGTAACCTTTTCATTAAAAAAAACAGTCATTAAAAAAAGAAGTATATTAACCTGGGGGAAAGGGATTGCTAGTGATGGGATTTAATAGCAATATAGCTATCAAGTCAACCTCCACAGGGTTCTCTCTGAAATTCATTGTGGTTAATTTTTGAATTTGTAATAAATCATAACATGAATATAAAAGATTATGCCAACCTACACACTTAGATGAAACTGGTTATCTTTTTGTTACTGGCTAGTTAGATTTATGACACATGTCATTCTTTATTAAAATATTGCTTTTTCTTTGGATAATTTGAAGTATTTAACATAAAGATTTTCATTAGTTATCTTTAGGTTGACAGACATCTGCTTCGCCATAAAAACAATTGACTCTTGCTCATAAATGGAACTGCGTGCTTGGGGAAGGACCTCCACCTTGCAGAAGTTCGCAGCCAAACAACGCTGTTTTAATAGTATTATGTTCCTGTAGGCAGTAAGGTTTCCAGTTCCATCTTGGGGAGGGTTTGTGCCAATATTGGAGGAACCAGCGTGTTTTAATACTATCTTCGTGCTGGGCAGGCGCGAGGTGCCGATGCAGCGTTCAGGAAGATCTGGTCAAATGGTTGCTCGCTGGCCACCCGCAGGTTGTTGGGTTCTCGAACCCAGGGATTACCTAATCTTTGCCTTGGGAGGCTGAACTGCCGCCTGTGCATAATCCCTGGTGTAGTAGTCGAGCCAGAGGAGGAGACTGGAGTGGACCTGGCTATTGCATCAGTGGGGGGATCGGGGGCCCATCCGGCCGCTGTGTTGCCAATTTGCACAACATATTTAGCCCAGGGACGGAGTGGACACTTTGTTCCTTTGATATCGGCACAATCGTTCCCTATTAATCTCTAAATACCCTATTACTTTATGGCCAGATCTGGAAAAAATAGATGTTACACAGCGGCACCCTTATCCACATTTAAAGTGGACTTCTGCAATATCAGAGGGATTCATTCTAATATAAAAATAATTGAAGGGAGGAAATTGATAATAGTAGAGACTAGTGGTCCTATTGATAGCAATAATCTTGTCAGGAAGACTCCTTTTGAGTTTACATGGATTTTTTTTTCAGTTAAGTATCCTCTTGCATATAGGGGTAATTATTTCATGTATTCTCTTCCAGCCACATCTATTCCAGGCGATATCTTTGACCTCCCTATATGACATCCCTATTGTTTCTTTTATCTGTCCCATGTAGTTATTTCTTGGTTATCCGCTTCCTCTCTTGCCATCTATTTTTCCTTATGCTCTTTAAAAAACTGTCATGTGTATAAGGTAACTCAGCATTTTGCCTCTTCTATTCTCTATTGTTAATAGAAACATGAGAAACATGTTCTTTTTTCATTTACCCTTTTTAAGACTTCCTCATTAATTACTTTTTCTGACCAGATTATCCTTTTCCAATCTCCTTCATGTCCATGTATGACAACCATATAAAATTATGCTCCAAAAGTAAGTTTTTATAATTTTTTTATGGATTATTTTTGAAGTAAATGTATATTGTTTATTATTACAGGCCTGCTTTGGGGAAATAATAGTGGTCAATTTCTAGTGAACTTATCTTGGTGGGTCAACTGATCTAATTTGATTCTGACCTATCATCACTCACTGGTAGCCCATACAGCAATAGCACAAATGGGATTCTTATTTCTATCTAATAAAACAAATTTTTATTTAGTGTATTTCATGTAGATAGTACAAGTTAATAGAAATTGATATTCTATTAATGATATAATTTCTTTCAAGGCAAAAATTACTCAGCAAAATGCATTGATGGAAGATCCAACTGTTTACCAGTATGATGAAGTATATGACTCCATGTCAAATCAGAAAGAAGAGAAAAAAGCAAAAGTGAAGGAAGAAAAGAAGCCACGTTACATAGAAAATTTAATAAAATCAGCTAATAAAAGAAAAATTGAAAATGAGAGGCGTATTGAAAGACAGGTTTGTAATGTGTTTGGCTGCCTTTATTAACATATACATATATGTATATATTATATTAGGTGGACTGTTAACTCGTTTGCCATTCTAAATTTTTCAGAAATTTTGTCTATGTTTGTTCCAGTATCACGCAAACACTATTGCACCAAATTGGATGCGATTCACAGTAGTCTTTTTGAAACTCTACCTTAAAATTTGGTATATATTTTATCTTGATACACCATTTAGAAGTGGTATATTACATCGGTTTTTCTACTTCTGAAATCCACGCATACGAAGACGTTATATAGTGACAAGACTTAGATAAGTCTTGTCCACTATATGCTGCGGAAAAGCGATGACTTCAAATATGTTGCATGGAGTTGATGTCAATTATTATCATCAGTTTCGTCACTCTCTTATTCATGCATGGGCAAAAAAAGACGATTTTTTACATATTTCAATATTGTAATAAATATATTTTGTTTTTTAGATTCAAAAAGAAAGGGAAATGGAAGGAGATGAATTTGCAGATAAAGAAGTGTTTGTGACATCAGCTTATAAGAAAAAGTTAGAAGAATTGAATTTAGAAGAAGAAAGGGAAAAACGTGAAGAATATCTAGAAAGTATAGGAGACGTGACTAAACAAAAAGACTTAGGTATGGATATGCAAATATATTTTTACGATGTTTCTCATGTATGTTATAATACGTTTATAATACGTTTTTGTTTATAGGTGGTTTTTATCGACATTTGTATGAACAAAAGTTAGGAAGTGACAAAAGTTTAGAAGACAATACGATTGAAAATGTAGAACCTACGATGGAAAATGTTAATAAGAAAAAGATTACGCAAGATGCTTTACAAGACAAATCGACATCGGATATATCAGAATTATCAAGAAAAAGGAATTATAGGAAACGAAGATCATCGGATAATATGATACAGCTTTCAGAAGGAGAAATTGATGATTCAGGAGATGAAATAAACCGCATAAATCTTAATGATATAAGAATGGCAAAGAAATCCAAACAGAAAGAAGAAAATATAGATGCTGATTCTGATTTTTCAATAGATGAGTCAAGTGATGAAGAAAAAGATAGGGATGAACAGAAAGGCCCAAAAAAAATGCTTGAAGATGAGGTCTTTAAAAAGCCAATTCCACAAAAAAATGATAATCGGACTGAAGCTAAGACAATGACTAAGAATTCGGAAGAATCAAAGTTAGTAAAAAGTGATGAACCTCAAGAAAATAATCAACCAAAAATTGATATTTGGAAAAAGCGAACTGTTGGAGAAGTATTTGACCAGGCATTGAAAAGATATTATGAAAGAAAAGCTTCTAGAGGTTTTTAACAACATATCTGAATATACTGTTAAATTATAAACTTTAGTAATAAAATGCCGCTGCGTGAATGTACTTTTTTCTTTGAATATCTGTATACCTAGATATTTACACATAAAGGAGTTCCCTTGCAGTTTCATCATCATCATTTTAACTATTATTCGTCCACTGCTGGGCATAAGCCTCTTGCATCCATTGACTCCTTGCTGATAACATTCTGTTGAGGGGAGAATTGGACCTTAAGTTAGTACGACAAGCGTATTGCTGGAACAGCACACAAATGTACCTAAATATATATTTATCATGCCCTGGTTTATATAATAGTGGCTTTGACTATATAATGGGTAAAATAAAAGATATAATTTTAATAAATAATATATTATATAAATACAACATAAAATTTAATTAGATACGAACTATAGTTGAAATTTACTTATAAGGTACATTATTCTAGTTGTAGAGTGATTCAAACGACATAATGCGCCTTACAGTGAACTGAAACAAAAATAATGTAAAATGAATTTTAACATACCAACAGTATTTATTATAAACAACTAAAGTAAAACATATGTGGTCCAGGAATGTAAAATTTAATGAAAATTTCAATAAGAAGTCTGCATTTTTGTGTATCTTTATTAATTTACAACAAAACTCATGTTGATCACATTCTTATTTTGTATGTATATTTAATAAAGAGCAAATGTTTGTACTGACGAAAATAGAGGCGAGAAAGAGAAGCAAGGGTCGGTTAAAAGCGTCGCTGTCTATTCCATTGAGAAAAATATAGCACAATCTACAAATTAGCATTTAATAGTAATTATATAATTACATAATTAATATATAATTTTTTTGTATAGTATTTAACTTAGTGGGTATGATAAGTTCGGTCCATATTTATACCACAGACTACTTTTATTAGAATATATAGAGTAAAATAATAAATTCATAATTATACCTATGAATTCGGATACGGGGTCGTTTTCGCCTTCCGCTCTCATTGTGCCGGTAATCTCTTCGTTCTCGACCATCGGTAGAACAAGTTGCACAAATTCAGGAGTATACGGTGGGGCTATAGCGTCTAGTACCTGCATAAATATAAATTTATAATATTTGTATGTACTCTAATCTACTGAAAAGTGGTATAAGGATTTAAATATAATGTTATTTGCTAAAAAGCACGAATTTATATTTTTGAAGTCGTAAATTCAGAGGTTTCTATAAATCCTGAAACCATCGTCCATGAGACATTTAGTATATTACATTATCTAGGTGGTTTGGGCTAGCATAGTGTTTAATTACAAATGTTTCCTTCGCATTGGTGTATTATGGCTTGTTCTCCTAGTTGCCTTTTACGATACGAGTATCTTGTGTGATGATACATTATTCTTAAACTATCACCACATAGATTTTCGTTCCGAATGATTGCTGACGTAAAAAGCATGCAATTGATTTGGAACACTTTTAATATTCCGCGATAATTGTAGACGTGCAGGTGTTTAAAAGCAAGTCTATGTCATTCTTAATATTACAGATGTGTCTTAACGGCTTAATCAATCATTATGAATGTTGGTATACAAATATTACATGGGATGAAGAAAGATAGGCTACTTTTTATTCTGGTCATGTAGACGAAGTCGCACATAGAAGCTTGTTACATATATTATGCTCTTCTGTTATATTGTAACGATAAAATCGTTAGATATCACAATTTTTTATCCACTCAGGGATATGCTATCCAAATTATAAAAGCGAACAATCAAAATAAGTTATATGAATCATGGCCAGTTGGCGTGTCAGATATAAGTAAATAAGGTACTTATATCAAGCCTTTCAACTTGTAAAAATATAATTTTGAGGAGATTTAGTCGATTGTAAATTCGCTTCGAGGTATGAGTGTAGCTGCTACGTTTTGTTGTTGATTTTACTACTACTAGTTTTTGTTTTTGTAACTAAGTACTTTTTATTAAATTGTCAGATTGAATTATTAGTAATTTAATAACTACGAACCTCAGTGATGAAATATCTTATAAGGGAAATGTCTGTATCCCCACGTTGCCAACATTGCTTGATGTATCGTAATACTGGCACTACACAACCTCGACTTAATAAGTTTACCATGCGGTCAAGTAACATTTTTTTCAATTCCAACTGAAATCAAAAGAAGGTCAAATAAAGTAAACATTTACAAATACAAAATTTAATTAAAATCGTTTTAACGATTTCGGAGATTTGCGTGAATGAAACTAATGATTCGAAATATTTATATATGGGACTTATTGATCGATGATAAATATGTAACAAAGATACCTGAACTAGAATTTCCAATTCATCTTGTGGTGATTCAAATAACTGCACAAGTAACCTTAATAGTCTATGGTGTAGCAATTGGTGGCATGAGGCTACTTCATCTAACAATGCTAAATGCACTGGACAGTGTTCTGTACAAAGCTTGAAATAGGAAGGTTCTGTCACAACACATTCTACCCATACTAAAACGCCCATACCGACGACTGGAAACCTATAAAAACAGAGTAAATATAAATAACACTGCAATAATATAATCCTCTACTAATATTATAAACGGGCAAGTTTGTAATAGTGTTTTGGATGTTTGTTACTTCATCACACTTAGACGCTTGAACAAATTCGAATGAAATTTAGAACTAGGTAGGCTAGTATAGTGGTAGTATAGAGATACGAGGTTTGTCCGGAAAGTACGTATAAAAGTTTTTTAAAAATTTTATTTTACAATTATTCAGGTAAATCAATTTTATCCCCTTCAAAGTACTCCCCCTGTGACATAATGCACTTGTGCCAACGCCGTTTCCACTGTGAGAAGGCTCCTTGAAAGTCCTCTGGTTGTAGGTTTCTCAGCTGCCCCGTCGTAGCTTTTTTTATCTCATTTATGTCCCCCAAATGCCGCCCCCGAAGTACCAATTTGGTTTTTGGGAACAAGAAGAAGTCACACGGGGCCAAATCCCGCGAATAGGGGGGGTGTTCGGTCACCGTAATGGAATTTTTACTCAAAAACTCACGGAACGATCTTGGCGCAAATTTTTTTCATTTGAAGTTCGTTTCTTAGAATTTCGTGGACCACGGTTTTGCCCAAATTAAGCTCTTCAGCCACCTGTCTGACCGTTAAACGACGGTCCCCATTAACACAAGTTCGAATTCTTTCCACGTTTTCGTCGGAATGTGAAGTGGAAGGACGTCCTGAACGTGGGTCATCTTGAACGCTTTCTCGGCCCTCTCTGAATCTTTTTAGCCACTTGTGGACGGTTGGTTCCTTCACAGCATCATCCCCATAAACTGTTCTGAGATCGGCAAAAATTTCACGGCCATTCTTGCCGAGTTTCGAGAGAAACTTGATTACGACGCGCTGCTCTTCAACGGAAGCGGGCTCCATGCCGACGGGGTTTCGTTAAGAGGTAACTTCACAGATGGCGTGACAAGCCAGTTCGCACCGCACGGCGGTCAGACCAGAACTGAAGCATTGTTAGGGACATAAGGAAGGGGTCCTGCGCTTACCTGGCCTCCCCACTCCTCTTTCTCGCATTCCAGAACACTTTTATACGAACTTTCCGGACAGACCTCGTATTATGAGATATCAATGCAAAAGATTGTATGATGCCTCACTGTGGTAAAAATGTAATTATTGTTACATTTCTAATTTAGTTGTCTTTACAGTGTTTTTTAGCATCAGAAATGATAAATTTTAATGGTGTTTTTAGGATAATAAATAGCTTTCTGTTTTTACCCAATGATTAACTGGTAGAAAATGCCATAACGTATTAAGCACACCAACTATACACTTTTCATAGTACAATAAAGAATATATTTCCAGGTTTTTTTAATACAAAACAAGTAAATATTGCTCAACAAAAAAAGCTACTTCAATTGCGAAAACACTGATATACTGTTTCATAGTCGTATAAGGCGTCTAAGTCGTAGTACATTGTAAATATTTCATGTATATCTATCAACATTATTCAATAATAAGTAGTTTGACTAACACTAATTATTTTTTAGTAAAATGACAATAAATGAATTTAATCTTGACAGACACAATAGGAAGAATTAATTATCAAATAGAAAAAATGATCACACCTTATGCAATGATATAATGTAGGTAATTCGGCAATTAATTCACTTGAGCTGGCAGAACTGTTACATACAGTGTGCACTTTTTCTATAGCCTGCACAGTCGCTTTAAGTTCATCCTTGACAGGCCTTCCTGGCGTCACTCCCTCACATACACTAGCAGCATATGCCAGTAGATACATGTATTTGGATTTATGTTCAGGATTTAATTTGCTGCCAAGCTTGAAAAGTGAGTCCACTAGTAGTTCTGTAAAATAAAAATTATGTATATTAATTAGGTACACCTTAATATAAAAACAAATACCTAATCGATTTGATGGTTTTGGTTACAAGCTGAATTATGTAGCTAAAATGGTATATCCATAAAATTGCCAGTTTCAAAATGCTTAAATATAAAAGATTAATAAGTCAATTTCATAATTTAGCAGTTGATATTGTCCATGCCTGTATCCGATCTTTGGTGCCTTTACGTATTCGCCTTTTCATACATTTTCCTATTTTGTATGTATTTATTTTGTACCCAAACTTGATAAAGGAATTACATCCGCATCCTCGTGGAGGCATATCAACACCTATTATAATAACACTTTGAATTGTCACCTCCAAATAATATTTATTTATTTGTTACAAGATATAATAATAGCTTTCAAACAGAAATCAGCGTACCATCAAAAAGAAAACAATACAAAAATCTATCTATACGCAGTTTGCTAACGTTACATTGCAAACATAATTAGCAGTAAGTTAGAAGTAAATGTTGTAACGCTTTTATAGATGTACATTACGTTACTGACTACAGTTATCATAAGATCCAAACTTATACCATTTCAAAATTATATAATAACTTCTTAAAACTAATGCTACTTTGATGAAAGATAGCGAAATTTTTGCTTATTTTATTTGAACGATTGGCACATCCGATGGATAGGATTATTTTGTGACACATTATTATTGGTTGATGGAATACTGAATACACGAGGGTGTCTAAAAGAGCATTTACATGCAATCAAGTTCAGAGAAGTTGTTAATATTTCATTCAACGACACATTCGCAATCTAAGAAAGCAAGCACAGAATACCAATTCTTCGCCACGATTCTAAAGTAACGAATTCAAAATACTTCATACGTTTCTTATAATCACATAAATTTTGTTTTAAATGAAATTTCCTTGTAACGAAGTAAACCAGCTTGTACTGATTCGATTCTATTTGTATCGACTTTATATATAGGAGACCTAACTAATGCACAATATTCTAAATTATTCTGAACTGTTTTATACAATATAATAAAAGTGGTAGGTTTTTTAAATGGTTTAGTTGTGCGAATTACAAATCCAAGCATTTTTTAAGCTTTATTTACAATAAAATCATAATGCAACTTTAATGACAATGAACTGTCAAATCAAACTTCTTTAATGTAATATGTTTAATAATGTCCAAATTGATACAAACTTGTATTAAAATAAATACGTACAAAATTGAATTGCGCATGACTAATCTAATAAATAATACCATTTACCTAAAAACTGAGGTATGCGTAGTAGATGAACTGGTGGTGGCTCCGGTTGCATGTACGCTCGGAACAGTACCGATATATCTGCAGGATTGAGAGCGCCTCGCGACAGCATTGCAGCGAGCGCTGTGCGAGCGTTACGCCAGCTCTCGCCAGCTGTCAGCGCCAGAGTTATGGGCGTCACGTCGTGTCCGCTAACACAAATTTCATTTTATAACTTTTTTGTATTGTCTATATAATACGAGACATTTAGAATCACTGTATGTAATACTAAAATTTAGGTTATCAATACATATAATAATATCGTAACTGGTCGTTGTCTTATATGGATATAAGAAAAACTATTACAGGGGGGCTTTATGAAAGCAATAGAACCCAAAATTATGATTTTTAGAAGTTTTATCTGTTAGTCTGTATGTTTGTACACGTTAACCTCAGAAATGGCTTAATCAATTTGAATGTAGTTTTCACTAATGCGTTGCGGTTTGCTCTACTTAACATTTAGTGTTTGTTTTATTCCAATCAGTTATTAAATGAAAAAGTTATATCAGTCTAAAGAATCACATATAAAATGACCGATCAGTTTAATTGGCAGAAACTTTTTTAAAAATTCTGTCTACTCATGCGAAGTCGAGTTGGATCGCTAGTTATTCATAAATTTTACAATATATGTACTAAAATTTAAGATCACTATTTTCCATACGAGTTTTAAAAAAAATCTTTTTGTTGTATGTTATGTTTATTTCGAGGATGAATTAAAAGGTAGTTTTGTTGAAATTATTACAGAAATACTCTCTAAATAAAAATTGTAACAGATAAATTCAACCTATTAATTGACTTTTGATCTGTACTATTATTGTACATTATCAGATAGTTTTGTGGTCGGTTTACATTGTCTTTAAGTTTTAAATAGAACTTATACTAACTCAACTAGAACTTATATTTACTAACAAATACTATATATATATATTTTTAATAATGAAGACTAAAGAATTACAAGAGGTACAGTGTCTGACAATCGGAACTGTCAGTTAATAGTTGTAAGTCAATATTTTTGTAATAAACAAAGAATACCTAGTTCATTTTACAAATTTTTACCTTTGTTGAGCACAACGAGTTATTTCTTGACTAAGTCTTTTCATAATAGCACCTCCTCTCGGCTCCTGAGATAGTATGTGTACTATAACTTGACTGTACACATACGTGTGAGCACCATGACAAACCATTTTCTGTAAGTCAATTAGTACGTAATTTAATATTTTCTTTTTAACAGCATAGACTCATGCTCACCAATAAAATGTTATTAGATTCAAATAATGAGTGCGGGGATAAAGGAAGAAATCCAATAGAATAGTGCGAAGTGGTGCAAACAATAGAACAAACATAATAGAAGAAATGCTCTATAGAAAATATCATACTAAGGCGCCAGGATACCATGGAAAGTGTATGTTACAGGACATAAATGTATTGACAATTTGGTCTCCCTAGATTTCCACCGTTTGAGATTTCTTTCGAGTTGAATGAGAGTTTTGTGTTTTGATCTTTGATATTTTAAAATTGGAATATTATGAGCGCTATATGTTATTTTTAAACAACTTCAAAAAAGGATCTCCTTCTTTTTAATTTCAGCTGCATTGTTTTTTTTTTAACGTTTGTTATCTTATAACGCCGTCATTTATAATCCGATTTGGAAGATTATTTTATATTTGAAAAAATATGATTTCAAATTGGTCCCATAGAAATTTGAATAAAATCGGTTACGTAGTTTTAAAACAAACTCACTGATTTGTTACTATTTATGTCGGTGTTTTTTTTTTGTGGAATAAATTCCTATATTTTGAGACTTGTATGCGTGTTTTGACCATAAACGGAAATATTACTGCATAACGCCACAAGTTGCTTAGTACATAGAGGTCTGAGTTAACATGTATCAGTAATATTTAATATTGTTAGAATTAACAGTCTTCATACTTCAGCTTACTGAAGTATGACGTGTTGATGTTAATTGCAGAATATGTTGCATACTACTAAAAACTTTGCGCTTACTTTATATTTTTCTTTGAGACCTTTTTGCCATCAAAATATAAAGTTTCCAATGATAGCTTATTAAAATATTAATGCATAATTAATGTTTTATTTTGCTAACAGAACACTTTTGAAATAATCAATTAAAACATTGAAAATTATTTATTAATTCTGAAAATTGACATAATTACGACATTGTCATAATTCCGTAAGTTAAAGTATCTATAAACGTTTTTAAATGTTACTGTTATGAACTAAAGATTTTGATATATTTTTATTTTTTTACATAATAATGTATTTTTACTTACAGCACATTCATTTACACTATTTTGCCAATCATCAGAACTTTGTAAAAATCCTACAATGGCAGATTTAAGAACTCTGGAAAATACTTCAATTTGTTGCGCAGCAGTAGATATGCTAGTTATTTCTCCTTGAAAACCAGCATCTGAAATGAGCTGAAACACAAACACTTATAAAGTATATAAAGTGTAACAATGCACTGTAAAGAAATTACTATAATAAATTAATTGATAAATAAACAGATAATAATATTTTGTTTTCTACAGTTTTTACCTATCCCAAACTTAAAAAGCCAAACTTATAACATATTTTATATATTAAACCAAACCCAAATCTAAAAACCAAATCTATATTTTTTAATGTTTTGCTTTTTTGAGGATAAAGCCATAAACTGAGTTGTGACCATTCTGTGTTACTATGGCACACGCATGAAGGGAAAAATCATTACTTATTTTATGCATTTTGCCTTTTTTGTACGTTTTCTTTTCTCTTTATTGTGTATGCCTATCTATGTCTGTTGTTATTTTTGTGCTGTAAGTAATGCAAATAAATAGTACATTTATCTATCTATATATATTTATTTGTTTTAGGTTTGGGGTAGGTAAAGACTACGGATCTTCATTTAGACTCATTTTTATTCCAGTTTCCATCAAAATACATATTGCATAACATAATATTCTTGTCAACGATCTACCACAACCAAACAGTATAATACATGATGTATGTTTAACGGAAACACAGTGTCACATAACATCTGTTTTCTTTACATTTATTCACATAGGTCTGTTAGTTCAATATCCCTAAATTGATCGATTTGAAATATACTACTTAATTGAGGTAAGTTTGACTTGGAAAAGATAGTGCTAGGGTGTAAAATTCCCACTGTGCAAGATCTAAATAATGATTTATTTCTTTTGTTTATATAGCGCACTTAACTTGAGACACCTATTAAAATTCAAATGAAATGAATCACATTCACATTATGTAGTAGCTTTTCTTTGGTCAAAATATTGCCAATCCATTCTGTTATTGTATACTTGCCTAGACACAAAAACAACCTTATTTATGAATCTTAAATTTTTTTTTTCTATACAACTAGGATGGCAAACAAGCTGATGGCCCACCTGAAGAAAAGTGGTAACCGTCGCCTATAGACATGAGCAGTACCATGGACATAACAGAGTATACTGTTTCGCCCATGATACCCCCCATGCGTTGCCATTCCTGAGGACTCAGGTGTTATTCCTCTGTACCCAGTAAATTCACGCCATATCCCACCCTTCAAACCGAAACACAGCCATGCAAACACAACTGCTTCACGGTTGAAACACGAATGGGACAGAGGTACCCAAGCAATCGACTTTTGTACAAAGTCTCCCTCTGGTATATAACAAATAGAAGTCATGTTTTGCAATTGCATGGGAAAATGTAGATATGTTTATTACCTTAATGGTAAAATTAAGCATAAGACAGTCAGGATACTCTTCTGCTAATCTATAAATTAAAGATCTCCAAGTTGGATGTTCAATCATTTCCGTTAGCCATGCTGGTGTCTGCAAAAATGATTTAATATTAAAACACATTAATTATATTATAAAACATTATTATTAATAATAAAATTAATAACTAAATACTCACTTCACCTTCTTCAGTAAATATTGTATCTGCTTTCTTAGGATCGAATGTTTTAAGAATCATATCTTTTAAATGGTTTTCTACCATTGCTTGAACTTCTGTTACTTTTACACCTTGAAATAAAGAAGAAATACCATATACCATGATTAAATAAACGTGTTGCTTTTGTGTAAATCAATTCAAATAACTGATACACATTTTATTAATATACTTGTAACTAGAGATGTCTGCACATGGGAAATATTTAAGAAAAAATAATGTGAGGGGTCTTAATGACAGCAATAGAAGCCAAAACAATGAATATTAGAAATGTTGTATGTTTGTTCTGGCATCATGCAAAAACTATTGCGCCAAACTGAATGTGGATTTCGCAGTTATGTTTTTAAAGGTCTAACTTAAAAACTGGTATATGTTTTATCTTGATCATCTTTAGAAGTGATCTATTTAATTTGTTTCCTTACTTTTGATATCTACATGTAAGAAATAGCAGTCAAAAAGCTAGTATTTAAATATATTTTTTTATACCATTTAGGTATACCATATATACACCATATATATAGCTAAATTCATGATGGTTAGCTGAGCTGTTCACATACTAAAAGGTGTACAAAAATTTTGAATTTTATTATAATAGTATGATTATAAATAAAAAAAAGATTTTAATGTTAATAAGAAGTTGATAGAAATTTGGTATACATATAGGCCATATTAGGAAGTGGTGAACTTTTTAAAATTATGTACTAAAAAGAAGATGCAGGACAGTCAAGATTTTGAAAAAACTTTTACTACTATTATTATTTTAGATTAACAGTTAGATAAATGACAGGATTTTATCATTGTATAATATTAAACTTATTTTTTTTGATTGGTTAAGCTGTTAGGGCACCAAGAGGTAACAAAAAAATAGATATTAAGTAATTACACTTTTTCCTTTTTGGGAAAGATCAAACTTTAGATGTACATTTACTTATAATAACATCATTTTCATCATCTTCCTACCCTTATCCCAATTATATAAATGTTTGAGTCGGTGTAACATGTTTTCATTCATATTACCCGATTTTGGCTTTTAGTTTTACAACCAGTTGTCTGCTTGATGTCAACTGTCTTTGTGAATGCATTTGTTGGCAGTATCCATTACCTATGGTATAGAGGAAAGAATTGAGCAAACACAAATGGAAATGGAGACATTGGGAGTGAGTAAAGGAATTTGGGAGTCTCAAATATAATAATATTATACATAATTATTTATTATCAGGTCCTTATGTGGCCACAGATATAATTATAAAAAAATATTAATAAATTTGAGTGGATTGCTATTATACAAACCTCCGAGTATAAGCCATTCAGCTAATAAATTCGCCATTTGTGCCACTGCACTATAATTAATAGACAATTGTTCAATAACTTGCTCTGGGTTACCTCCTGCTTGAAAGTAACGTTTTAGTTGTCCAAAAATACCAGGTTCCATTATATAATCAGGAGTTTTGAATTTTTCCAAGCATTCCTGTAGCACCTCATCAGGGTTTTCAATGACATCTTCATTTCCTTCTTCCTAATTAGGTAAAATAGTAGATTTTTTTTATAAAACAATAATAATAAATTAAAAGGGTAAAATATACTAAAAAATTTTACAACACCTATGAGTACATTATAATAATATGTTAATAGAAGGGGCTGCTTCAATTTTGTAGTATTTTGGGAATGCAAGTAGATTGTTTCTACGCCATTATATGTAAATGACTTGAGTTCTTGATCTGTAGAGTGAGCAGGCTGAATTCTTTCTACATGAACCATTGTGTTGCTTTGTATGTTGAAAGAACCTAACCAAAACTTATGGAATGATTATGGTTACTTAGGGTTATGGTATCTTGAATAAATAAATATTAAGTATTTACCTGATTGTAAAGGTACTAATCGAAAATTTATATTACATTAGGTTTTAATGTAATTAGTATTATTCTGTTAGTTATGTTTCTGTTTATTTTATTTAAAAGAACCTATATAAAAGCTTACCCCTTTATGTTTACAAACAAGTGTTCAAAAACATTTACTAACTACCAATATTAATTAGTAAGAAATGAAAACATACCTCATACTGATTGTGGACATTGTGGTTGGATGCTTCCCAAGCACGTTCTTCTTCATACTGACTCGGCATTGTTTATATATATAATAACAAAATGAAATAATATTACTACACAAATAAAAGAATTTCAGTAGATATATATAGTGTCTTGAACTTGGATATAAAATTATAGACAAATATAAGTAAAGAGAAATAAGCAGTTAAAGGACAAGTAAAATGGTAAGAACAAGGGTAAAATGTAAATAAACGTCTATAATAGTTTTTTTTTTTTTTTTTTTTTTTTCTTTTTTTGTGGCGTTCACCCCGATATTAGGGTATTTTGCCAAGAACAAAACGGGGAAACGATAATAGTAATAAAAATACCTAACACAAACGAATTTAGAAAGGATAAGGATTAGGTCTAGGATATTTATAGGATATGAAACATATACTTGTACATATGAGAATATACTTATAAATATATAGGAAAAGCAATTGATGCAACTATAAATGTATTCATGTAATATAACTAAATCTTAATATTGTTATCATATATATATGAAGATAGTATTTTATAGATAATAGGATCATTGGAAGAAAGTAGAGTAAGAATAGAAGTTGGGAATGGAACACGGATGGATCGGAGATGATTAAAAAGGGAGGTGTGGTCAAATTTAGAACATGAGAAGAATATATGATTCAAGTCCGCCACTTCAGCACCGCAATTACACGACGAACTTTGTACAATACCAAGCTTGTATAAATGAGAAGGTGTGCATACGTGACCTAGACGCATACGAGTTATAATAGTTGTTGCGGTCTTTCCAAGCTTTAATTTACAAAACCATGGTTTGAAAGGAATATCGGGTTGTATAAGGCGATAAAATCTTCCTTTTATTGTACTTGTTTTTTCCCAATATTCCTTCCAGGCATACCTTAAATATATTTTTGGGAGACAAGCTAGGTCACTACAGTAATTATGATACGGATACATATCACCACAAGTTACAGCCTCTCTTGCAATAAGGTCAGCTTTGTCATTGCCGCTAATACCACTGTGTCCTGGTAACCAGGCAAAAGAAACGGAATAACCTCTCAACATGCAAAGATAAAGACTTTGTCTTATGTCACAAATAATGGGATAAACTGGTTTTGATTTAAACGGATATTTGGCTAGAGCTTGCAAAGAGCTCATAGAGTCAGTGAAAACTATTGCCTTATGTAATTTCATTAAAAGTATATATTCTACAGCTTTTAAAATACCATAACATTCCCCGGTAAAAACTGAAGACTCCGGTGGAAGTTTAATTTTTTGAACGATATTAAATTGTGAATGAAACACACCCACACCTACACAACCGCTATTGTCTGGTTTTGATGCATCAGTAAAGATGTAGTGCCATTCATTCCATTCAATGTCAGTTATAAACATAAATTTGGCATTCAATTCTGAATCATTTTTTAATAACCCAAAATCATATTTAATATTAGGAGATAAAACTAAAGATTGATATGAGCATTTATAAATGGGAAAACAGGACGATGTAAAAGTGGGAGATTCTATGGATTTATATTTTTCATAACTTTGTATTAAACATGGAGGTTTTTTATGTTTCCAATAAGATGAAGACGAAATAAAGATATGTAGTTGAGATAACTTTTGAATAAGCGGATGATCAGATAATTGTAAACAACGAAAAAAGAAGCGATCAGATAGATATTGTCTTCTTAAAACCAAAGGTGGATCACCGACTTCGAGCTGTAAAGCATTGATTGGACTTGATTTCATTGCTCCAGAGATAATCCTCAAGGCCTTTGATTGAATTAAATCCAATTTCTTAAAAGCAAATGAACTTCCTGGAGCTAACAAAAAAGTTCCATAATCAATGACACTCTTTATAAGACCATTATAAGCAAGTTTTAGTGAAACGGGATGTGCTCCCCACCAAACTCCAGCAAGGCACCTAAGAATGTTGAGGTTACGCTCACATTTCGTAGAAATATAATTACAGTGGGACAGACCTGTTAATTTATTATCTAGCACGATACCTAAAAATTTAATTTCAGTCTTTATAGGAATGTATGAGTTATCATAAAGCACCTTAATTTGTTGCGGTGATCTCATTCTTGAAAACAAAACTACACTACTCTTGGTTACAGAAAGATTAAGACCATTTGCATCTAACCACGTTTTTAACAAATCTAATGAATCAGATAATTTGGCAGAAGCAGATTCTATGGACTTCGCAATAAAATATAATAAAAGATCATCAGCATATTGTAAAATTTTGACGGATTTATCAAGGAATAATTCTAGATCGTATGTGTATATGTTAAATAAGATTGGACTGAGAACAGATCCTTGTGGAAGGCCTTTCCATACTGTTCTAGATAATTTGGTATCTTCATCTAAATTCATATATATTGTTCTTTCTGATAAAATATTAATAATGAAATTAGAAAGCATTACCGGTACATTTAGAGCTTGTAATTTAGTTTTTAAAATAGAAATTATTACATTATCATAGGCAGAATTTATATCTAAAAAGGCTGAGAGGATTGACAAATTTTGTGAGAAAGCTATATGAATATCTGAAATAAGAATGCTCACATTATCTAAGGTGCTCTTACCTTTCCTAAAACCAAACTGGTTCGGGGATAGTAAGTTATTACTTTCTAAAAACCATTCTAGACGGTTTTTCACTAAATGTTCAGCTAGCTTTAGTAAGACAGAGGAAAGTGCAACAGGACGGTATGAAGATGGTTCAGAAGGTGGTTTATGAGGCTTTAAAAATGGTATAATAATCTGAGACTTCCATGAAGTAGGTATATTTCCCGAAATAATTATGGAATTAATTATATTTAAAAAGTAAATTAATGTCGCATCGCTAGCATTTTTAAAAAAGGAATACGGTATACCGTCTTCTCCCGGTGCAGAGTCTTTAATAGAAGCTAGAACACCTTTAAGTTCTACTAGAGTAAAAGGAGAGTCAAGTTCGAATAATTCGTCAGAGACGGATAGAGAAATATTGTAAAGGCATTCCGGCACATAACTAGGAGCAAGACGATCTAAAAATTTATTCGCTAAAGTTAAATCGAGTGCAGAACGTGATGTATGATCACTAAAGGCAGATCTGAATCTTTTAATATTATTCCAAACGACTGATGAATTAACTTCTGGACAGATAGAAGAACAAAATCTTCTCCAGCCTTCTAATTTCTTTTTTTTCAGTAGTTTTCGAGTAGAACGTGAAACTGCGGTGTAAATTTCAAAATTTTCTGGTGTCATGTAATTATTATAATTTTTTTCAGCCTCTTTACGATTTTTAATTGCTTCCGTACAATCTTTGTCCCACCAAGGTGGCGAGGGAATTTTCCCTGAAGCACTATTTTTAACAGGAAATAATAAATCAGCAACCTCCTTCATATTTATCATCAAGTCATTACAACATTGATGTTCATTTCCATGGTAAACAATAGGTAACTCCGATATTTTATTATCTAAATATTGTTTGTAAATATTCCAGTCTACATTTGATAAATTATATTTAAGCCGAGGACCACTCTTTCGACTTGAGGGAATGGAAATTGGAAAAGAAAGAATGAGGGGAAAGTGATCGCTTCCGAAAGTAGAGGAATGAGGATACCACGACAGTGAAGAAGCTAAATCAGAAGAACATATTGAAATGTCAGGAGCACTAAACCCTTCATTCGGTGCAGTTCTACGTGTTGGTACATCTGAGTTAATAATACATAAGTTGTAAGTGTCAATTATCGTCAGGAGTTTTCCACCATAAAAATTAGAAGTAGAACTGCCCCACGATTGGTGTTGAGCATTAAAATCGCCCATTACGAGAAAAGGTTTAGGTAAAATTGAAAATAATTGTTCTAGTTGTGAATATATTTGGCATGTAGGATCAGGAATATATAAAGTAACAAAACAGATACCATTTATAATTATAGCAGCTGCATTAATGCCGCTATATACAGGAAGCGAAAAAGAAGAAAAAGGAAGGGAGTTTTTGACCAATATGGCAACACCGCCATATCCGTCAGCTCTATCATCACGGAGACTTATAAAGCCTGAAATCCTAAAAGGATATCCTGGCTTTAACCAAGTCTCTTGGAGAGCTATTATAAAAGGATTATATTTATTAATCAAATAAAATAAGTCTGATTTCTTGTTTGTTATGCTACGACAGTTCCACTGAATTATTAGGACTTTGTAATCCATTGTGAGAAGTTAATAATTGAGAAAATACATTGTAAATGGCATCGTTGGACGGTGGTAAAGTTGTTTGTATCATCTTCGATTGCGATAACACTTTAATAAGCATGAGAATAATATCAAAGATGGATTGATTATTGTCAATATTATTTGATGATAATGCACAACCATTAGAGGGAGCAGGAATATTATATTCCTTAACTATGGCTTCATGGGCAGAACGATCATATCCTTGTTGTGCTTTTTGAGGAGAGCGTGGTTTAAGTGTAACTGTTTTTTTATGTGATGATTGAATATGTGGTAATGATGATTTCTCTTTGAGGAAAGAAGATTGAAAATGAGATTTATTGGACGGAGATGATGATGTTAATACATCTGAATATAGTTTAGAAGTGGGAGGATGAAATTTTGATGCTTCAGCATAAGAAACACAACTGTGGGCCATTGTTTCTTTAATGGCTTTCTGACGTGCATATTCAGGACATTTCTTACTAATTGCTGAATGAGAACCATTACACAAGATACAAGAAACATTTTCCTCATCTACTTCACATTTATCACCTGTATGATTTTGCCTGCATTTATAACACCGAGGATTTGAACGACACTGCATCTTGACATGTCCGAACCTACAGCAGTTATAGCATTGGATAGTGGGGTAAATGTACAAATCTACAGTTAATGATGTGTAAAACATAAATACTCTTTTTGGTAATATTTGTCCATCAAAAGTAATAACAATGGTTTCAGTATTAATAAAACTTGGTTGTCCTTCATTAATGGTCTTTTTCTTAATTCTTCTGGTTTTTAGAATTCTCCCACAACCTATAGGTACTGATATATTTTGGATTACTTCCTCTTCTGTCCAATCTTTAGGAATACCCCTCACAATTCCCATACGGGTTACATGGAAAGAAGGTATAAATGCCTTAAAATTATGTGTTTCTAAGTGACTATTATTTAAAAATGCATTTGCATTTTCAAAATTTGAGAAAGAAAGCGATAAACGGTTTCTTCCTATTCTTTTGAGGCTACCATTCACTATATTATTTATCTTATTAGTGTGTAAAAAGCGACCAAATGCAATAGGATGTAATGTAGTGTTATCATTAGGATGTGTTTCATTTTTTTGTACATGAACGACATAAGGAGCTACATCCTCGGCATTGTACAAAGTTCTGCTTAAAGTACTGGGTGGAGAAGCAGGTTTAACAGACTCGGTATTATTTACAACTGGTATTGATACTAGAGTTTGATTCTCATCCTCAATACATTGACAATCACTATCTTTAATTTTAGATTCGAGACCTTTGGTGTGCCTCCTTCGTTTTTTATTGCAATGTTTGCAAATGCGACGTTCGCCACGTACTCGCTTACGTTTAGAACTTGCAACGCTAGAACCATCTGTGTCCATACTAGATTCACCCAATATATCAAAACTATTATTAAATGGGATAGTTATATTTGCAGACACCTGGGGGGTTGTCCCCCCAGGGTCTATAGGTGGATCCATAATGTCTAATTAATATAGGTAATTTACTTACCAATATTTACAGCAACAAACACTATTACTACAAAATATACAATTATATATACAATCTAATACACAATATATAAATAAAACTAATCCTTATATAATTAAAAATAAAATTAATTTAAAGAAGATCAAAAAACACTCCCGCTTTTTTAAACGTTTCCCGCGCTTTTTCCTATAATAGTTTTATGCGGGGTCGAAGCAAGTAGTCACCACAGATTATTTTTTTTATGATAGGTTTACGGCTTTGGATATCACCACAGATTAGAAAGACTTAGGGATAGACGATATACATCGATGTATTGTAAACACTCGATTATATAGTAATGATGCATCATATTGAATCGATGTATTAATTAAAACTTTAACATTCACTTCATGTGAATGTCGTATCAAAAATTAATTTTCAAAATTAATCAAAAAGAATTTGCAAAGAAATGAAGAAATTAAATCCTATTCTGAAAAGTCTGGCAAAAATGAAGAGACCTTTTTTTATTGGAGTGATCATAACTGAAAAAGTAACAAATCTGAAGATGTTTTGTCCGATAAATTTTCAGCTTATCTTACAACTCCTGTTGGTAGACTGAACGAAAATTCATTAGAAAGCTGGAGGGATCATAAAATACAATCCCCCAAAGCTGTACAAAATAGCTCTTAAGTATTTAATAACTCTTTTCACTGGCAGGGCAAATTTTGACTGAGCAAAGAAACCGATTGAAGAGAAAAAGATTAAGATTGATTTTACATAGCATTGAAAAAAAAAAATATTGGAATTTATAAACAAATAAACTGTGTTTTGTGTGTGATTGTGTATTTCAATAAATATTTTTCATTATACTTACCTGGGTTTTCATAAGGCTAAAACATGTCCACAGAAAAGCAATCGATGTTTTAAAAATATTAATGTATTTTTCAATACATCGTATCGATGCAACCGCTCAATGCATTTAATGAAAAAAAAAAACATTGATATCTATTTGGAATGCTCATCCTTAGAGAAACGATGCAATATGCTTGGTATTATAAACTGTATATAGTCGCAATATATGTATATTGGGTAAAAAATATAAATCTATTTATAATTATATAGAGTAGTTAAGGAAACTGTATATTAGATAATATATATCTGTTACTAGCAATGCGCTTGTTATCGACACCGCCCTGTGGCCGACGACGCCGTTGCTCATTCTTTGATCATTAAGTTCCCATAGTCGCCTTTTACGACACCCACAAGAAATAAAGAGGTAACCCATTCTATGCTGGGACAACACAGAAACGTAGGTACATTATGGTAACCTTATTAAAGCGTAGGGAAAGGGATTGTTAGTAACACGAAATTCAGTCCGAAATTTCGGAATTTCATTTCATGGTAGACCTGCTGTTTGCTAGGTTTGTAGCTGTGTTTTGGTTTAAAGGTTTTTTTTATGGATGATAATGAAATTGTAACCCCACCCGCGCTATCGGTATACACCGGCGGGGCACCAGTCAAGGATGCATAGGTGAGGATGAAGCAGGTCAGTTAGCCCATCGTGACGAATTCAACAAGAATTGTTCACGATCGTTTCCAGGGGAACCACGTGGAGGTCGACCTGATAGGGCATATAGCTAGCAATGGGGCTATCAAACTCCATTGTTAACAATCTCTTTCCCCCCTGGTTTAAAGGTTAGAATATGATAGGAATAGTACAGTATATGAAAGCATAATACTTTTATTTTCAAGAATGACAACGTATGAGACGTACCACGTGCGTTGCAGTATATTTTATCGTATCTTTGTAACTTTCCATAGGAAATCTATTTTTTTTAATTTGGCAAGAATCCTTAAACCCATTTATGACTAGGCAAATATTATTGAATAACAATTTTAGGTATATAGAAATGAAAATACATTTCAGGCTATTAAATAATGTATTTCTTATTTAAAAACGGTAACAATGTTGATATTGCAATAAAAAAAAACCTCAAAATAATAATATAAAATAATATAAGTACCTAAATTTGGTACAAAGCGTGAACGTTGTCCCAATACCTACAGTTTTAAAAACCAGTAGTGTAATGAGCAATATTAATATTATTTTTTAAATCACTAATAGTAATAGGTAGGTATCTAATATTGGTCAATAATACTATTTTAATGGAGAATTTATCATTTTCAGATATTTTTCAAAATTTACTTATTTTGCCAAAGCTAATGCTTGAAAAAGGTGTTACAATATTATATTATCTACCTCCATTTTTATTACACGTATCTAGATACGTAGATAGGTATCGTGGGTATCTATTGTTCTCACGATAACAAAACGAGTAGAGCATTTGAATATCAAGAAATAGGAATTGAAGAGTGGTTTATTTTGTAGTTATACCCCAAGCCAGCATATGCAAAATATAATGTATTTTATTTTTAAATTAATCAGCCCCGTCCTTGAGATAGGAGAAAGGGAGGGGGATTGGTTGATCGGGCAACATTTTAAAGTATGGGTGATCCATTTCTGCACAGTAAGCTAGTTCGGTAGCTGGTTTGGCTCTTAGCCGCTTCATGTTCCTACCAACACTAACTCTGTATGTGATTGTAAATAAAAAATTGAAAATTTGTTCATAGAGTCGCAAATATCTTTATAATACAATGTTTGCTTTTTTGTATATAGATTAAAAGTAATTTACTTAGGTACATAAATCGATAAAATCAGGGGTCGGAGGCTTTTTCTCTATTCTGCGATAAAATATCAGAAAAGTTACCCACAGGAATATTTACTTATCTATCTATCGAATTTCATGCTAGGTTCAGGTTCAGGTAGCAAGGAAAGGTAGGTTTTTACATCACTTGTTTGTTATTTTTCATCACTCATTTCATACATAGGTATTCGCCAGTTCCGGAGAATTAATAGATAAATAAGGTAACGATATCTACATGAGAATTACCGGAGTACATTTATGTTGTTTATATACATAGGCCTTGTAAATAGGTATGTAAGTATGGGAATGGAGATGAAAATTTTATCGGGGACAATTTGCCCAAATAATTATATTGCTGTAATTCAGTTGCTCTATTAGAAAAACTATTATTAATAACATAATAAATATATAGTATAATGACTAGCAGAAATAGGCATGGGTGTAACAAATATAACAATGTGGCATGGGTTTTAGTGTAGAATTATTATTTCGTCTATGGCTTAAATTTTTAACTGAACTGTCTTTCCACTGTGAGGAACACTTAAGCGGCGAGTAAGGTTAAAATTCATAATTCAAAGTTAAGTTAAAAATTATTTATCTATTTACGTCAAAGCAAATTGATTTATCGGAGCGAGTAACATATGTCACGAAGATATAAGATTTGTACCTGCCTATTAATATAAATATCGGGACGCGTATTAAAGTTAGCTGTTTATTGTATGTATTTCTCGTACCTACATTCATCGTTCAGCATCTTGCTAAAATTTCATCCTTAGTTTGCAACCTTCGCTTCAATGACGAATGAAGGTGTCTTATTCCTAGAATGTGATAAACTTTGTTAAAATCTTTTGCATCATAGCTAGGTTAAGATGCAAAAATTGGTATCATATATAATTCTTGTTAAGCTGTTTAGCATTACATTTGGTAGGAGTTAGTTCGTGTTTATTTGTAATAAGTATTGGTACTTATTTCAGCTTCTTCACGTGTATCTAATTTATATATCTGTATAGGAACTTTTTACACCACGCATACCTAACTTTAAATAAATTCTTCTCATATGTTGCAACAATCCATACAGTAAATAATAAATTATTAATGTAGATATCTATTTAATTAAGGCGAGGTGGCTTGGGAAGTGGATAAACTTTTGTTTTGGCAGGAAAATTTAGTTCTATTTTTCATTAGTGATGACTTATGCTTATGACGTATATAAAATACATAGGTTACCTATTGGTTAGTAATAATGTATTAATTATGAATAACTTTATTGTATAATATATTTTCTTTATTTTTCAGTGAGATTTATTTACTTATTTATGTTAAAAAAAATCTAATACTATTATAATAATGAATGAATTCCATGAATTATGTGTGCTTATTTTTTAAAATTATAACCCTGAAAATGGGTAACTTCATTTTTGTTAAGCAAATCGATCACACTGTGTGTTTTTTATAGTATCTATATACCACAGACATATACTATAGATATTCTGTGGTCAGAAGACGACACAAGTACCTACTTTAAATTTTATGACATCTAATGGTATCATCAGTATTCTACTTGTCTCGATGTTGAACAATTATTTATTCACAGCAAACTTCCTCTTGTCATACACCCTTTTGAAAGTACAATTTGTTATTATGTATTTAACAATTTTTTAAACTATTTTCATCTTTATCATTTATATGAAATAGAATTTAGTCAATTACACTAAATTTACAAGCGACCGATCCTAAAACTATAAGCCAAATCCTTTAGTAATGTGAACAAAACCATATTACACCGACCCCAAATAATAATTGGGATAAGGATAGAAAGATGATGATAATGAATATTTAAAAAAAATATATAAATTGATTATTATTTAAAGCGTGGCATTTACCCAATTCTTATCCTAAGTCGGATGGAGTTGTATGGAACGTGTAGTATTAAAATAATTTAAATTGCTGAACATAATTTTAAGATAAATGAAAAAAAGATACTTATGTTGGGTTCTACTTTATTAGTGTAGCTAATTCGAAATGCTCTAACTGGTTTCAGAGTTTCAATAAAAAAAGAGTAAAGTAAAATTTTGTATTGAGCACCGTAGTAAGTTCTTAGCAAGCAAGATATCGTTAATTTTGAAGGTTGGATGTTATAAAATTATATTATATGTATTATCTACGTATTAAAAATTTAAAAAGGTTAACATAAAAAAATAGGTTTTTGTAGATCTCCACAATTTATTCGACCGATGGTAATACAAAGTTATATATATATTTTGGTCACTGTCCAGATACTAGTTGTTCTTAACAAGTGTGTTTTTACAATGTGGTACGTGGTACTAGACTGTGGGTAGTTGGTAGCCAGTTAATATGCTGAAGGATTTCTTTCTCAATTCTTGTTCATAGAATTTTCCTGTCCTGTCTAAATTGTAACACTATTATGTTGTATTTGATATAACGTCGTTGTTCTTGTACACATTGCAAGTCTGTGTGCGAAAAGCAAAATAATTAATAAAGAAAAATGATCTTAAAACAAATAACTGCATAACAAAGATAAAATATAAATATTTTAACAATGTAATATTTTATGTAATATTTATACATTATATATGATAAAACTTTAAGAATATAATTACCTAAGTAATATTAAAAAAAAGTAACCATGGATTTTTTAGCAGTACGTACAACTAAGAATCTACCCATATATATAACGACAAAAAATTTGTAAACAAAAAATACAAAAGACATGAATGAGGTCGAAAACGACAAAACATTTTGAGTTTCCCATACTAAAACCGCGATCAGCTGTTGAGATAGTATAGGACACTCAAATGTTTTTTGTCGTTTTAGACCTATGTTTTTTTGGTTTGTTGAATGTTTAGTTTCGTTAGCAGAGTACTCCATTGAAAGGATGCTATTTCAATTTTATACTGTAAAGATGTTATATATACGTTATACTTATAAATTTCATGCCACTAGGTAATTTACAAAAGAGATGTTAGAATAAAATTATTTAAATTAAGACGAATTATTGCATGATCGTATATATCATCATTAAAGGATTTACATGGAGTATCTAAGATTCAAATTATGTACCAAATAAGCCATGTATTGAGAGCTTTCAATACTGGAACCGAAACGTAGATAACAGAGTCTGTTTTGCAAATACCTACAATTTTCTGTTTACTAGTTTTTGGGAAAAAGAAGTAAATATAGATGGTTTATTCGTGAATTCGGTTTGGAATATCATGATAGTACTAATGAAGAACATTAGACTTTATATACATACACATGCGCTTCTCGTGTTGAATACTTGTTTAAAGGCTTGTGTGGTAGCATTTTCACGTATTCATATCGTAATGAATATTATATATGGGTAAATGATGATGATTTGTGAAACTAAATATGAGTTTTAGCATTATATAATTTGTATCCACTGGGATCCATCGATAAAAGTTTAGGAATAGGTCTAAACTTAATTGACTAGGTAGGCTTTATATTTATAGTCACTAATATTCTTGACAATAAAAATCTAATAGGCATCAGTAGGTCCCTTTGTAAGGTATTTTATTGAACTGGCTTTAGGAGCCACCTAGTAGTAAAAGTGAGTCTATGCAGTGAGCGGTAATGCAGTTTTTTTATGAGTTTATTCGAAAAATAGATTAATAAGTGGCAGCACATTTATAGCATAGTGTGACATCAAAGTAATGTGGTTTTGGTAATAGTCAGGCCTCGTTATTATAGACATTTAATAAATAATTTAAAAATGTATATTTTTCAATATGACGTAAGTAGGTACTAAGTACGTACAATTATAGACATATTGAAAAATATGCAACAAATCTGATTTTTAATAGCAACATTATTTAGACTTTACATATGTCTGAAGACACATAATTCTCCATACATGAAAACTCATAATTTCTCCTTGGAATTGTAAGTTATTTTTTTAAATATGTTTGCATGTATAAATTGTGTGTAAATAATCGTAATAGTTACAGAACTTAAGGTTACTTAGGTATATACTGCATAAATAAAATATATAAATTGGCAAATGAAGTACAAATAATGTAAATTATATTTATTGTAATAAAATTTCTAAATGACTACGATCTATCTTTTTTCATGATTTTACGATTATCTACACTATCGTGTTAATCTTTAAATGATTGTGAAGGACTTTAAGTATGTCTAACTATAAGAATATTTTTTTTATCCTTATGTCTATATGATTTAGACACATTTGATTAAATAGATAGTCTAGTAGAATAATAGACATATCTATATGTAACAGCTGCGTTTTTATTTTTTTGATCGTTTTGTTTCTAATAAATAAGAGTTTGAGCTAGTTCTGGGGGTTAAAAACCCCAATGTATATGAATCATATAGCATATCTTTCGTATAACCCCCCGATTTAAATGTATAATATTAATTTGTAGGCCCTGAGAGCGAAAACTCTATTAAAATTGGTGGGTTATGCGAAGCAAATCCTATTAAAACTTGTGTAAGGTAGACTTAACGCCTCTGAAGACATGGAATGATAATGCCGTGACATGATTTTATTATTAATTTTAAATTGTAATAAAACTTACATTTATTATATGAACGTCAGGCTAATATTTACCCTGCTTGTATTAAGAAACATGTCCAAAATGTTTAAAATTGGTTCGAGATAAGAATCTTTGTAACTAAAAAGTAAATAAGTATAAGCAATATAAAAAATTAATAAAAAAAAAGTATCACAGAATTCTTTGTGAATAAAATAATTCAGCATTGAGAAATTTAAGGTAAAGTTTCATTGTTAACAGCTTCAGTAATTTAGGTGAGTTAAAATTTGTTGCTTAGACATGTTTAGTTGGCAAATTACTTACCACTTACTAAATTGTTCAATCAGTGTTAACGAGACTTTAACCATAGCTGAATTTTACATAATTATTTCATTGGAATGATATCCATTTATAAAAAAATACACAGCTTTTTAAGATACTACATTTTAAAAAGCTTTGTAATTCTATGAATATAATATAATGTGTATATGTATGAATATACGTTATTTAAAAATGTACATTAAACATGAAACACATTATATGGTATTGTGTACATTTTTGGCAGTACATTTTTAAATATTTATTGCGCAATTTTTGACCTTTTACATTTTTTGGTTATTGCTAGCTGTACCTATAAGCTGTAACTATACTTATTCAAAAAACGTAAAACTTTTATTCTATTGTTTATATTTTGTTGCTGTTCTTAAACGTTTAATTTATGTCACTTTCTTTCAAATAAAATTTAACTCGAAATAAATGATGCACCGCTTAAATACTTAAAATAGACTTATTAGGCTTTTGACGTTTTTACCAATAAGGAGGGTAAGAATATGTTCTATATGCAAGTAAATATGTATCTACAAAGTGAACACGACAGTTCTTATATACTTATTATTATTTCAGGTTTGATTTATTGGACTATTTACAATTTCTTGCTGTAGACGGGCTTAAATTATGTTTTGCCAAGTGATCTGCACGTGCTTAGTGACGCTCAGTACTTGTTATGCTTTTGTGATATAAAGTATGATGCTATATTACATTATCAAATAGATATAGTATTTACTAAGTGAATAACGCACTTTCCTTATCAGAATAATGTTACACGATATTTAAAACTAATCTATTGAGATCACTATTTCTAGCCAGTATTTATGATTGTAAAAAATAGCTACATATGTCCATTGTATTTGATAATGTAATACACTCTCGGTATGTTTATAGCACAAATTGTTAAATCAATAACATTTAGATGAGTCTGTCTCTATTCTTACTTCTTCTTTGTTGGAATACTTCTAGAAAAACGTTATAACTATTTTTTAAACGTCTCATGTTTTGAAAGGTAAAAATTTATAGTAATGTTGTAATTAGTGACTTTTGTAACATAAATTATGATGTTATTAACATTTAATATACTTATTATCGATGACGCATTACCCAATGGTGGGCAGGTTATTTTATGGGACGTTTTTAACACTTGGCAATCCATCTAGATGCATTTGATATAAGAATTCCTGCTTACACGTTTTATTTCCCATAGCAATAAATTGAGAATACTATTGTACCGTTACAACTGTAAATATTTTGTCTTCAGTCATTAATACCACGAGTATATATCTATTTGTAGTACCGAATTCCGTTCGAAATTTTTTAATTAATTGTTATGTATCTGTGAATACAGGTACGTCAGGATTAGAAATTGATATTTATAATATTTTTTGTAATAAAGTAGATGTAAAAAAATTGTTAAGATGTTCTCTGTTGATTTATGGATAAAATATATATATATATATATACATATATATATATATATATATATATATATATATATATATATATATATATATATATATATAAGAAATTTGTCAAATGTAAAATCTGGTGTATATTTTATCAGTAGATAGTTATCTATTGAATGAAAAATATAGAATGTAGAGATCTTTGTTAATTGGAAGATTAGTTTCATAAAAAAGTTATAGATGATAGATCCCCCACTTTTGAAATTCTGAGTGAATTTAACTTAGTCCAACTTAATTTTTTTCTGTTCCCTGGTTACCTGGTACATCATTTATATTTATATGTTTTCTAATTGAAGTAGGTATGAGTTCCAATATCGATGTATTTAGTATGGAACACATATCTGCTACTATCTAGCTTTAATTAGAAAATATTTTTATTATATCGTGTTCACGTAGATAATAAATATTAATACAATATGTACAATATATTAAGTATACTTACAACATTTTAAAAAATCCGAAGCGTCTATGGGTCTATTGATTGTAAAGTTATTTGGTTTTGAATACCTACTTTTATTATATATTGGTAGGTATATTCTACAAAGCAAAAAAATAATTTCTGTAGAGCACAATAGGTATGGTTTTGCTTAAAATAACATTTTGTGCAGAAAATAATTAAGATTTCGATTTATGGATTCCTAATAATTTATTTTATAGGGGACATTTCTAGTTACGTGGTAGAAAAATATCAGTATGTCTATAATAATTCGTTTAGCCTAATTGGATGCTATAAATTCCCCTTACATTTGACAAGCGAGTTTTTAATACTTATTAAGTATAAAGAAGAACTAAAAGTTAAGCGTAATAATTACTCATACTTATAAATTACCTTATCAACCTTCGAGTCTTTGGTCTTTATCTTTTATAAATATAAAACGAGTGGAATTGTTGACACTTAGTATACTAACCACAATAATTACCTACTCGTTGTACGATGGTTTATTGGAGTTGCACAAGACACACTTTAAATTAACCTATCAATCGCACTAGATCTAAGATTGCTCTTTAGATTTTATTGATAAAGCACCTATCTATTCTATGAGAGTGAATAAAATGGCCAAGGATTGTGTCGTATCAAAAGTTTTGTGCTAGGTAACAAACACAATGCTTCGAGAAATAACTCGAATCGCCATTACGAGGCATGAAACGGCATTAGTTTTTGAAATATGCGCTTAACCTATTTCAACTTCAAACTTCCAATATCATTAAGATGCGTGTCTGTATTCATTGATATATTAAAAATGAATATGCGTTTAAATCTTCCTTAGTTCTTCTATTTGTTGGTTATTAGTAGTTATTACGCATTTCATGTGATCATGATTAGTACATAGGTATTATACAGACCATGTGCAGAAAGCAACTGTGCAGATATTACCAAAATATATAATACAACTTGATATTATGTAGGTATTAAAAAAGTACTGAGTTGGTAAATTCAAAACGTCTAAGTATTATTTTGTTGGAAGTTTGAAATTGCATATCTACAAATGTTGTTGGTTTGCTCTAAAGAGCCCTATTCGACTGTGTTCATTGTTGACGCGTTTATGTATAGTTCCACCTAGCAGACACAGGAGTGTATTTCGAATCAGGCATCAGGGTGCAAGAGATGGAGGTCAACGGCGACATCACGCCGCTGTGCGCGCACGAGTCGAGGCGGCGGTTGCGCTGCATCGCCTAGCAGTGCTGCGTCTTCAGCCAGTGAGTCCCCGGAGCCGTAGCGTTCCTCGCCCGCATCTCCCTCGCACCATGATGCGGAACCCGAGCTCGCAGACCGCGAGCCGCCCGCCTCCGCTTCTGTCTCCACGTCCACAGAGCAACTCGCACAAACTTCTGTAAGTAAACGTACGTAATATATACCATACCTAATAAATGGTACGCACTCGTATATGCATATAACGTTTTTTGACATTAGTTAGTGACATTAGTATAAATTATTGTCTGTAAGTATTTGATTAAGTTGACACGAACATAATTATGATTTATTAAAATAATTTGGTTAAATATTTGTTTTATAGAGAATTCATTTACTTCGCTATTCCATCGAGTTAATATTTTCGTGGTACGAGTATTAGGGTATTTGATTACCCACGATAGTCCCGGGAGATAGCATTTATGGCCTTGCCTATTTTACGATGTTGTTTTGTCATAGATACTCTAAGGATTTACCCGAGAAATTACAGTAGATATTACGGAGCATAAAAATAGACTCGTATGTCTACCAACATACGATACGATGTGGTAGGTCTATGTACGTGATTTTGATTTAATATTAGGAAATATTTAAGTATGAATTAAATTATAATTTTGTTATATAATATTATATATTAAAATAGAATGTCCAAATTTAATAAATAAAAAACGAGTATCGTGTTATCAAGAGAAAATTATTATAAGTATTTTGTAGGTAGATGCAGTACTTATTATATTATATAAATTTAACTGATTAAGAAAATCTTTTCAATTAAATATAAACATAAGGAGATTGTAAACAATAAATTTCATGTTTTGTTGTCTACGCTTACAATAGACATAAGTAGTACCTAAATATGCAACAAATGGTGTTAGACATTTTGTCCATTGTAGGACCTATTAAAAATTAATATATGCCATTAAACACTTATATAATTAAAATCTACTATATTTATATCTACGTCACATAAACATGCTGAATTGATGAAAGATGCTGCAAAATAAATAATATGATGTATGTATAAATTATTAAGTATGTACTTATATAAATAACCGATTTTATTCCACATTAAATTCGAAGCACTGAAAATAGATATGTTTAATAAGTATTCTCTGATTTTTGTTATTTTTTGTTACTCTTGTTACATTTCAATACGACAATCTGTCTAGTATAAAAATAAATTTTACTAAAACTTTCATTAATACAGATTCAAAATTTTAAAATAATACTAACTTGTATATGTATACGAAATGACAATTTAATAAAAAAGATAAGAAATACAAATGAGATACAACTAAATTAGAAGAAACTTTCATTAGGTAGGTACATTCATGAAAAAGGATAACAGAGGGGGAGTGGGGAATATAGAGACACTATAATTAAACACATTCCACACATCGAAAGGGGTAGGAGTAGGACTCACTCAGCCGATGGCGGCCAAATACAATGGGGCTCTCCCATGTCGTCGGTCATAGAGAAGTGGACGATGAATAGTCTTCATAAGATGCTGCAATTTTGTAATATTCGCATATTTATACCTATGGCAACGATGTGCAATTGGTTAAATTACAATTTCAATATGAAGCATAATATTGTGATATACACATTAGAAAATAAGTAATAATTGATTAGTAAAAGCATAAAAATGGAGCTAGTACCCAAGTGTAAAAGAATATCTTTAAATAGGATACAGTTTAACAGTTTTATGATTCCTTAAGTTAACCTAGCTATTTGAAGATCAAGACTCGTTCAGTATTATAAAATAAGTACATCGGCTATAAAAAAGATATCTCCATTTGAAAGACTTGAATATCTGATTTCTGTATTTTACGACTGCTAAGAAAAATATAGGAGACGAGGTAATTTAAAACATGGATCCATATATTGCTTGCAATGAAAGTAACTTTAGATTTTATTAAGTTTAATTGTTTTTATTTTTTCGTGACCATTTAAATATACAATAATATATTTTATTAATTAACTAGCTTTGTCCGCAGCTACTTTCATGTGACAGGGATATAATTGATTGACTGAGATAAGAGTCTATTTTTATTTGTTTGTCTTTATTGCAAATATGAAGTATGTGTAGATATTGTATGTAAAACTTCCTTGTACGACAACTCGGTTAACCGTTAAGGCCAAAGGGTAACAAACAAAAAAACAACAAAGGTTTTTTCACACCAATGTATTGGTATACCAAGTTCGCGGAAGGCTATCAAAAAGTAGGGTTCACATATAAGCATCATTCACAACACAGATCTCGCACTATGCAACTTTTAATTCTTTTATACGATTCTTTTTTTTTTCTAGAAATCAAATATTTAGGGATTAGTATCTATATATATTTAACAATAATTTCGTCGTGTGTCGTTTATTCGATACATTATGGAAAACTCAGTATATCCCATGTGATAAATATATGACAGATTGTAACGAGTATTATTAAGAATAGACTTTTTCGTTATTACACACTGACCTGAGCTATCGGTTGCCAAACGTGGAGGCGTATCTTCCCGGTCTGTGGGTACAACTATTACCACTTCATCGTCTCTTGGAGAATCATCGTTTCGACTTGACGACGTTCTGAAAACATGAAATTTTTCCAATAAACCTCTTGAATGTGAGGATAATAATAATTTTTAATTCAAGGTTATATATGGTATTTGCTGATAATAACAATATAAATTATTGTCTGACAATTTAAAATTCAATTTTATATTTAATTAAATAATTATATTTTTTATTACGGAACAGTAAAATAATGATTAGAATAAATAATGTAAAAATACAAAAAAAACTATGTATCAGTTAAGGTTGTTAACCTGAAAGAGATTTGGTAAGATAAAATTTGTAACTTACTTAAATATATAATATATTACAATATATGGACTTACGATATATGGAATTACAATATATGGACTTACTTAACAATAACTTTTTTCCGTATAAATCTAGTTCCTAAATCAGAGTAACCCCTGTTCATAGGCCGTTTATGCGGTAGAGGAGGTGCTGACGCCGGGGCTGGGTGCTCGAATGTCCGGGATACCGGTGAGTTGGGTTCCGAACATTGCTTGTCAGAGAGCGCCGCCGGTCGCACTCGAAGCGCCAGTGCGCCCTCTGCAGACGAACCACCGTTGCCTGCACTAGATCCTCCACATATTTGACGTGTTCCTCGTCTATCTTCTTCATACATTTCTAATAAATGATCCAACTTACTTTCTATGTCATCTACCTAAAAAACACCAAAATAAATTATTACAGACTAGAACAGAATTTCATATAACAATTTTCTATTAAGTAAACTTCAACTCACTTGTCTTTCAATTTTAACTACTCTGGAAGCAAGACTGATTTTAGATGCATATACATCTTTAGCTTTTGATCCTTGTTTCCCAAGTATTTGGTCTAACCTGTAAATTTATAGAACATATATTATGCGTACTTATTTACAATTTGAAATAAAAAAAAATCTAATAACATATTCAAAATGATCATAGTAATATGCTAGTAAATTATAATAAGACATTTCAACAAGTGTTTTACAATCTAAAAAGGTTTTGTCATGTAAATGAAACTAATCTAGGAAAGCACAGTTGCAGTTGCAATATTAATAATGAAGGTGCGTGTTTATTTCTAAAGCACCTAAATAATACAAAAGCATTCTAGAACTTACAAAAACAACACAAGCAATGACTTCCAAAATAAATGCATATTTGTGTTTTAAACAAATATTATTTCAGTTATTACTATTGTGTTAATATTCTGTATTAGTAGGTAATTGTTTGGTTTCTATTATTAATTTTTTATGTCTCTTTACTGGTAGAGATTACTACACCGCATGCTATCATTTAGATCAAATTAAATGTTACTATTTGGATAAGTGAGTATAAAACAATTATAAATTCTACTATTAGGTATAATTTAGTAGTAGAACTTTTTTCAAATAGTACCGTTTAAATTTCTCTACTGTTCTACACAGCAAAAAATACAAAAAAAGGTACTTATTTATAAATCTTATTTTTAAAGGTGTCGTAAGTGTACATTATATTTTAGTATAATAATTATCAATTTAACTTAACCGGAGCGCAGTCAGGCTCGCGTTTGTATCACAGCCGCTCAAGATCAACGGTACCGAATGGTCCCGAAACTAGTTTCGCTTTTTAGACCAATTTACATGTAAGTTAAACCGGTAATTATTACAATAAAATATTAATAAATTGGTTATTTTACAATTAGGTATATTTCTATTTATAATAAGCAGTATGAAATACTGTGTGTTATTTACTTATTACTTAATTATATTATAGTTTTAATGTCTATATTTTATCTGTCTGTCTGTTTGTTACTGTTTCGACATTCTATATAATTTCTTTTAACAAGTAATTAGATTAAGATAAATTCGGGTAGATGCATAGACTATATCTCGTATATAAAAGACTATCTCAGGATATATACCTAATAAATACACATATGCATACATTCTACAATGATAGTTTTAATTATGAAACAATTTAATAAATGGTTCTACACATCAATCTCATTTCTAATATCAATATGAATTTTGTTAAATATTGTAATATTCTATTATTATGTTTAGGTATTAACTATTTCTTGTGGTATATTTAGTATAAAAAAATGTAAGATATAATGTAATATAGATTTTTCAGAGAGTATGTGAGATGAATAAAATGATATAGCAATTTGAAATCCAGAGACACTATACGATACGACGTATGGATTTCGTGAAACTAAACCACTTTCCTCAAAGAAAACAGATCGAAATAAGACAATGATTTTGAATAATTAATTTCATTCGTTTACTAAAATAAGTTTAATTTATTTCAACATTTTCATTGTGGCGTTACAGAAATGTAATGCATTGTTACAAACTTTTCCCTTTACATTTTGTTTATATCTTACAATTTTTTTCGATGAATACTTTGAATAAAAAATGGGGCTTTAAATTTTTTCTTAAGTATTTAAATAAGATTGTCGCTGAATAATTTGAAGTTAAACAGTAAGATTTGAACACAGCTGTTTGTCGTTACTCTTTAGTAATTTAAACTTTCTTAGACTCAAAATTCAGAAGTCACATCTGCTGTGAAAGTGACAAAATGGACAACGATCTTCAAATTGTATTGTATATATATAAATTTTGGACAACAGGATTCTGATAATATTTAATCTTTGATTTGTAGATTTTTGTTGTTTATCTAATCCAGCCTTTCCCAAAGTGGACGATAACGCCCCCTTGTGGGCGCTGCAGGCCTAAAGGGACACCCCGGTAAGAGCCCCAGAAAAAAATGGGGGCATTGTGTAAAGGCTTGGGGGGTGATTTGTAATTTGAAGTAATAGTGGTTTTTAAGTAGATGAAAAAATGGGGGCGCTAAAAATAATTTATTCTCAAAGTGGGCACTAGACAAAATAAGTTTGGGAACCCCTGATTTAATCAATAAAATGTATAATTATTTGACTGTATTTTATTTTGAATAAATACCATAGAATGTATAATGTTCGGGTTGCGTTCCTTAGTGACTATAGGTAAGTATACTCGTACCTAGTTCGTATGCGTCCATGGGGATTGTCAATATTTTTGTTGACATTACGATGTTGGTTAGTTATTATTGATCATACATACAAAGAACATGCGGCTACGGCGCTCATTCTTTTTATGTAAATATTATTACTTAATGTTTGTTATGAACATCGAAATTATTACGTTTAGCGTTTATCAGAAATATTGGCATAATTGATTTTATGATTTTGATTGATTTATTGAGAATATAAGAAATAAATTAGGATTTTGTAATTTATTTCTTATATTCTCGTTTCCTTATTATTTATCATACTTGTTAAATTAGTTTAGAAATAACTTTTCGATGACATAGTATTGCTGATCGAGTTAAGTTTTACCGATAGGTAGTAATAATTGAATTTAACCTATTTAAAATGTACCTATATATAATAAAATTATGACTACAATCTGTAATCATCTTAACATTTAATAACATTATTCGATCTGCTCATATTTCTTTTTGTCGTAATTTGTGTCATAAACTGGACATGTTATATTTTTTGGGTAAGTGGCGTTCTCTCAGTACAATTTGATAATGATTAATTAGTGAATGAAGCTCTAAGTTGTGGCAGAAGGCCTGCGGACGCGGTGCGGGCACAGAGAGCGAGCGCCTTTTTACGAGTACCTCACCTGTATTGCAGGTTCTTGGTTCGGTTTAGCAGATCAGCGTGCCCCGAGGAGTATTGCTCTATCACATCTTTCACGTCGTAAGGTTTCAACGCTTCTCTAAATCTCTTGCGTGCGACAAAATACTTGAGCTACACGGAAATAACAGACAATGGGTGGTTCATCAAAGTGAAGCTATGTATATTAAGTATAAGGTAAAATCTCGATAATTAATTATGGATACTATCGCTTATTTAAGATATTGATTTAGATGACGTCACATGCCAACTGCCAATGAGAATGTCATGAGAAGTTGACGAAAAGGGTTACAATTTTACCTGGCATTACTATAGCTCTTACTACCTAATTCATTATGCACAGGCAATCATGCATATACGATATTATTATTTTACGACACCCAATAACAATAGCTGTACCACCAAGTCCTAAAATGGTTGGGTATAATTAATATTTTTAGAATCACTGTAAATATACATCTGAAATGAAAGTCTATAATTTGTAATTAATAATTCTCTGTAAAGTAATAATTCTCTGAGCGACAATGTCTAGAGTATATGATTAACATTTTGTTTTTCAGTGATATTTGCAGTGAGGTAAATTTTTTTTATTACAAATAGCATTGCACACAAACTAACTACATTAAGGGGATATTAGAACGTTTGCCAAATATTCTACAAATAAGTATTACATTGCAAGACATAGTAGAAACAGTAGACATGAGAAATATAAGAGGTAGATATTAAATTGTAGTGCAAGGTGTAGTTAGGTACAGGAGCGTTCTTGTCAGGCTATCAGTACCTAGTCTGGACGTTTTTCACTCGTCCCAGTAGGTCCACATGGCCCGCGGAATATTGTTCAATAACGTCCTTAACGTCGTATGGCTTTAGAGCTTCCTTAAACTTACGCCGAGCCACAAAATACTTCATCTGTCAGAATTTTACAATATTCTTACTTAAAATTTTCGATATATATATAATTAGGTTATCCTCTAAGGTCATATATAAAAAATTATTAAGTTCGTTCTTAGAATATAGTCTACGTTACAAAAATTAAAATTATTGTAATTTTTGCTAAACGAGTAACGACTTTGAATTTCCTTAGAGAATAACATATAACTGGATATAATTGTGTTGGTAATGTTTATTATTATTTTACAATATATATTTAAAAAATAAATATTATTGCATAGTCTAACTAATAATAAAATTATATATCTATAAAAACACTGAATTTACTATGATTACCTATGAATAAGTACTTGAGTACAACAAATCAGATTATAGCATGCAGTTCTATAAGTACCTACGGGAATAACGGTATGGATTGAATAGGTTTGAACATTGCAAAGAAGCTTAATAATTCAGGGCTCCGCGATGACTACCATTTTTACCTCTCTTATCAATTATGTATCGAAGGGAAGGTATGTATATTACAGGCAAAGATTAAACTAATTTTAAGAATTAATTTTGAGCGAAAATTCTTCTATTAGAAACGTAATGTTCATCTAAATACAAAGGAAATGAATAAATTTTATAAAGAAAAATTTGTTGTAACACATGCAAGTACTAACTAATTAGACACTTTTTAAAATTTCGATGGCGTATTGAAAGGAATCTACGCGCGACGATTCAATTGGTCGAGATGGTTCGAATAAAAAGAAATAGACTCACATATAAAATTTACAATCTCATACAAAATTTAATCTATCCCATTGGTATTTACATGAATTATTTAAATGTTATTTAAAATTATTCTACAGCAAATTAATATAAATATATATATGTATGTATAGCTGATGGCGATTACAATTGTCGGAAACGACAATAACTGTGAATTCATAAAATTCCTGTAGTACAGTACGGTACGATAATTTATTATGGAATAAAATATATAATTATTATTGTTTTTAGTCTTACTTTTTGCAAGGACAAATAAGTTAGTAGTAATAATTATAGGATGTTTAAGATTTTGCTTCGTAAAAAAGCAGCTTCTTTAAAAACCAGGACCAATATGCCCAATATTCGTAAACTCTATCAATTGTAAAATCGATTATTAATATCAGATTTAAGAAAAGTTTCAGTAGAGATATTGTGTAATACACATACACACACAGTCACACAAAAAAATTTAAATAAAGTACATCGTTTTTTGGAAGTCTCTTAAAACGCACAGTCCATTTCTCATGCTTTGACACTTCTGTGGGTCAAGTTATTATGCGATCTTTGTTGACTTTGTCGATTGACAGCTATGTTAAATAATGTGAGCATATTGACTTCGTTACTTTTATAATGTAGATAAGTGTTTTAACAGTTCATCATTTTCCTGTCTTTATCCTATATAATTTTGAATCAAAATTATATGTTTTTCTTTTCCATTAATCTCTATTTGCTCTCGGTTTAATATCACATCCCTTCACGCAGTTCATTTATCTCTTGTAAAGATTTCGTTTATCTTTATAACCACCTACATCCATACATTTCTTAAAATATTCTCTTCGTTTCACGTATCATATGTCTATATGAAGAGAAATGATTACTTTTATACTTTTCTGACATTGATGCTATTTTCAATCGTTGTAGGTGTATTAAGTGGGACTTATTCATTATTGCAATATATACACATACGTGTGTACTTATGTTTTGGTCCTGTAGATTTTGTCATAAATTTTAGCGGTTAGTGGTAGTAATGTAATGTATACTAAAGGAACTGAATATGGTTAATATAGGCTAATATATTATGTAGGTCATTTACTGTTTTGTCAATGATCATAAATGTATGATCATGGATAAAACAATATACGTCCTATAGGACAAGACTAATGGGCCTTGTTCTGTAATGAATATAATGTATTTGGTTATTATGTTTCATATAATTAGAGAAAAAATATTCACAATAGTTTATACAGAGAACATTGAAGTAGGTTTTCATTCATATATATTTTATGAAGCGATGACATAATTTTGTAGATGTTCAATATCAATTGGCCGTTCTCAACGACAGTTGACTCTTGAGTGACTAATGGATTTTTGAAAACAATATATATATTAAAAATTGTAAAAATATTTAATATCAATAAACAGGGTTATTTATTTAAAAAAAAAACATACCTTTCTTATGAATCGAATTGCCGCTTTATGGCGCGGGGTCAGGGTGACACAGCGTGGTTCCTCGTCTTCATCTGCACAAAAAAAATGACATTTCAGAATGCACTGAATAATCTTATTATTTTATATAAAAGTTCTATAGTAGGAATGATTAAGTTTTTGTATGGATTTCCACTATGTGTAATATGATTAAAATACGGATCATCGACATACAATTAATGTACTTGTATTGTATTCATATATAACGAGGTACAACTTTTTTCATCAAAAAAGGTTTAACTATAGTTAAGACAAAAGAATGTTATATTAGTAGTGTGAAATATCGAGAAAATTTATAAACCTAGTCATATTTATAATCAAATTCGGTTAAGCTGTAATGGCTGAACAAAGCCAATAACAGTTAATGCCAAATAAAATCAAAACGTAAATAGATTATACTTGAAAAATTAGATTAGTTATTTTAATGCATAAACTTATAATTCTTAGGCATTTTTAAATGTGCAGTTAAGTGCTAATGCAAAGCATTAAAAATAAGTCTGTTTTTAAAGTAGGTATAATATTTTATTTAAATTTAATTTCCGGTCCCTAAGGTAGGTGTTACAGTACTATCAATCAATGATAATAAAAAACATCAGAATACCACAAACTGACAAAATTATAAATATAAAAGCAAGTACTTCGGTCATGACTATACGTTTCGCGTGCTGCATGTCAGTTCAACCAAATTACAATAATTTTATTGATTTACTGTCACGGTGGCTAATGACGACAAAGGGTGTCAATAGGAGCTTGTTCTATCCTACATTTGAGTAAACGTCAATAATTTCACAGTCTGTAATGGATTTCTTTAATTAAATTATATTTTATATACCTACATTTCTGTTGTTTATTGTTGTTTGGTCATGTTTATTAATTAATACTTTTATACACTATAGATAAAATATTAGTAACTTGTGATTTTTTTGTTTCTTTTTTCAATGTGATTTTTGATTTACACATAATATACCAATAATATACCTAATTGCTATTACATTAGAGCAGATAGGATTTAGTACAGAAATGGAGGTATCTAATAATCGTATTGTATCTAAGTCTAAGAATGATTTGTATCATTAGGACATGCAATGAATACTTCATATGATGAATTAGCTAAATATTCGTTTTTAAAATGAAAATTCACTATTTACAAATAAAGTATATTAAGATATATTTCATTTCCATTTCCATATTATTCCATTTGTATTTCTTTTTGTCTGATTAAAAATGTTGTGCGAAATAGGTCCACTCTTTAAAATTCGTAGTTTATTTGATATAGATGTTATGTCTGAATATCTTATATCTGCCACTAGTTTGAAACACATCAATGGCGATACTGTCAATTTCTAACTGCTTTATTTCTCTTTCGGTGGTTTTTGCCATTTCATACTTTAGCATGTTCGATTTTATTTATGAGTCAGTCTTGTTTATTATAATGTTAGAGGTTGCTGTGTTATCAGAATATCTGACACGTAGTATTCTTTCCAGACTTCAAGAGTTAATTATAAGTACTTGGAAATAGTTACATGCTGTTAGATTTTTCTTTGTGTGTATCGATGACGCGTCATAAGTTTTCTTAAAAGAAAAATTCGACTGCGTTTGCAGTTTTTTACTTTAAATTTTATTGTAATTTTAATACAATTAGAAATTTTGATATCGTCGATACAAAATTTGTAATTGGTCGCATACTGTAAGTTTTCTCCTAATGTTCTTCTTACTTGGCAGTAAAAATAAATTTTATTGTATTATAATATTAATGGTACGAACACGATATTTTCGATTAAAGTTTTACAAGTACTGTAAAGTAAATGGTAACTGTAGTATGTTTATGCCAATTTTAGTTAAAAATCATAATAGGATATTTATTAAGATAAGATACAAGGATACGAGCTGGTGTAGCGACTAGGTAGCACTAATACGAATAGCAATGCAGTGAGCTCAGGGCAATATGTAGTAGACATGTTAAATACAATTTCAAAACTTTCTTCGATTGTTGTTATCTTGAGCTTTTAAAGTAAGCTCATAAATAGTTTATAGTAACATGCTTCAGTATCTATGTATTCTACTTTTAGTTTTTGTTATATTCGTTTTCAGAAGGGTTCATAAACGTATTAGTATACCTATACCTACATTGTATAGTAGGTATTATTAAAAATTTTGACAAATTTCTTAAAGTTTCATAACTTATACCTAAGGTTTACTTTTGGATCGACATTTAATTAATATTAAAAAGATCTGTATCGTTCCTAAAAAAAAAACACCAGAATATGTATCAAGGCTTTCCAATAATACATTTCCACTATAAGTCATTTGCAGATGGTAGTCAAATAAACAATTTCACCTAGCGGATAGTTCATCTAGTATCTATTGTATTTATTCAGCTGTTGCTACACTCAAGTCTTTTTATTTAGTTACAATAATATTTAAATATTCTACTTTTTTTACACTTCTCCTTTGATTATTATCCATTTTCTTTGATAAATGATGTTATTTTTAACAAAAAGGCATTTTAATGATGTTGTTATTAACAATATTTTTAGACTACTTATTTCATTATTTCAATTTATAACAATCCTTTTTTAACTTTAATTTTTGTGAATTAAGAGAAAGCTTTTGTTGTAGTTAAATCGTACTCAAATGTGTTTGCAGTAAAATTTCTACTCGTATGTTTCCGAACACAGAACCAGAGTCCAACCAACAGTAAAAGATATAAGAAAGCAAGATGCGATATCTTCGAATCTCTTCATTGCTGTATTAGAAAATGCTTTCAAATTTATAGACTGAAAATGCTCATCTAATATCATTCATCCTTGAAAAAAATTACGCGCCATAACTGCTACTAGTAATATAGCAAACGGGTATGCTTTAATATATATGGATAAAATAAAAATCATGTCTAACGTCTGACTCACACCTATAGGTTGTGGTTCGGAACACTGCATTAAAAGTTGTTGATAAATTATATATATACTAGAATATATATATATATATATATATATATATATATATATATATATATATATATATATATATATATAGTTCTCTTAGTTCAGGTGTATCAAATTATATTGATAGGTAGCTAAGTACATATTCGTATAAACTTGTCAGGCTGGGTAAGTTTTATTTCGACTGAGAGGTTTGTCAAAGAATCCAACATGGTTGAATGGGGTTTAATAAATTACGCAAAATACGAGTACCTACTTCAAAGTTCGTAAACAAGAGTCTTTAATTAGTGCCTTTTGGTAGTGACGATTTACTTAATTGAAACACTTTTATTTCGAATATTTATAAAGTGTTTTTTCGATGAATGAATTAATTAGTGGCTAATTAATCACGATGATTGCACGAGGACTACACGGAGATCGAGTTGACAGTACTATTGCTAGCAATGCGGAGTGATATCGTTGTTACTAATAATGCCATCTTCTTCTCTAAGAGTTTAATGGGTGAAAATGAAATATTGATCTCGCCTGCGTTTTTGGTACTAGGTGAGGATGAAACAGGTCTGTTGGCCTATCGTGATGAAATTAACAACTTTTTTTTATACCACTGAGGTGGCAAACAAGCATACGGCCCACCTGATGGTAAGTGGTTACCGTAGCCTATGAACGCCTACAATTTTAGAGGTATTGCAGGCGTTAACAACTTATTAACAATGATGATTTCTACAGGGAACCACGAGGAGGTCGACCTCACAGGATATATTGCTAGCAATGGGGGCAGTTAGATCCCATTACTAACAAGCCTTTCCCCATTAGGAGAGTGTTATGTTCGGAAATTTACTGCGTGATAGATTTCAATATAGAAATATCCGCTAAAAATTGACTGACTAATATAGCCCGAAGGATTAATAAGTTGAAGTGGCAATGGGCATATTTTTAATAAATTAAAATACTGTACATGCTTTGAAAGTACCTATACAAATTAAAATAGATTGTTTGACTACGGTGTATGTTGTTTCATAAGAATATCAAAACTTGTCGCTATGTCCTTGTATAATAAGGTAAATAAGGAGCATGTCCCAGTAAACAGTTTTCAAGGCCTCCTTCTCTTGACATAAACGACTATAAATGAAAGGACAACAAACAATGTAACTTGAAGGTCTTTGTTGTTGTTTAATATATAAGAAATTGATAAAAAATCTACTTACCTAATGTTTTGATTGAATGAATTCTATAGTAATAAGTTGTATGTGTTGGAAACAAAACTTAGCAACGCTGTTATTATCAGTGAAAGATTTTTCTTTTTTTTTACACCACTGAGGTGGCAAACAAGCATACGGCTCACCTGATGATAAGCGGTTACCGTAGTGATATGAAAGTGGAGTTCGCATCATCAGATGGTTATCAAGAGATGGAAAATGTGGTGCAGACGCATATGGTATGGATGAGGACTCTGCTTTCATAATGCCAGAACGTAGTGGCTTGGTAATATTTGGTGGCGTAAGGAATCGATTGGATGATAAAAAGAAAATAATTGATAAGTGAGAGTGACTCAGACCAGCAACCTTCACAGTCTAGACAGGCATATGTATGCAGTATCCCAGTCTATGGCTATGTAATCGGAATACTAAAATTCATTAGACCTAGATGGTGGTGGTGGCGCTAAAGAAGAGGCGTTGTCAGAAATTTTTTAAGTATTTAAGAGTGAATGTTTTATTCAACACTAAGTCTAAGAACTGATAAATAGTTCTCAATAGATTTTTTTTTTATATAAATGAGGAATTAACCTATTTCTTTTAAAACATCTAAGATAGGTAATAGATGTTTATTGTAAATATTTTTAAAAATTAAAATTATAAATAGACCATATAATTATAATGGACAACAAAATATTTTGATTTACTAGTTAAGATATAAAGTTATACCTAATTACCGAAGTATAATGTAATTAAGATAAAAAACATTGTCTTCATTCGATATGATGTTGAAGAGGTATTGTAAACTTTAATCGGAAATGAAATCTTATAATCACGAAACATACATACATGTATATGTGTTGGACACGCTCTTGGCTGGTCAGCAAAGAAGGGACAAAT